TTGATATTTGTGAGCTCCAGTTTATCGCCATTTGAGCGAGAGCACATACATTCAGGGCATCTGAGATCTCCGACATCTTCTCGATCATGCTGGTTTTGAAGACCACTGACTGTGATTGGCTGGCTTTGAGATCATTCTCCAAAGGTGTGCCATTCGTATTCTTGGTAACGGCATCATCAACACACATCTGCTGTGTGTATGTGTTGAAACCTGGTTCTTGTTAACGTCTTCTATCTCAGTGTAACGACCTCAAACAATCCCTACCCGATCCAAGCCTCATGCCACTGTGGTAAGGGGCGAGAAGCGGAGCCATGATGTTGTAGTCTTGTATTCAAAGAATACTGCTGTGCGAGGGCTTTGAATCGTTTATTTGGAACGAGGGAAAATATATTTATAAAGGGTCTATCAGGCCTGCGTATATAGTTGGCCCTCGGAAGAATACACATGAGCCCCTTTACTCATTGTACGAGTACACTTTAACGATACTCACTTCAAATGAATATTTCGTCCCTTGCCGATGCCGATCAAGGGTGATACATCTCGTCCATGCCACATACAAGTTACACAAAAATATCGTCACATAGGTCCCACCGATTCCACATTTCCAGTCCAATTCTCAGCCAAACAAGAACGAGATTACAACCTCACCCTCGCTACTTGCGCATCTATGTGAATAGCTTCACATGACTTGTTGACTATCTTTCCAGCAGGAGAAAGCGAACACCCATTATAAAGATTAAGATAGTACTTAAGTAGAACACGTTGTGAACAAGCCTTTTAAGTTAACCCCACTCTCAATAAAAACTTTATCTATAGAATCAGTCATATGTACCCAAGTATTCATAATGTGGATCATACGAAGTCACAGCTTAATAAAACATCACTCCACACCCGCGTATCCTACAGATCATCTGAAATCCGAGCCTATGCTGATCAATTGCAGTCTGATCATCCCAGTCCCAGTCATCGGCTGAAGGTCGGCTTGTAGCTGTTATTGCTCAATGCTCAATGCAGCAGTGAGCTGAAGTAACCACCTCAGTGGAAGCATGCATGCACATTTAGTACAAAGTCACGCTCACTTACTGGTTAATCAACGAGCTAAATAAACGGAACGAAACACTGGGTATGCGCCGAGGTATGTGTTGCCCTTGCTTTCAGCTGATATCTTGCGTAAATATGTGGAATAGATGGATCCAATAGTACCTCTGCGCCGTCTGGTCAACATGACGATCTGAGCCTTTACAGTGTGCATTAATTCCCTGTGTTACACAACCTGAGTTCGAGTCATCACCATGGCCCGTGCTGTGGAGCTCGAGTTGAAAGATCTTCCTGGATCGGCTAACGCCGATGGGGGACGCTAGGGTCGGGACGAAAGTGGAACTTCATAGTACTACATATGTATGTGTATCTTACGTGGCCAAATTTGCCTCTCCCCTGACTACCGGCCTCGGCGCTTCTATCGTCGCTTTACAGAGAGTACTTATATCGTTGCGTTTCTTCTTTTGCCTTTTTTGTATCTCTTCACACAAGGGCATACCTCAAATCTTCTTTTGATTATTAGTTTTGTTCCAAAATGAGTCTACAGACGGCGCCATACAATGATTCCATGCGCATTGGCTCTGGGTAAGCTTTCAAAACTCTCCGCAGACACCCTATGTTAACAAAGTAGCTTCAACTCGTATACCCAGCAGCTGTGCATCGACAATGCGGTCGTCAAAGGCGACAAATCTCCAGCAACGGAGGACGACTTGAAGCCCAACCTAAACGGTACAAGTGACGATGATGTTAGCCAGAAAGTCTCGTTCACATCAAAATTCGTTGAGAGTTCCAGTGATATCACAGACGCTATGAACGTTAGTGGTAAGTTCTCTGTTGATTGATTTTGTCCAGGATTTGAAATCACTGACGCCGGATAAGGTCACTTGGAGATCAAGGTTGATGGAATCGGAGTCAGTGGCTCTGCTTGTAAGTGGTCTGCGTCAATTCATCTGCCAGCGATATAACTAATGTTAAATTACAGCTTATATCGACTCTTCCAAGGTCAAAGATAGCGATATAAACTACTTTGTGCAGGTCAAAGTCGTCAATCAACACCTAATTCCCGAAGACCTCTCCAGATTTAACTCGATCGCCAATGTGTCCGCCACTGATCGTGGTCGGTTTACCGAAATCTATGGGGACAGCTTTATCTCCGGCTTCTTGGAAGGGGGCGAGTTCAATGCTTTGCTATCAGTCAAAGTGGCTGATAAAAGCAAAGTGAAAACGATCAAAGGCGCTCTTAGTCTGAGTCTGTCCGCAGCGGGTTTTGGCATCTCCGGCGGAGGCGAGGGAGGATACGACAAAGAAGAAATTTTGAAAAATTCGGAAACATCCATCACGTAAGGAGATCATCACGCTGCAGCGCTATAAGTGCTAACCCCGAATTGCACAGCGTCTCATGGACTGGTGGTGGTCAAATCCAAGATGAGACAAGCAAAGACAACGGATGGTCCGTCGAGAGCATGGCCAAAGCTGCATTCTCGTTTGCAGATCGAGTCCGTGTTTGTCCACAGCGAACTCAGTAAGCTCAACCTTGTGGGAGTCTGACAAAATTCTAATCTTTCAGGGCCACTATTACCAAGTATTCTGCTTTGAGATCGTACCAACTCCAAACGAACAAGGGGTCTCCATTGGATTATGAGAACGCCGGCGTTTACACAAACGCTTTGCTGGAAAGCTACATGGAGTACAAAACAATCGCCAAGGGTATCCAGAAGAGTAAGACTATCTGCCTAGTGATCTGCAACCACACTGACTGTGGTAGTGACCCAACAGCTGTCTGCCGGGGAGATCAAATTGGGGACGCAAGCTGGTTCCACGGATGCAGCATCAGGCATCAAGAAACTTAAGGAAAGCTGGAAACTCCGAGAGTCGGGTTCCGAAGAGACGTTTGCAAATATCCCAGACGCGGTGTATAAACCGGACATCTTTGGTCTGGAGGAAGCCCGTCTTGATTGTCGACTTCAAAGGGTTCTCATCGTGAAAGAGGTATACATCCTGAGATCACGCGCAGATCGGACCGACCTTTGAAAATTGGGTGTTTTCCCGGGTAACTGAGCACTAACCTTATACCACTACTCAGGTTGACGAAGTTGCGAACAATCCGGAGGTTGCCGTGGATCCCCATCGCGTGGGGCAGTTTCTGAATCCCCTCATTTTCCGGAAGCTCTTACCGGTATGTCAAGGCCCTGTATTGAAAATTTTGGGGAAGAAAATGGCTGTGCTAACACGTAATGTTAAGGCCTCACAGTAAGACTTGGGCACCAACTGGGGCACGGGGATGCTAAGATACATTACACGACATGTACTGATTATTCATATCTTTCAGATCCTTCAACCTTTGCTATATCGTGTTGCAAGACAAATATTTTGGTGACAACGAAGAGAAATCAATGTGAGGAAACCTCCGCTGTTTGTAATGCCTCTTGAACCAAGCTCACACTGAAAAACAAAATTAGCTGCGACAGTATTTCTGAAGCTGGCGTGTGGGAAGTGAACCTTGTTGGTTACAATGAGAATGGTTACCGACAAGTTAACATCAAAAGTCACACGAGACAAAAGTATTTTGGTTATTATCCTATTTGTGAGAAACCCCATCCCATCATCATCCACCGGTTCTTACAATCTAATATGGCTACAGATGACACCAAAAGTGGCAAGATACAGAAGTGGGACCTCGATTGGAATATTCCAGTTGCTTCGTATGGGGTCTGGGATTTAATACCGGCCAAGGAATCTACAAATCGGTTTGTTTAGTGAAGGTCCGAAAGTGTAATTACTTACTAATTCAAACTACATCTGCAGCTTCAATCTTGCGGCGAAACTTCCTGATGGCACATATTATGTGCTACTCTTTACTGAAGGATATGGCCACAATTTCAGACCAGAACCCGTTGGCATTAAACAGCCTGACAATAAGCCTATCATGTTCATCTCAGCAGACGCGGTTGTTTGAAAATACTTCAGGCACTTACACCTATTTGGTTCTGAGATCAGTGTCTTTGGGTCTGCTACAACAGGTGGCTGCAAATTATTAAACATAGCTAAGTGCTTTAAATTAGGTGCTTCTGCGGACTTTTGGATACCCAGGCCTTTTAGGGCATTCAGAGCACCGCCTTATCTCTTGTCCTTTTTTCTTCTCTTTTCATTTCCCCGAATTCCAGCAATACAATACATCGTACCGCCTTCCTTCCTTCTCGGACCTTCATCCCTTGGGCATGTGCCCCTATCTAGTGTTATGGGGAAACCGCACCACATCTGATGTGCGCTACTAGATATACCGGTCCCAGGCATGACAAGACGTCAGTCTTGTCATATTAGGTCTTTTGGCCGAGAAGTATGGTTCCCTATATGCCTGGGTATAGTGGTTCTCACACTAGTCTTAATAGCTTTTCCTCGCGATCGTATAGTTTAGCAAGTCATATTCTACAACTCTCACAATACGGGCACATTCTTCATTCCGTCGCCTATTCAGGGCCCTGCTTTTTACCGATGACCCCCGTCGAGCACTGAGAACCTCCGTCGTCTTGTCTGCGATCTCAGAACGCCAGCGCGCTCTTCCCACTTCAATAAATAGTATCATGACCAACCTTGGAAGGTGTCAACTCCTTTTGAGGCTACTTTTTAGACAACTAACGCACAATTTGCTTTGGTTGCTTCATGGCCACTTGAGCAGCTAAAAGTATAAAAATTTAGCAAAAGGCAAAAAACATCCAACAGTGAGGATTTGCTGGTGGTCCCCCACCCAACTACTAACTGACCGGCGTGTGATTTAAGTACGGCTGAGCGGACGGGAAGCCCTGTGATAGTTTAGGTGCCATCAAGACAGGGGCCAAACAAGGCAAGGAATGTCCCGAAGGCAAATAAATAGGCTGGGCGGTGTGCTCCAATAAACAACACCCCGGGCCCAAATCCTTAACTCTCTCGCAACAGGAAAACACCGCTCATCGTTTCAGATCACAATGGAGGATCAGACACAGCATCTTCGCAACCTCATAATAAATCAAATCCCAGACACAACCCACAACTTGCTCCAAGAGGTTGATTCAGGGCCCATTCGGATATTGGGCGACACCCCTAACAGCTTGCTCGACTCTAGAGATTACCTAGGGTCTATACAACCATTCATATCAAAGACCCAGAACTCGATTCATGATTGCCGTCCTGAAATCGAGACTCGTTTCCTTGCTCTGAATGTATACCCAGGGAAACACAGCTTCTTCGTCCTCGACGTGAACAATGTCGACTACGACTATGAGACAGCTCATACTGTTACAACTCCGATCCCGATCTATGTTCTTCGTCTGTCAAGGAGGAAAATAAGCATCACCAGACAGCAACGGCTAGACGCTACAATCGCGGAGAGACTTCGAAAGATGCACAATGGGCATGGAGATGACCCTCTGCCGTTGGTGGATGATTTCAATCAAATTCTTGGATATCACAGTCCACGCAGTCTTCGGCGTTAGAAGTCCAAAGTTCGAGATATAGAACGTCTCTCTGAGGCCAAGAAGATTTGTGCTGCTGGAGGTTCATGGATAAATCAGTGGATGTTGGTGTTTCCAAAGAAGCTCTGATGTTGTTAATTGGTTTACATGTATGTCTCTTTGAATGATATTGCTCTCAAGCGATACTCACTGTGAGCTGACTAGGAGCACTGGCAAGGTGTCTGTTTGACATGTTTGCACATGTAGCTCCCACTATGTAGATACCCCGGGGGAACTCCTCTTATTCTAGATCCTCCCTCTTCAACCTATTCAAGCTTTTTTGCCTTTGCGGTATTGGGCCTCTTGAAGCCTACAGATAGAAAGAAAAGCGGACTGAACGAATCGATCAAGACCTTCAAGAGTGCCTTACCCCTGCACTTCTCACACTTTACTTGCGAGCAGAGTCGACTAGTCCAAATGCTTGCCCAATCACGTGGACGGAAATCTCCCCCTCTCTTTTTTTCCTCCAGTCCCTTTCCTGATAGATTGCGCAAAACAGTCGCTCCTACAGACTCTTGCTGCTATGACGGAGCCTTTCGATAGCTCAGTCTCTCCTCACCTTACTCATCTTTTCTCGCCTCAACCACCAACAATCACGAAATAAAACAATTGACGCAATATGGACGAGCTCCGACATAGTCTTCTCACCTACCCAGACTGGGGATTTGTCATCTACCGCACTACCTACTCCGCTGAATCAGATACTCTATTCCCAGACGCTATTCGGTTTATTGAAGGCTGTATCAAGGAAGAATTCTTTGCAGAAGCCGACCGATGTGCACCCAATGAGCCAAGCGAAATCTGGGCTAAACACCGATCGACCATCGTGCAAGATTCTACTCAATTTGACGGGGCGTCTCTCGAGACAATTCGCGCTCATTTCGAGGCCTGGGTGGAAACTCAAGGCCTGCGTGACTCTTGGACCAAATGGCGAATGTGCATGATTATCGATGAAGAATCTCTGCAGACTTTGAAAGATGCACCAATCGAGGCCCTTGAAGATGGAACCCTAGAAGATACCGACAAAGATCTTCGATATGTCAAGTTTCTTGAAGCATTCCCAACTATGGATAAGTATGATACATTTCCAGGGTGGATGAAATGTTGGCCATTTGTTCTTTTCGATCTCTGGTCGATGATGGGAGATGGTGACGAGATGAGGGGGTCATTTTGTCGTATTGAGGATCCTGATGATGATGAAGATTTCCCCTTTCCAGGAGTGTACTGCGGATGATTTGATCATTTGCTTGATGAGAATATGGTGTCCATCGGAGGCATGTGTCCACTTGAGCAGGTGGTGACATGGCATCCCCAGGCAGTAGATATACACAGGTCTGTAGCGGCCCAGGTCGTTTCTCTTGTTTTAAAAAATACAGACAACACCTAAGATCGAGGATACACACGAGAAATACCTGAGCAAGAAGGCTGGGGGGAAAGGCGATGGGGGCCACATTGCTAGAACTTGAGGTCGGCAAACTTGAAAGTCCTCGTGTTACGGTGCCATGGCTGCCCAGATGAAGTAGCATGTTGGCTTATATAGCGGTCCAGGAATGACGGAATATTGTGTTCGTTGTATTATGCCTTTTGGCCTAGTTGTCAGCACACCTAGGTTCTGAAATCCTAACACTTCGAAGGGAAGGGCCCTCGAGGTAGGGCTAACAAAATGCTAAAGTCGTCCACAGATCCAATCAGACCCGCTGTTTATTAACATTCCTATATTGCGAAAGGGATAGATTATTGTTGTGAGTATTCTTTCTCAAGAACCTTAGCACTCGTCCTTGTATTCACCGATTGTCATCGTCAAAGTCACATATTGCGGAGACAGCAAGGGATCACCCACTGGAGCCATTTCACAAAAACCAAAAAAGACCTCTTCAACCGCCAGACTTTATTCCCCCAAAGCCAGTTCCTGTTGGGATTGCTCCTCGGTTAAAGGAGCCGGAGCAGGGACCTCCCGCTGCCATTGAAGTGAGAATTCCCGAGGGAACCCTGCAGAATACACAGATTCTGCAACCGGATGGCTTCAAGGAGTTGGTCTCACATAGAAGTCGCTATATCTCCTCTTTTCTTCGTCAATGTCGAAGTATAGCTCGACTGACTTGTCTGAGCCCATGGCCTCTCGTAGTTTAACCCATTTCCTCGACTCATATTCCTCGCGGGAAAGACCGATTTCAACCGACCGCAGTGTGCTCGGTCGTGACTCCAGATATTTCGAGATAAAACTCTCAGAGACATTGAAGCACTTCAGACCAATATGTTGGAGCAATGGCCATTTTTCGATAGGTAGAAGATTTCCTAATTGAACCTCTGCGTCCCCGTAGCTCATTGTATATGTAGTCGGAACGGAAAAATGAATCAGATCGGTTGCTTCACTGAGAGCACGATAAAGATGACCGCTAGATTCGTTTGACCATTCTTCTTTCCCATCCCAAACATAAAGGGGAAGATCTAGCCGGCTCAATCGGGAGTTTCTCAGCATCGAGACGAAATGGTCATACTCCACACAAGGCTGGTCTAGCATCGTGATATTGAGTCCAACTTTATCTCCCCCAAGGTCAAAACAGAGTTCTGAAACAGTGTGTTCCACCTGCCCTAGAACACGGAGAACGATTCTAGTCCCATGCCAGTGCTCCTTGTATTCCTCTGTTGATTTAGACCACCGCCCGGGAGGCTGAAAGATTGGTGATAAGTTCTTTTTTAATTGTGGCCATGCTCGTGGAACAGCATAGTTGAATCCAAAAGGTAGCGATCTGATTGTTGGTGTTGGATACCGAGGGGCAAACAATGTTCCATGCGCGGCTGGCGTAATTGTGACTCTTTTCAGGGCTGGAAATCGACTCAGCCCATAAACGAAGGCGGCCTCGTCGTCTCCAGATTTCATCGTCTGATTTTGTTGTACCGATAACGTGTCATAAATTCCCCAGCAATTTCTTATTGTCAGTTCTGCTTCTTTCCTTTTTTGCCATATGGCATGATCATCATTTTCGGTCTCCTCTGCTCGCTGCCTGATAATTGTAAAGTTTCCGCTGAACTCTTTCACAAAAATATCAGGGGTTGCTGTGAAGCGCGACTCGTCCCAGATTATTTCGGTCACTTGCTCGCGGAGTTTCGGATCATCGGCTATCCCACGGAATGCCTTGATGTCCAGGGGATTGGTAGAGATGAATACCCGTGGGAAAGACACTGGTAGAAGGTTCTCTAGCGCTTTGCATGTTTGACTGAGTGACTTGCGATCTTGGCTTGATATTTGCGACTTTATGAGTAGGAAGATCTCATAAGGTAGGGTTGTTATCCCGGGCCTCTGGGCGAAGGTGTTGGATTCAGCGACTGGGTCAGACATGACTTTGAGGCTTCAGGATTTTGAAAGATGAAGGAATCCATTCACAGTGTATTGGGCACCTACCTAGGTACAAGGATAAAGTGACTAAGCAGGGACATGTTGGACCAGTTCACATTGAAATGTCCACATTTCCTACTCCATGAGTAAGTCTAACGATTCGGGACGAAGTTGCAGAAGGTGACTCTTGAGCCTAAAAGGCGAAGGAAGGCGGACGCAACGAATCGATTCTGCAGCTCATGAGAGAGAGAAGAAGAAGGAAGGAGAGAGCACGGAGCGGATCTATCTACAGTTGGGGCCATACAACAGTAGCAAACAACTAAAACCCCAACCTTTAACGGACAATTTTGAGACATTACTCTCCATGACCTTGGAATATTAGAGGCAAATCCATTGCATCGGAGTCACAGTTCGAACTCAACAGGTCTCATCGCTCATCTCATCTCACTCATCTTGTCCTTACAAGATGCCTGGTCCCAGTTCTTTCGTCGTTGAACCAACCGAAGTTCTAGTTATCGCAAAAAAAAAACAAGCAACACTTGACACTAGAAAGGAATAGCGTACATCGGGTCAGGGCCGGACTCCGATGGCTTGAGCTCCGAGCACCGATGCAATCCTCCCGAAATTCCCCTTATAACAGCATACTCAGATACTCCTCGCTACCCAGATCCTCACAGCCTCATCACCATGATAAATTACTGGCTGGCTGCGCTTCTAGGTGTGAGCTATGCCTCGCAGACTGTGCTGCGCCCGCACACCTCGGCGTCGGACTTTACTACATTTCGGAGCTCAAATTCAGCTCACTCGGTGCGCATCCGACAACAAAATGAATCAATTTGCGCCACCGATACTGCGCAGTACACGGGATGGTTGGATATCGGCTCTAAACACTTGTTTTTCTGGTACTTCGAAAGCCAAAACGACCCCGTTGCCGATCCGCTAACATTGTGGATGACCGGTGGGCCCGGGGACTCCAGTATGCTCGGCTTGTTCCAGGAGATCGGCCCGTGTCTGATCAATGAGCACGGCAATGGAACTGTGCAAAATCCCTGGGCCTGGTCTCGAAATTCATCGTTGCTGTTTGTTGATCAACCGGTCGATGTCGGTTTCTCCTATATTGATGAGGACCACGAGGTCCCGCGCGACTCTAAAGAAGCCGCCGTTGATATGCATCGCTTTTTGCAAATATTTGTCTCTGAAATCTTCCCTCACAAGCGCTCTTCGCCCGTTCATCTGGCGGGTGAATCTTATGCAGTAAGATCTCCGCCGTCGCTTTTTTTTTATTCATACTTTTTCTTCTTCTAACTGACCTCCGTAGGGCAAATACATCCCCTATCTCGGAGCGGAAATCGTGACCCACAACGAGCGATATCCATCAGAGCCCCAGATCAATCTTAAATCCTGCCTGGTGGGCAATGGCTGTATATCGCGCATGGATAACTTCTACGGATACTGGGAAACGCTTTGCACTACCAAGCCCGGTGTTCCCACGCCCGTGTTCAATGAAACTCGGTGCGATATCATGGCTGCAAACATGCCCCGGTGTATGGACGTGGCTAAGACATGCATTGGGAATCCCGATCCTGCCATTTGTAATGCTGCCCACGATGTTTGCTATGACGGTATCGCTGGGTGGTATGAGAATGAAAGTGGCAAAGGAGGTCGCAACCGATTCGACAGTAAGTGATTCCCATACTTCCCAGCACAAGAGAATGCATCCTAACACATCATCAGTCACGGCCCCTTGTGAGATCGACGAGCTGTGCTATAGGAAAGCAGGTTATATCGAACAGTATTTGAATTCTCCTGTAGTCTGGAACGCCCTCTCACCCCCGGACGAAGTCAAGGAATTCAAACTGGAATCCAGTGCCGTCGTTGAAGCCTTCGATACTACATCAGAGAGCATGGCGTCTTCTTCCGATACAGTTATCTTCCTGCTTTCACGTGGTATACATTACCTGGCCTACCAAGGGAACCTGGATTTAGCCTGCAACACGGCCGGAACCCTCAAATGGGCTGATTCGCTTTCCTGGAAGGGACAGGTCAAGTTCGCATCGACGCCACTGCGACCCTGGGTCTCAACTGTGGCTGGTCACAATGAGACAGTAGGTACGACCAAAGAAGTCCGTGTGCAAATGGAAAATCAGGCCCAGACGTCGCGGTTCGCCTTCGTCACCGTGGATGGGGCGGGTCATTTGGTAAGTCTGTTGTTTGGCATTCAAGTGTGATTAGAAGTGAACGAGTTCTGACTTTCGATTTCTGCCAGCTCCCCCAAGACCGTCCGGATGTTGCATTTGACATACTGATGCGGTGGATCACTGATGCTCCATTTCGTTAGCTCTTGCTGGAGTGACTGTGAATCTAGCGCCGATGTCTGATCGCCTCCAGAATAGGGAACACTGCTCCACATAGCCGATTTGATTTGATTGCCCAATGGGATAATCATCAAATGGAAACCATTCCAAAGTTAGTGGTAAGTGCTCTCATGGCGGTTGTTCTACAAGAGTGGGGAAGCACCATCGTGTCTACCATGTACGAAAACACTGCATTTCCGCAATGTCACCCTACTCCCACCCTGTCTCGATCTCCCATAATCTCATATATTCTTCCCTACACATTCAAAGTCTACAGGCAGTGACTTTCCTGGAGACTTTGTACCGAGGGTACTCTGTGATCGAACATCCCATCATAAAATATAAATCCACAAAACAAAAGATCTACAAACCCCAGAACCCTAATCAAAATCACATGTCTACCTCGGGCACAGTGAAGCTTCACACTAGCGTTAACCTTGCAATCCAAGGTTTCCCAATAGTAAGTTCCTTCGACTGTCAATACTACGGATACTCCCGAGGTCGTACGTGGACGCCTTCGCCTCCCCGCAAACCCCAGACCCCAATCCGCATGCAACCCCGGCTATCACATAGTCTGGCTTCGGAAGATCTGTGGATCTGTGAACACCAATATGCGGACCCCGGACTATAGGGTAAATGCCGGAAATGCCTCAATTTTGAGCCCCCGCATTCACAGTGCCGGGCTTTGTCCCATGTGGTCTGATCGGTGTGAAGACCCATGGATTCTGGAATGTTTACTGTCAATGCTATAGAGTAGGTAGTTACTTTGAATTGAACAGCTCGATATTAATTTCTAAAGTTTTCTAGAAAATCCAAGGAGAGAGCGAATTGTGATGATCGCGTGCCGTATGTTAAGTCCCATGGATCAACAACACTAGAAGGTAGAATGGAACGGTTCGAGACCACGTTGTACGGGTAAGTTTAAGCCGAATGGCGGGGATTAAGAGGTTAAATACCCGAACCGTGGGTGGAACTGTATTCCTCGCTACCAGATACTCTCAATCAAATCAATATAATTGACTCTGTAGGAAGGACACTAAATGTCCAATATCTAGATACCAAGACAACTAATTCAGCCTCCTAATATAAAGGCCATTGTAAGTAAACTAGTGCTGTGTGAATCTCACCTCATCTCTCGCTAAGACCTAGACCATCCCGGCTAAGTGCTCAAGTGTAAATACAATACAGCACTAGTACTAGTGTACCGCTCTTACGACGCCTCCTTTCCGTATGCAGGAACGGCCCTGTTACCGTCTTTGGGCTTTAGGTTGCGTTTCAGACCGGTGGACCACTTCTCTGACTTTGACTCTTGCCTTCCAGAGTTGAGGGTACGTTGATGTGCTACCGAAGTATTCGTGCCTTATCTATGATGGAGTACTCCGACGGAGTACCGATTCTCTCACTGGCCGTGATCACTTTCAATTGACGATCACACATTTTGATCCCCGGTACTCAGACGGTCTATTTCCTATCCTGGCATCGGTGGATCAAAGACCGTAGGGATTCTTCCATGAATGCTGAGTACGGAGTACATACTGTACGAGTAATTGCAAATGATGCCAGATCCACTCCAGTTACAGAGTTGGTCTGGTCTGAAATGCCAGAATCACTCTTTACTTGTACTTCGTAGGACATCGATGCGGGGTCTAGGTCTAGATGATACAATTTAAATTGAGATGGAGACCGTTCATTCTGGCGATTGGAATTGAGATTCAAATTAACTTGGGGGGACTAGATTCGATTTCTAAACGTGCACTCTCCACGTGGAGATCAATTTAGAAGTGGATGTCTACCTTTTTTGTTTTGAAACGGCTCCATACTTGTACTTTTTTTAGTTGTAGGGGTTGGCTCCGTACTCGTACGACTCGTATGCAAAATCACGCACTCGCGTCAGTGAGACATCTTTTTCTAAAGTTTCGCCATTTGTAACACTGTACGAGAAAAAGTAATTATACACTTTTTGCCTGTCGTACTCCGTAGATCATTATATGACATTGAAAAAGAAACCCATGAAGAAAATTTTAAAGGTAAGAATTACCCAACGTATTTTAAATCACTCTCGCTCTCTTCCATAAGCCGGTGCAAATGTAGACGAAGGATCCCAATCGCGAGCACCCTGGTTCGAGCTAGGCGGCCTAGGCCCGGAGAAACTCATAGATGGACGAACATATCGGGCGTCTTGACCGAGATGAACTTTGCGGTCGAATGTCGGACTAGGACTAGTGAGGGGGCTGCCCTCCATTGGGGGGCTTGGCGACCGCATGAAGGCATCAGGTGTTTTAACCGTTGATGTCAGCATTTCGAAGCCCTTGTTATCCACGAAACGGTGATTGGCGTCGGCTGAGACGAATTCGTTGCGGCGCCGGGCTCCGCGTGAGAGGAGTTCCATCCATCCGACGAACATTGATGGTCGGGCGAAGAGAATGAAGTTCCAGAATCCGACTAGAGAGAGTAGAATTACTACTGCGAGGAGAGTGGCTTCGTTGGGACCGATGGCTTCGGCGTACTCCCGACAGCCTTCCCTGTCGCCCCCTGTTGTGGCGAGACACAGTAGCCAGGGTGTGGCTTGTTGGACGTTTCTTGCAGTGGGGGCAACTGCGTTGTCGAGTTTGATGAAAACCACCGCGAAGAATATCACGTTGGCGATAATGATACAGACGAGGGCAACGCCACGCCATTGTAGTTGAAGAACCCGGCGGACACGTCGGTAGGCTTGTCGGGCTGTCACTGTACGTACACTGGCTGTGTAAGAGGGGAGACCGGAGCTGCCTGACGTCGAGGTAGATTTGTCGAAGAGAGATCGGACGTAGATGTGTGTACAGTAGATCATGGTGGAGACTTGCAGGAAGAGAGCAGCTGCCGCAAATATCATGATCGGAATCCAGTAATCGTAAAGAGCGTTGGTAACGTTGATGTGACAGATTTCGCCGAATCTGAAAGAGACGCCTGTCAAGACGAGCATCACTGTCAATCCCACGGCGGGAATACCGAAGCCACACACGAAGGCCAGCCACATGAACTTTGGGCCCAAAACGACCTCCCAGCAGACTTGGAGATGAAATGCGACGGTGCGAATGAAACTCCATATCACGACCATCCAACCACCAAGGAGCAATAGCGAGCCCGAGAAGGCACAGGAAAGATCGGAATGCATATCATTCGGGGTGATGGCGTTATGGCATTGTTCTGGTCTGGCTCCGAGGGGGATGATGAAGGCAAGCTGGATGATTGTCAGTCATCCCCATCCATATATGCTGTGAACATTCCCAACTCACCTCCATGAAACAGATGCCGATTGTAAAGCAGATACTCAGATAGTGTCGGTGCGTCCATTTGACTGGCAGCACGGCGTATGAAATTAGAAGAAATATACACAGAGGAAGAATGGCGACGCTGATCCAGCTTGCAACGTCGATTTTGGAATGTAGGTCTATATTTGACATGCAAGTTAGGGCTTGTTGACGTTGACAATGGCGCAATCCCCTCACCTGTATCATATCGCCATTCAGCGAGAGGACATGGCAGGCAACATGAGTAGGTGCTATTGGCTAAGGTGATTTTTTCGCAATAGCGGCCGTCGATAAATCCGCCGTCGGTTGGGAAGAGGGTCTCCTGAAGGAAGGGCGATGGGCAGTGTCCGTTTAAATTGGCCATTGTGGCGATTGACGCATATCAAGTACTAACGCGCCAGCGCGAGTAGTCGCGCAAAAGAATGACTGAAGATCAGGAGGGAGGAAGTACTCTGTACTTGTAGGGGAGAAATAGAAGTAGAAGTACGAGTACGGAGAGTAGAAGTAGTACCTGCAGACGCAATGGCTAGATCCACTTGAACGAAAAGGTCCGTTCTCCACGAGGGACAAGGGCAGTGGCTACGAGTAAAGGTTTAAAGTATTTCTCCATTGGATCGGAATGGAATGGGATTATTGTATGGGCTGCATGGAGCTCCCGGCCCTCTTCTTGGCCCGTACGGGGTCCATACAACATAAAATACGCTAAAATACAAATACCGTGGAAGCGAACAGGATCTTCACCCTGACTCGGTAAGAGATCATCCTGAGAACCTTTCGCTTCTAGATTCCCGATTCTGTGGAGGAGTATACGTATTCTGAAAGTATAGTGATGCTTCAGTGGAATAGCTCGTGCTAGGATCTTCTATGAATCCTGCCGACACTGCTTAAGTATTCACACCCGGAGTATTAAATGCCATTAAATACTCAGCCTCGCCTACGGAGTAGTCTACTCGTAGTCTAGTCTCATTAGCGTGTGTCGCCGGGTCCAGATTCAACAATGCCAATGTGAGAAATACCCATAATGAAATTGAACTACTCGTAATAGTGACTCTAAGACTAAGTTGAAAACTTCGGAGAATTGAACTGACAGCTGACAGATCGAATCAACAGTCCAGACTCTTGACTCGACTGTCTCCAATAGCTGAGTACTAAAAGTACTCCGTCCTCAAAAAAATACTCCAATCCTTAAGCCCTTTGGCCAGTGCCTCCCGTGTCCCCGCGTCAATCCACCCAATCAACCCCCCACATTCAGCTCCCACTGTGATCGCCTCGTGATAGAATCAATGATCTGTCATTTACCACAGGCGCAGTATCAATTTGATACTGTCATTCTCTTCACCCCACTTCGCCCCCAACGGAGCTGCATTCTGACGTTGGAATCTTGCCTTTCCATCACAACCACTCACGGCTGTGCTACACACAATCGGATGGTCCGACGCTCTCGCGCAGAGGCGAATCATCTCCAGTAGCGACCGTTTCCCCTTTCTGTGTCACAATCATTCAAGCACGGTTCCTGGTGAGACGAAGATACTACTGGCTCTGAATTCCACTGCCATGGCTAATAGTAGCATGGTCCGAGCGCCCTTCCTGTTGATCGGGGGAATAGGGTGTTCGCCAGGGCTCAGTATGACCCTGGCCCTGGAGTCAGCGTGATAAGTAAGCGCCGGTGGACCCAATAGAAGGACGATGTGGTGTTTTCATGAGGAACTGTGATCTCATCTCAGGGATGCAGCAGCGGCTGGGTTTGAAAGTCTGTGAGCCTCTCGTGAACCGTTGCTGTGATGGGTTAATCGTGACAGGTTGAGCCTGTTGGACGTCGAGTTGAGAGTACTGTATTTCCTTTGAGATAGTGAGTGGTTAGAGAGACAGTGTCAAGGTAGGGAGTAACTTTGCCCGTTCCGAATCTGCAAGCTGCCCCAGGCCACCATCTTAGTACTACTTCCAAGTTTAAGTATAGCCCTTATTATGTCCCGAGCTTTAAGCAGTACTTAAGTAAAATTCGGGATCTAAACTACTAGCCCGACACATAAAACTTTAGAAGCACAAGCTACTATTGCCTCGGATTAAATATCTCCATCGCGATACTTGCTTCGGTCTTACCCTTGCTCCGTACATCGCAGGTCACATAGGGTCACATAAGGCCGATTAAGTCAAATAAGTCAAATAAATCCGGCATGTCCGATAATAGTATTCCGAAATATTCTCGGCCGTTGATCAATATTCGGATAACTTGCCCCCGGGATGGTCAATCAGTGGGGGATGTGGATTCGGTGACAACATGTACGGCAAACCTGCAACCTTTTTCTCATCTTTGGAGCATCAGATCGCTACTCGTAGTGGGGGTGAATGTGCGGGATTTCACGGTTTGAATGTATTTACTTACTCACTGCCCTTGGAAGTGGTGATCGGGAGATCTATAAAGCTATAGAGCTATGTTCTTTAACTCTAGAAATCCGTTAATTCCAGTAATTCCTTAATTCCATAACTCCTTAATCCCTTACAACCTAATGCAACCCCAGATCGGCTATTCACGGGTCAGCCCTGAAGGAATTAAGAAATCTAAGGTTGGCAGGGCTCACTTATGCAGGCAACTAAACCGAAGATTTATTCTGTTGCACTTTTTTAAGTACATTTCCCTCTGCCCCTCAATACTCAAATAGTTCTCTTCCTATATTTCTTCTGATTTCTGTATACTGTACATGTACTTGTACATATCCTTCATGAACGTTCATTATTCGTTTCTGAAAGCTCTTGGGCCCTTTCGCCCTGCACACCAAGAGCTTGGACAGCCCTGTTGCCTGGCATGTGACGTGCGAAGTTGGCAATGCGCAAGGCCGTCTCCCTGAGGTCATCGGGTCCAAAGCCAAAGCCCAGTGCGCTGGGTTTTGATTCTTCTTGCAAGAGCCTTCCTTCAGGTTTCAGGAAGCCTTGGGTGATCGCGTACTCTCGTCCCATCCCCATTCTTTCATTAATTGCTGAACGCGGTATTCAGTCGCCCAGCCAAGATCACACTCTATGCTCCGCAGTAAGCGGACTGTTGTTCTTCGCTCGCGCGCATCAGTCAGACACTGTCCGGCAATGAAGAGGGGTTGCAGTGAGTTGATTCTCACGCTTCCATCTGGGCGGGAGAGTCCGATTCCTACGATCTCTCGACTGTGGAAGGCGATGTCTGCTTCGATGGAGCGGTATGACTGCAGTCTGAGTGTGATGGTGCTTCTGCGACTGGTTGACTCGTGAGGCTTGTTGATCAGCAATAGGATACGGGCCATGTGATAGTGTTGCATTGTTGATGCACACATCGGAAGACTGAACCAGATTTCTTGCAGGGTGGAGATATCTTCGATTTCGTTGGCGGGGCGGTGATGCGTTAGCTTGGATGGATCCATCCGCGCACAGGGTCGGAATGTCTCTGGAACACCGCTGTACCATGCGTCGAGCTCGGATTCAAGTCTATGCCACCGGTCCAGGAGGGCCTGTTGTGAAACACCAAGTCCGTTCATGGATCGGTTGTCTGTTAGGTGCATGTTGTCCCCTGAGCTTATGAAGTTGACTATCTTGGACATTATCCAGACCAACCCGTTACTGACCAGGTCTTCCTTCATTGTGTCTTCGCCTTCGGGGTATCCGGCTGCGCCGGTGTTGCTGGGTTGAATGAACCCAGCATTATCGAGCAAGAGTCCAGCCTCGGTCCAGAGGACTGTGTCGTCTGTGTTGAGCCTTGTATGGCACTCATTGATGACTGTCCCATCAGCATTATGTCAAGCATTATGTTTAACTTGATTAACCCAAACTTACAGGCAGCTAGATAGTCCTGACGAGCGAAATTCCAAAACGTCGCCCTCCGAGCCTTCGAAAGGCCCGACTTCTTCGTCTGATATGAATTCTCACCAGGAGACCTCTGCTCAAGAGGCATCATCCCCACTTCAGCAACATCAAGAAGCGACTTAACACCACTCAAATGCCGATTCCACGCCGGACCAGCCGCATCCAGGAATTCATACACAGACAAGATGGCAGTTGCAGCCAAAACCTCGTCAGAATGAACCCCATGCGCAAGCCGACTGTCCGATACCCGCCTTCGGCGCTTACGTGGATTATTCGTATCTGCAGACAGTTCTGAAGCCTGCCATTGCCCAAATGCCTCAGGTGTACTCAATGGAGGAGGTCCCTCAGCATTGGGTTGCAGTTCCCTCATGAGAATCTGAATGGCCTTCTCATAATACTTGGCCCCGTACCAGGCGAAATCGGGGTCTTTGTCAGGCCACAATTCCATCGCAGCTTGTTGCGTGCATACGCCGCCCATTGCTGCTTTGGCGCCTTTTACTCGGCCCAGTTGTTTCGCGGCATATGCGCAGGCTGCGAATTTCAGAAGCGGATTCGTCCGCGCTCGGACGGGAACGTAGGAGGCGAAATATGTCCCTAGGTCGAACAGATCCATCCTGCATTTCGGGTCAGTTTGGCCTGGTTGGCTTTCATTTCTATCAACACCTACCACAGTCCTGGCCCTTCTGAATAATGTCGGAGGAAGAATGCAGTCTCGAAATCTGTTTCTGCATGGTCGTCCGGTATATGACTTATACTCATCTGACTCATACTCCTCTTTGACACGGCGGGTCTTGATGGCAGAGCAGTACTTCTATCAGATAACTGGATGCTTGGATCGATGGGGGGCGACATCGGATGGGAAGGGTTGAGGAGGAAATTAATGTTGGTATTGTTGCTGGTGGACGACAGAGATATTGAGGGAGAGGCCGGGGGGAGGGTGCTTCGAGGCTGATTCGGTGATGGATAAGAGGTACTGTCTGAGAGTGAATGGTCCATGGGCGAATAAGCAAACCGATCGTGTGTCGCAACTGCTGACAGTGCTTCCAATCTTTGTGTCTCAGCATCACTCGTCCGTGAACCACTACTACCCCATCTTGGATTTGGAGAATGCGCCAGCACAGCTTTGCTCGGCTCTGTTAATGATGCTTCCAGGTCTTCGGCGTATGGATCGGAGTTGTCGACAAATATGACTGCAGGGCAAATTGAGCCATCTGATCATCCATGCATTTTCAAGATGCCATACCATGTTTTGGAACATCCAGCCACACGCTATCCTTGTCAAAAGTGTTCTTATATGAATAAAACCCGTTCAAATTCCCTCGGCCTTCGGGCGATTCGTTGAGATTCCGGTTCATCGACGCGTTCTGCTGGTGGCGAAAAACCACGCCCTCGCTAGGGCGACACTCCCGACCACCCTTGCGACACTGCGAACATTCTGGTTTTTCCTCGTCGCCTGCAGATTGTTTAGTTTTCCAGAAGGCACGAGATTGCGATCAAAGGACCTACATTTCAGCTTTCGAGTCCGACACGTGAGGCTTCACAGGGTTAGTTTTGGCAAGACAGAGACAGCAAGGACTCACCAGCCAGTTCGTGATCGCATACCGAAATGGTAATGCGACGGAGTAACAACATCCGCAGCAGTGAAGTTGATGGGAAAACCTGGAGATCGACTTGCGGGGAGAAAGCAGGTGACCTGGGGCCCCCACAATGTCCCGAGTCAGGTGCCTGGGTCAGGTGTCTAATTACGTGTCTTCTTTCGGCTTAGTTAAACGAGTACGACCTTAGTTCAGAGTGTAGTTAACTAGTATTTACTGTATACTGTTCTCCAGCCAAGCAAAAGGGTATTGTATTAATTGTGTCATGGTCCACGATCCAAGCGTGGCTATTTACGTGCCTCACATCCTAACATCCATTCAGGGGCTGGAAAAGCATATGGTACATCAGATCAGAGAGGCATATACACAGAGAACTTTCAGGGACTGGGTGCCCGAAGCTAGAAGAAGATGGGGTAGATCGCGATGTGGCCGGCGCGAGGGAAAAAAAAAGATCCAACAAACGACAAATCACCGAGGGCAAACAGAATAAGACATTAAGGCTGGGTATAGCAACGTGGCTTGCGATAAGAACAAATCAAAAACTCCAGCCTCGAAGAAGATCAAAAGGTTCGGGATGTTTTGGGGGTGAGCAAACGGGGACATTAAAGGGCGGGAGCACCGGGGTTGGGCTGGCCGAGGGAGTTAAAGAGGTACTCTGGGGGGAGACGCTGCATGTCGGAGGGTCGGTCGGTGCCAAAGGTTTGGGGTGCTGCTGCGTAGCCCTGGCGACGGCGCTGGATCTTGTTCAGAATCACACCGGCCAGCACAATCAGGAAGACACATCCCAAAGCACAACAGAATGCAACCAACACAGCGATACCATTGGAGTGGTGTTTAGCTAGATCAGTTAGTATAGGTCCGAAGTCAGAAAAATAGGTCTAGGTAACTCACTGGTGGTCGTAAAGGGATTTTGGTGCTGAGAGAAGAACTTGGACATGCTACCCGATTGGCCATTGGCTTGCGATGAAAGGATGAAGGGGGTCAGATCGGTTCCATTGTAGAATGCCGCAGATGCGTTCCCAAAATTGGGAATCACAAGCGAGCCCATGATCAAAAGAGTCTGGTCATTGTCCAACAATGATGCCTCTGAATGATCCTTGCTGATGGGCAGGATTTCCATACCACGGATCACAGTGCCCTCGGAGAACAGATTTCCCGGGGATTGGAACTTGGACCCATCGTACCTCAGGAAGAAAGCAGAACCATTGCTGGCTGTGCCTCCGATCCAGAACTTGGACAGGTCTTCACTGGCAGGAGTGAACACGGTGACGTTGCCGGGGATCTCCGATTTGGATGCTCCAGTGAAAGCGGACCATTCTTCGGACTTCCTGCTGTACGTGGCGATAGAAGTTTTGTTGTCCATGACCGTGAGATCACCGATGGCCATCAATGTGTTTTGGCTCGCCCACTGGAGTTCCAAGACGTTGCCGCTGAGAGCCAAACCAGGTCGGCTCCACTCGTTACTGCGAGAATCAACGTAGCAGACAGAGGGGCATGGGAATTGGCCAACTGTGTTGAAGTTTCCTCCGAAGAAGATGTTCGATGAGCCTGGTTGTCTTGAGATGGAGTTGACAGTGACATTTTCACCGCCGAATGAAGGCTGATTTGTTTCCCACACCTGGTCGGCGACGTCGTATGCAATAAGGCCACCGAGTGAGATATCATTGATGTTTCCGGTGACGCTTCCACCGGCGTAAAGGGTGTTGTTGAACACCAGCATTGAAACGAATGTTGAGTTGCCATCAACACCTTGGGGAAGACCCGAGATGGTATTATCGCTGCCGTTGAAAACAGCAATGTTCTCAATGGAGGACCCATTGCTGCCAGCGGCAGTGAAATGGCCACCGTAGATAGTGAGGTTGCGGTCCGAGTCAGTGTCGTAGGCGCCGGTAATCAATCCGCTGCTAGAGTTCTTGTGATTGATCTTCATCGACAGGGGCAGAAGCGAGTCGCCAGATTCAAGCAATGAGACAGCTCCACCAGCAGTCACACCGGTGGTAGCAATGTTACCAGCCAGGATAAGCGTGTTGTTGTGGGTGGCAAAGGCCGATAGCTGACCTCCAAACTCCATCTGCGTGACATTGAGATTTTGGATCCAGTCCTTGCGTGAAGGAACCCAGATGGCAAGACCAGCAACTGAGACTGCCGGGTTGTCATCAGTACCAAGGATCTGATCGAAGTCACCGCTCACCGCAACAAGTGTTTCATTGATAGCGGCTGATGCATTCAATTTGACGGGCCAGATGGAGCTGACGGGGCCATTCAGACCTGCGCCCAGAGCCGCCCACTTCTTCGATGAGAAGGAGTATGCCGCAACACGCTTCAATCCGTCGGCGCCTCCATCCGAAGTATCGGTGAAACGGCCTCCGGCGTAGAGGATGTTGTCGAGCTCGGCCATCGCCAAGACTGGGGAGTTAAACCCAGCGCCAGACAAAGCCGTGGCATTGCCATCTGTGATCGACATGATGTTGTGGAGCTTGCTATCGGAGAAGTTGCCTGCGACGTAAAGCACGCCATCGTGTTCCTGGATGCTGGAGATCGAGGCATTGTGATTGAGCGATGTGCCCGCCTTGTTAATGTCCGACTTTGTGAGATCATCGGTGTCGGTCTTGGAAGTCGGGTCGTAGTCGTAGAGACCATTGAGGCCCCCTGTGCTGGACAACAATTCGAAGCGCACGCGGGATACGACAATAGTGATATCGCCTTGACCTTCCTTGGCCCGCAGAGTTACCTCTGGGCGGAAAGAATCGCTACCGGCATCCACATAGCCGGTGTAGAAGGTGTCATACTTGTCATTGTTATTGGTCTGGTAAAAGTAGGACGGCTTGGGTTGGTCGGAATCCGAGCCGCTCGACAGAGTAGCAGTGACGTTGACAATTCCCCGCGAACTACAACTGTTGTCCTGGGTACAACCGGGGGTGTAAAGCTTGATAGTGTAGTTTCCGGATTTCTTGATGTCAGGTCGGAACGTAACTGATGTGCCGGAGGCGTCAGAGTCTGTAACCTTTGCAGAAACATACCCATCCTCGATGGTCCAGTCGCCGGTTCGCGATGACTCGGCGGGGTATTCAATGCCTGCGCAAGTCGGTTCGTTGAATTGGTCAATAGCGTATGTAAGAATTTGATCCTGGAAGACCTCGATGCCGTTCAAACCAGCTCCCTTTCCATACCAACTTAGGACCTCGATCTGGAGTCCCCGCATACCCACTGGGTTCACCATGGTGAATTCACGGTACTCCTCAGTGCTGCTGCTGGACAATGGACAGGACGCATCACAGCTGATCTTTTTTCCAGAGTCATCGGTGTAAGTCAGGTTCATAATTCCATTGTCGGGAAGGGCTCGAAGCAAGAAGTCCTTGGTGCCGCGTCCATCCAGATGGGTGTTGTATAAACGGATTTTGGTCGGGAAGAAGTCGAATCCAAGGTCTGCTCTCCAGAATCCTGGCGCGTAGTCGTGAAGAAGGTAGGTACTGCCTTTGGCGGCCTTTCCGCTGGTGGAGCAAATGATGTTACGGGGGTCGGAGTAGCCGTCAAGGGATGAGTCGGAGTCGGAAGTGACGGTCGCATTCTGAAGATTGAGGACCTGTCGTCTGTTCTTGGAGCTGGTGCTATTTCCAAGGGCGTCGAATGATCCTCCGAAGATAATGTGACCGTCGTCTGCCTTCAAAATCGAGTTGACTGGTCCATTCAACCCATTGAACGAGAGGTCAGTCCAGCCATCACCGGGCACCCAGGAAACGGCGTTTGTCGTGTTGTCGTAAGCGAAATCTCCTCCAACGTAGACTCTGTTAGTTTCTTGGTCACAGGCTAGTGCTGCCACCGAGCCCTTTAGACCCGGCAAAGCAGTGACTTTGCTGGTGTTGGGGTTGAACAGCGCCGCGCCGGGCGAATCCACTCCACCCAGGGTAGTGAAGTTTCCACCGACAAAGATTCCAGAGAAAGTGCCGTCCTTCTGGGTGAAGGAGCACATGGCGGAGATTCGCGCATCGGACGAGGACAGGTTCGTGAGGATTCCGTTCGGTAGCGGGGTGAGGAGGGCTTGGGTCCCATCCTGGGCAATCGATTGGGTCTGTTCCTTGTACTGGTAGAGGGACACTCCATCAAAATCACCAGTGATTGAAACCCGTCCCAGCGATGACAGGTCCAGTTCCGGAACCGAGACTGCCTCGAATGACAGGGCGCTGATGGTCGGGAGAAGGGCCAGGAGCGAGGGCCAGCCAGTCGCCGGCCCGAACAATGAAGAAGTCCTCATTGTCCTGGGAGCGACGACGGGCGAACGAAGTAAAAAAAAAAAGGACCCTAATAAAGCGAATGGTAGGGTCGGGAGATCAGGAGGCGTGGGCGTAGGCGTTAGGCCGCAACGCGTGAAGAAGCGAACTGTAAAGAATGTGGCATATGAAAATCTTTAAAAAAAGGAATGTAAAAGAGTGAATGAGACCGAAGCCTCCGCAACGAATGGATGTGAAGTCGACCTGTAGACACACAGGGGGGCTGTGGTTTGACGAGAATGAAATATACCCACTAGTTCCTGTCTTTTAATTACCCAAAATACTGAACACTTCAAAATACCCCCAATTACCCAAATACAGGACCTTGAGTCGAAGGATAACGCTAATGCATGGCCAGACTCATTGACGACCAATGACACCATCACATTCCCAGCCTCCCGTTCAAGGTGGGGACCTTTGAATCACCGAGCCACGGTTCCGTGTGTCTATTTACAACTTGAGAACCGTGGGATCATTTGTTTACTATTTGGACACAAATACTGTACTCAATGGTGATACTAGTTAAGATACTCAAGAGAGTTATTTAGATGGTTGTTATGGAATAGTATATTCAATTGCATATGTGCGTACGGAGTATCTGCCTATAAGCACAGCCCTCGACTGTGTTTGTCCTGCAGGGATCTACCGGGCTTAATTTGCCTGTAACGGGCCAGTACCTCACCCCCAACTCAATTTTGTCAGGATGATCACCATAACTATACTCCGTACTCCTGAAAGCTATGACGCTCTTCTCTGTGATTACTCGTATACTTTCCAGGACGTCAGGCCTGAGCCGAAACTTGTCTCTATGTACTTGTATCTATCAGGTATGATACGCCCCTCTTGACTTAAGTGGACCACTGACGACCACGATCGAGTCTCACTCTAAATATATATACGGAGTGCTCGGATAGGCAACTATTTTCCAGCATAACTATATAGCCGAACATATTATACTTCAGTAGATCCTGTACTTAAGTACCATTATATCTATCTGACATGTTTGACCAGCTTCACTATGCACCTAGACAGTTCTATTAGGTCTACGGGTACACACAGATTGTGTAGCAGCGAGCTGACCGTTTCTAAAGTTCTGAGACACGTAACTGATTCGACCCCCACATACTCCACAGATTCACGCCATCAACTGCCGATTGACGTTGACCGAGTGTATCAAAGCTGCTCCGTACTTGAGTACTTCAGTACTTACATCAGGGCTGATCCTGAATCTTGCATAGGGGGGTCCAAGTTTCGCTCATACTAAAGCAGCTGCCCGTGTCTACTGTGAGTACCTTTGTACTTGAAAGGAGTCATATCAACTTCTACTTAAGTAAAGTTTTGATCTTGCCACCACTTGAGCAGGTCTCAACAACACCTAGCTAAATACTCCAGTTCTCGAGTACCCCAGGGCTGCTCAAGTGGCAACTTGGGGCCAATTTCACGGATCTGTCAACTGGTCCTGTCTTAAAGTTACAGTTCTACGTTCTACCGGGAAGGCACTACCAAGTACGAGCAAAGATATAAAGCTGAGCGCTGAATTGACTAACACACAGACCGAGGGCAAATAACCATCGATCCCAAAGAGTAGGAAAATAAACGAAAGGAGCGGGTAATAGGGCACACAGAAAAGCGGCAAAACAAGATATGGCGTAGCAAAAAGTACATCACAAGAAGTAAAAGGTCCCAAGCTGACCCTCGCAGGATCGTATTATCAATCAATCGGTAAGAAAAAAATAACCATTCTTTTTCGGAGCGTGGGCCCACCCAGTGAGAACATTGCGTTAGTGGGATGGTGAAGGGAGTGTGATGGATAGTAAAAAGGAAATAGTGAATGAGAGTCGAGAAAGATTCGAGAGAGGCCGTAGAAAGACCAAAAGCAGAAAGACTCGGGTCATGGACATTAGCGAAGAGAGAAGCCCTTGCGCTTGCCCTTTTCTTCGATAGGGCGACCGGTTTCCAGGCGGCCCTTCTTCTCTTCAAGTTCTCCACGCTGGCGATCTAGTTGATCCTTCATCTCGCGATGTCTGGCGTAGAGTTCGTCTTCGCTCTGCTTGAGCTTGCTTTCTTTTTCGGCAACCTTCTGCTGGAAGACCATCTTCATCTCGGCTTCCATCTTGGCGAGCTTTTGCTCGTGCAGAGCGCGCTCCTCTTCCTGCTTGACGGCAGGGTTGACCTCCTTGAAGACGCTGGGGTCCTGGGCAACACCCATAAGGGTGAGCTTGTCGGAACGGTAGTTCTCGTACAGGAAGTTGTTGGTGTGCTCCTTGAGCTCCTCCATGTGGGTGCGGATCAGCATCTGGCGCAGCTTGACAAAGTCGCAGTGCTCCTCGTTGTCGACCTCGATGATACCCCAGGGGTAGCTACGGCCACGGACTTTACGGCCGTCGGCAGCAGTCACCTCGGAGTTGGCACCAACCACGGCGAAGGGGACCTTGGACATGATCTCCTGGTTCTCGGCAATGGTCTCCTCGTCGTCCAGCTCGTAGCGGGGGCCTTCGAAGATCTGAATGTCATGTTGTTGGATATCGGCAAGGATCTAGAAGAAGTTAGCATTCATCCTCCCCTTTGAGATGCATAAGGCACGGGGTTGAAAGAACGTACACGCTGCTTGAAGAGGGTGACCTCCTCATCGGTCAGGGTATCGGCCTTGGCGATGACGGGAATAAGGTTAACCTTGGTGTGCAGACGGCGCATCACCTCGATGTCCAGGGGCTTCAGGGAGTGACCGGTGGGCTGGATGAAGTAGACACAGGCGTGGATACGGTTGTCGACGATGTTGCTGCGGTTGACCTTGTTCTCGGCCTCGAGGTAGGTGTCGTAACGCTGCTCGACGTTCTCGACAATTGGGCGCCAGGAGTCTTCGTTGTTGACAAAGTCACCGAAGCCGGGGGTGTCGATCACGCTGAGACGGAGACGGACGCCGTTCTCCTCAATGTCGGCACTGGTGGATTGGATGGAAACGGTCTTGGGAATGATATCGGCATTGGGACCGGTGCGCTCCTTGGGAGGGTACAGGGAGGTGTTGAACAAAGTGTTCACGAGAGTCGACTTTCCGAGGCCAGATTCACCTAATGGGGATATAAGCTTTCATAACACGTTTTCTCTGCATTCTGCCTCACATACCAACAACCATCACATTGAAGTTGAAGCCCTTGCGGACACTCTTGCGGTGCCACTGGTTGGGCAGGTTGGCGAAACCGACGTAGCCTGTCAACTTGCGGCGGACCACGTTCTTCATGTCGGTGGCAGCCTGGGCGGCGGCCTTGGGGTCGCGGGAGGTGACCGTCTGGGCAATTCCGGAGCCCATTGGGTTGCTGCGCTCGACGAAAGGCGATTCCATGCCGCTGCTAGGGGTGGGAGAGTCCCGGGACGCGACCGGAGACGCGACTGGGGAAGCCGCAGGAGGAGAAGCTTCAGAAGGCATCAGTATGTTGTTGTTCGATCGAATTCGCAGGTGACCTACACATTGTGTCGAGAAGGAAGAGCAAGGAAGAGTAATTAAAATCCCCTATGGGAAGTCAGCTAACGTCCAGCGGGGTTTCGCCAGGGGGCTAAGAAAAATCAGGGGGGAAAAGGACAACAGTACCTGTTCAAAATAAAGAAACCAAGGGGAAGAGTTAAATGAAGACAAGCGAGAGACCTAGAAAAGAAAAAAAGTAGGGACACTGAAATGAAGAAAAGAGGATGGGAAAGAAAGGGGGTTCGGGCCCCAGTCTGGAGTTGGTTTGGATCAACGTGATTATCTATATGCATCTCTACTAATAAACAGTATGTACCTGCAGTCAATTCTGTTCTATACATTGGACGAGTCAATTGACCTCCTTTTCCTTTTTTACTAGTATTCTCTATATTTCTTATTTCGCCTATTCTCGAACCTGTCCGATTGAATCTTCCAGTACTGTCCGTGGGCAGTTCTGATTCTGGCCAGGAATGTGGAATCGACCATTGGCAAACTGCATATACTGCACACACACTGGCCAATCCCTATGGCAGTCCGGTATCTGCCAGGTCATATAATATACTCTCGTACCTCGTATAGTTGTCTCCTGAGATCAGGGGTTAAACGTTACCGCTCACGTGAGCTCCCCACAAAAATGGGTGTACGAAGTACCAACTGCTACTATTAAGACCAATTGAATATTGAAACTAGCTGTACATCTATTGAGAGGTCTTGGTCTTCTTCTTGGGACGCTCATCATCATCGCCCGCAGGAGCATCCTGCATCTCCTCGTCACTGCCACCGCTGCTCTCATGGTCTGAGTCGAACTCTTCGGCCACGTCGGACTCTGATGAGGCGTCGAAGTCTTCATCAACCGATGACTCGTCTTCGTCGGCAGACCCGCGGTCGGGTCGGGCCTCCTCGTCACTAGATCCCATCGCGTCGTTGTCAAGTGCCGCGGCAATAAGACCAGAGGCCTAGACCCCGGGAGATTAGCATACCACTCGACACCGGGGAAACAGGGGCTACATACCTCCTCGGCCATTTCATTCTTAATGCGGATGCTCTTAGCCTTGAAGAAGTCCTCCAGGGACTTTTGCTCCTCACTGGGGCAGTTAGCGTAGATCGAATGAACGGGGTTCGGAGCACGTACCGGTTGATGTTGCTGAATTGATGTTCACCCAATCCGTTCTTCAAACCCACGGTGATATCGAAGGTACGACTGGCAGAGACAGCACCGCCAACACGTGACATGGTGACCATAGCGATGTTGTCCATCTGAATGTAAGTAGCAGGCTTGGGAACGAACATGAGACTCTTATCCAAGAAGTACAAGAGACCCTCGTTGGCTTTGATGGAGCACTTGACTCCGTGGTGGCCATGGTGGCTGTAACATATTAGCGGATGCAGCCGACACGGCGGATAGTTTCGTACCTGACGAAGTCCTTGGAAGGCATGATGACCTTCTTCCCGGACAGGCCACGGAAGACCTTGGTGACCACTTGGTGAATAGGTTCTTCGTAGTGAGGCTGCAGCTTGTCCTTGTACTGACTTTGCATAATGTCCCTGTCAGTTTGTTAGCGGAGTCGTTCCCAGCTGCTGAAAAATACTGACTCTGTCATGTTCATCTCGAGACTGATCTCCTCATCCAGCTTCAGCTGCATCACGAGGAAAGGATAGCGGGTTTGACCCTGGCGCAGAGGGGGGTCAAGACCAAGCACAATGAGTGTGTGGGTGTCATCGTTCTTGGGAAGAAGGAAGAATTTCTTAATCGCAGAATATTGGATCTTGTAGTCGTAGGTCTTTCCGCGCAACCGGAAGGATGATTCGTACATATCGATATCGAATCGTCCTCTGGGCGTGAGATGCAGAACATCGAGGAAGGTAGCAAATGTGTCGCCCGCCACGTCTCCAATCTCAGCCTTGTCCATGAGCGTCTCATAGAAGAGGTTGGCGGCATTCTGCTCTTCTGCGTCGTCATCGTTCTCTTCTTCCTCGCCCTCGGCACCCTCAGCCTTCTCGTTCTTCACCGCGGTTCCGGGAATATAGAAACGCATCTCAACCAGCTCATCGGGACCTGCGGCAGCCTTGCGGCCTCGGTTCTTTGTGCTTCCAGGCTTCACAGCTCCCTCACCTGCATCCCCAGTTGGCAGGGCGAACTCCACAGCGACCTCATTCCGTCCTGCCAGATTTGTGTTTGCGATTTCCGAGTAAGGGACTTCGAAAGCGGGGCGGTTCTGAACGTTGAAGGCGAGTTCGGCTTTTGTGAATTCTGTTTTTCCCCAATTCCACCCTCGCAGTGCGTGCTCTCGGGTCTCCACGTTAATGCCGTACCAAATCTTGAATGCCTTGCTCATGCGCTCAAAATCCTTGAATTGGTCAGTAAATGGATGGGTGATTGCAGGGCGCTCAACTGGACATACCTCCTGGTCAAATCCATCCAGTTGGATCACACCTGAGTTGCGCGACAAGATCTTAAGCTCAAAGCCCTTTGCAGCACGACTCCAGTGTGCTGCGCCAATGTTGCTGCTGTCCAGAGTGAAGGTGTCGCCTCCACCTGATGGGCGCCATCCCAGGCCGCTGTCTGCCAGCTTGCATTTTCCTGGTTGCTTTGAGAGGTCTAGGTAGATGTTGTCAAAGCTCTCCCTAAGGTTGTTAGCGCTGGCCCAGGAATGCGGTAAGTGGCTCTCACATGATAGAGGCCGTGAAAGTGACGTATGGGTGAGGCTATAAGGAATGAGTCTTGTGGTGGGTTGGAGGTGGATGGAGGATGAGAGATGAGCTGGACTGAAAGCTTGACAATTTCTGGAGTTCGCGTTGCGGCGCGCCGTAGGGAGGCCACTTTCACCAAATGTGGTTTAGCGTTACTGCCTGAGGTGTCTATATCTATATCTGCTCACTTCTTTCTTTCACTGCAGGGACATGAATGTGCAATTTTTCAATTATGGAATATATTTACATAGACTGGTAGGATAGATTAACTTTAGAACTGGATATTGATCAGACAATGGCCTGGAAGTCCGATATAAATCATACTTACTTAAGTACGAACTCACTGTGAAGTACTAAAGTTGATGGCATTGAGTGATTCCAAAGAAATACCTAACCAACAAGTCTAATGTAGGACTTCAGGAGGGATACACTGCAGATGTCAGCTAAAATGAGGACAATTAGTTCACAGAGAGTAGTACTTAGAAGGTTAGCGCCCAGGTATCAGAGAGGGTTGTCTATGATAGCAGGGAATGAAAGTCGATTGTATATTTCGGGACCTCGAGAATAAGACACATTTACAATATACCAGAATATCTAGGAATACTGGAGGAACTGGGAATACTGGGAATCGTGGGAACACTGGAAATACTGAAATAATTAGGAATCCTAGGGAATAAGTTAGTATATCATCTAGCAAACGAAACGAGAAGCGAATATAATCAAGGTAAACCTTCAAGCAATTCCTCATGGCTGTCCCTGCTATGTCGGGTCCAAATAACATGGGGCGTTTCAAAGGCTGGGATCATCCATGTCGTCCGATAGGCCGGATGATTGTCTTTCGAGGCTTTCAGAGCGCGGAGCCGGGTGTTGTACTGGGCGGATGTGAACCAGTCGGGGGGGACATGCCTGGTGTAGATCCGCCATTTGGTCATGTAGATCTGATAGAGATTGTTCTGGTCAGCTCGATATACAACTTCAGTGATCTGGCCAGTACTAAAAGAGACGGTGAGTGCGTTCAAGTGATTTCTGGCGCCGAGCATCATGGCGTCGAATTTTTCACCGATTTGTTTGGGAGTAGGGGGGTTTAAAACCCCGTTTATCGCAACAAAAGAAGGACTGTGCTCCATCAGAATCGGAAGAACCCGACAAGTGCCTGGGGCAGGGCTGTTGAGACAGAGGTCTAAAGGCGTGCGAGGGATGAAGGCGGTATTGGGGAGATCCGGGTCGGGGGCAATATGGGGATGCGGAAAAGCATACTGGTAACCCTGTGGAGTATGGAGGTTGTAAAGCCACTGAACGGCCTCGAGTCGACCTTCCTCGGCAGCGATATGAAGTGGAGTATTGTTGTAGAGATCGACAGAATTGTGGTATGAATTAGGAATGGGATGCGGCATATAGTTTCCAGCAATATCTTCCTGGTCTAAACGCAGGAAGTCAAGGGCATACGTCACGTCGTGACTGATACGCATCGCATTGTGCCAACCGAGACCAAGGGTAGGGAATACGCGAGCGTTAGGAGGGGGGGCCTGTCTGAAACGAATATCGTCACCCCCGCCGAGCCAGGCAAATTCAATGAGTGAATCCTCTAATTTATATGAGAGGGAGCGAAGGAGATTGCGGTTCACAAACCTGCAGACATAATAACGGAGTCGAGGAGTGAATTTGGCTACAATAGAGGTAGATGGCCGGATAATGCCACCTGGATTAAATACATCCTCGGTGAACTCAGCGGTGGTCCATTTGTTGTAGATCGGAAGGAAGAGATCGAGACGGCCTTCCATGGCAGCGAAATCAAGGAGAGAGCCATGTAGGTCGGGATCCTCAATCAGGGGCCAAGCGGCATCAGAGATCCGAGCGGGATAATCGCCGAGTGAGTGTCGAGTTCTAGCAGTCTTGACGAGGAGCTTGAGTATTTCGGGCTGGTGGGCTTTGATAGCAACGTATGCGAGGGAGTTCCCGTTTTGATTGTAAATCACTGGAAAATCCTCCAACAGATCTAGGCTATAGAGAAATTTGATGCAGTCCAGACAACCAGCTCTGATAGCACCGGTAACAGCATCAGCATCATCTACATGGCTACCTACAGGTCCATCCCAATCTGCAGGGACATAGGGAAGGTTCAACCCTTCGGTCCGTGGAGGTGGGTAGACCTGACGTTTGGGATCTAGGACGTGTGGCATAGTAAAAACATGGAGCCAATCCATCATACGGTCTAGCACATTGTCATCGCGAAACCATCTTCGAGCCATGGCAAGACAGTTGGCGTATCTATTGGTACGGAGGGTGAGTTTGCGCGTACAACAGAGACGGTAGTGGTTGAGACCAGCGCGGGTCTGACCGGGATCTGGGCCGAAATAAGCGTTCATCGCATTCTGGAAGGCCACCCAACTCATACGGTTAAATTGCTGGTATTGAGAGGTGGAGAATTCGTAAGCCATGTTGTGAGATTGTGAAGTTGTGAGTGTGTGAGTGTGAATCTAAGCCCGGGAATCAGAGGGAATTATATACCTTAGTAGTCAAAGGAAGATTCGCATATAATGGTCAAGAAAGGACTTTATCTGAAAGGACTCGAGAATTACTTTGACAGAAGAATCCGAGTCCTTGTCAGAGGATAATAAAAGATTGTATAGAATAACAAAGGATAAAGGAATACTACTCGACGTTGGACAAACTATTAAATCCGAAGTACAACCCTTTGAATATGGATCAAGAGAAATTTGGAGCTTTGATTGTATAGAGTAACAAAGATAAAGATTGAAAGGGTTCGGACAGATCAAAGGAATTGTCACATACAAGTGGTTTGACGAATATTCTAATATAGAATGTCTGGTCAGCTCCAAGTTTTTCTCAAACACATTTCGTAAATCATCAGTTCTTGGCTTCAACTTGAGAAGCTTACAGTTCCTGAAGTCGATGTGCAGGGGCCATGCTAATTTACCACTAGCGAATTTCATAACGAGGCAGTCAACTTCGTGTTAATGGCTGCGGCAAAGTACATCCAGACATTTCGTACCAAATTCCAAGGCAAAGGGAGTTTCTTTGGCTTCAGGGTAACATGCTCCCTGCGACATGCACTTTAAAAGTTTCTAAAGTTACGGTGAGCATCAGCCCTATGTAAATGGAACGAACTACTCCCCGCTGTACTCTGTACGGGGAAGAAAGACTCGAACTTTAGAATTATGATACATCGAACCAATAGGGGAAGCCCTCACAAAGCCCAAAATTTAATCAAAAATGCGGTGTACGAATTGCCAATTGAAGCTCGGAAAATGAATAATCATAGGAATCGTCGACTTTTATATACCAAGCTAAATCTAAAGTCTGGCAGATTCCACCCGCTTTCCACTCTCGTCGAACTCAATCTTCTTGCCCGAGATCAAGCTCTCCTGCAAAGCGGCACCAATGCGCACTGCCTTGACAGCACCCTCCAATGACATAGGGGGAGGAAGGTTATCAAGACAAGCAGCAGTGAACTCATTGGCCTCGGTAACGAAAGCCTCGCGGAATCGGCCATAGTAATCAGGGGGGATCTCACGACGCACACCAGTAGGCTCGAACAAGTTGACCAAGTTCGACTGGGGCTGTGTGTTGACTGCAATCTGTCCGTTTGTACCGGTGATCTCGGTACAATCCATCTGACCAGCGGCCATCATACGGGAGCAGTAAAGCTGGGCGATTTTGCCATTCTGTTATCAATCAGTTGTTGTTCGAATGTAGAATAGTCCAAAGTACTCACGTAGAACTCAATAATGCCCACTGCGTTGTCGCGATCATTGTGCTTCCGCAGATCGGGCTGCACGGCTGTGATACCAACTGCAGTCACGCTCTTGACTTTGCTATCCTCGCCGAAGAACCACAATGCAAGATCGATATCGTGAATGGAACAGTCGACAAAGATACCACCTGAGAATTCGGCGTAGGCAACGAAGAACCCGCTTGGATCGAGCTTATCGCATGTCTGCGAGCGGAATACGGAAGGTGTGCCGATATCGCCCTTTGCCATGCGGTTATAGGCATCGCGGTATGAGGCGTCGAAGCGGCGGGAGAAGCCGCAGATGACTTTCTGCTTGGGGTATGTCTTGATAGAAGAGCGGTAAGCGTCGACGACGGTTTGAGACTATTTTGATTGGGATTAGTTTTTGGCTGCCCGGATTTGGGGGAATGATGTCGGGCTTACGATTTCGGGACTGGTGCTGAGAGGCTTCTCGCAGAGAACGTGGTAGCCCTTTTCAATGGCTTTGATGGCTTGTTCGGCGTGAATGGTTGTGGCACTTGCGACCACGACGGCTTGGAGGGTCTTTTCCTTGGCGAGCATGTCGTCGAAGGACAGGTATGTTCGGACAGTGGTGAACTCCTTCTTGGCGGCGTCTAGCTCGGCTTGGACGGGCGAGCAGACTGCAATGAGCTCGGCGCGGGGTGTGAGAGTTGCAAAGTGTCGAGCATGGCGCATACCCATGCGGCCAATGCCAGCGACTGCTACTTGGAGTTTCTCAGACATGATGTGTAGATTGGGAGAATTGGTTAGTGAATTGAGACTGGAAATCTAGTTCTGGGCCGGTCGCTTTATAGCTGTTCACCGTCTCTCGCAGGGTCTTGCTATTTCCGGGGTATAGGTGCAGCTCATGTCGATCGTCCCCAAAAGGGTAGGATTTCGGCGATGGTTGCTTCGGCTATTGAAATTTCCCCACTTTGACTGTCCTCGGAATTCGATTCGGAGGCCATCTTCCACTGCTAAAGACTGTATTATCGGAGGTCGTTCTCCGGAATTTGCTTAAGTACTTCAATATTTTGCATTGAATATGGAGACCACATCTATGGATATACTTAGAGAATCTGGCTTTGGCTAGTTTTAATTTGGACAAGGTCTTAATGGCAAACAATGTCTGCTGTTCTCGGTGACTATGGAGTACTTTGTACGAAGTATTTTAATATCAATAGAAATTAGCATATATTTCGTAATAATACACAGATCCACATGCACTTTAGTACAGAGTAAAGAGGAATAGACGCCTAAACGAAAACCCGAAAAGGAAACTCGGGGTAACCCCGGGTTTTCCCCGCATTTTGGACCCTCGCCGATGATTGCCCCTCGCCCTCTTCTCACTTCTTCTCGAGATCATACGAATGCAGAATGCGCAAAACAGTCCCCTGGTGAGTCTCCACCCGGATATTAAGCACCAATCACTAACTCGGGTTATCAGCCAGGAGTGCCGCAGTAAGTGCCTAAGCCCCAGGCGTGTTCAATCACTAATTTGTTGATAGACCGGCATGTGAAGTGTAAGTGTGATAATGCGGTGTAGAAAGACTGCATTTAGGGACCTTGATTGACCAGACATAGGTGATGGAACAAGACCAGTATGCACCCGGTGCAAGCGCTCGGGTTCTTCGTGCGTCTGGCAGGCCGTGCCATCCGGGTTCCGTCACGGCTCTAGTGCCCGATATGATGCCGAATTCGCCGAAGACCAGGTCTGGGTGCCGATTGCACATGGTGAGTTGTTTTCTATCTTAGAGATTGTTGTGAGATTCCTGTATGGCTGACAGTATGCAGATTATAGATATGTTGATGAGACAGCCGATGTTGCCAAAGAGTACTCGCTGGAGCTGGGCGAGGAGACCCCGTGGGCCTTAGAGCAATATGGTGTTTGTTTGACAGAGGCGCCTATCTTGGCAGATTCATCTACTCTAGCAGAGCCATCTATCACGAGCGACACTGTCGATTCATATTCAGGTCCCTGGGGTTCCCAGGAGAGGATCACATCTCTGGACTTGTATAAGTCACCGACAAATAGCTATTCAATCTCTCCGGTATCTGTTCAGACACAACTTTCTCCCAGCAGCTATACGATACCACTTTCAGAGAATCTGGTCGCCACAGAAACTGGACTGGTCAATTTTGATGAGCATGAAGCTTGTCTAATGCGTTATTTTGTGGTCCAACTTGGTCACTGGGTATGCCACTAACCCTAATCTGCGTTGTAACTCATTAGTTTCCATACTAACCCTATATCAGTTTGATATCTGTGACGGACAAAGACACTTTGCATGTACCGTCCCTGTACGGGCACTGACATGTCCGCCTCTACTCAATGCAATCTACACCATCTCCGCCAGACACTTGACCAAATCTAAGAAATATTATGTTGGAAATAAAGTCAAGTATGGAGGCAAGTACCTCCCCAGACTAACCCCAGAGACTGCTCTCGAGTACCACAATCGATGCATTTCCTACTTCGTCTCTCTCTCCGGCCACTCCCAAGAAGCAGGGGATGAGAATCTTCTTGCTGCAGCCGTCGTCTTACGATTCTACGAAGAGGTTGACCGTAAGTCACACATCCAAACCCCCAACCCTCCACAACTAACAAATCCCAGTCCCCGCAATGGGCGAAGACACCGAGTCCGCCCTTCGTGGCATCCAAATCTTCCTCGACGCCCAAGCCATCCCCGCAGTCTCAGGCACCGGTCTCCGCCACGCAGCATACTGGGTCGCCCTCCGTCAAGAAATCATCACAGCCTTCTCCAAACAACGTCCCTTCCGTCTCCCCCTGGGTCCCTGCGAACCATACCGCACCTTCGAGCCCGCAGACGACTACGTCTGGGCCGATCGACTAGTCATCCACTGCGCAGACGTCCTCCAATTCTGCTTCGGCTCCGAAGAAGAAGAAAACTCCCCTTTCCCCCCTTCCCCCGAATCCCGCATCGCCCGCTACGACACCTTAGTCTCCTTCGAAACCCTCTGGACCGAGCTTGGCCCATCATCCTTCAACCCCGTCTACGCCAGAGACCCCGATCCCGCCCGAGGTGAAGTCTTCCCCGAACTCTGGTACTTGAATAATTGCCACGTTGCAGGCCTGCAGCATCTAGACCTTGCCCGGATCTTGTTGGCGGTTTATAACCCGCGCCTGCCGAGACTTGGACCCGGGCAGCGGACTGCGATGCGTAGTGTGGATGCGCAGGTGCGGAGTATTGTGTTGCGGCTTTGTGGGATTGCGATGTCGAATTTGCATAGTCCGCCTGGACTGGTGACGGCCAGTGCGGCTATTGGGATGTGTGGGGATCGGTTTGTGGAGAAAGGGGAGCAGGAGGCTCTTTTTGCGGCTCTGGTTAGATTGGAGGATGAGTATGGGTATCCTACACATAATGTGCGGACTCAATTGGGGGATGCTTGGGGGTGGAATGGTTAGATTTGATTCATGGTTACTAGAGATGTATAGACCATTAGATGTTAGACGGTCGGATGTCACTTTATGTGTGAGGTCAATACTTACTCCATCGAGTACTCATTGAGCCCGGTGATCTGAACATGGTTCTGTCGAGAGCGCAGGACGCAATAGAACACAGTATATTGCCACTACCAGACTGATATTGGGGAGAGTCTGAGGAGAGAGAAAGAGGGCAAGCACGCATCTATCTATACCTGGCGGTCCGAACCCTGAGGTGGGTCATCTTGACAGATTCAAATAGAGAGCTGAACTTCTTTTTCCAATCAGATCAATGTCTTCAAATCCTTCTCCTCAAACTCGCACTAGAGTCTCTTCAGCGGGGAAAGGGGCACAGAATACTGCTTAGAGAAGATGGTTGATTGGGTTGAGAGGAGAGAGAAGATCTAAGCTAGCTAGGCTGGTTATCTACAGTGGGCACCTTAGGCAGACATATGAAACAGATTCGAAAGGCTGTCACGTGGCATTCCGCACTGAATGCAGTTGTCGTGGAGGGATAAGTTGTGAGGGCCGAAGCTGCACCCGAAGCAGTACCACAAGATAGTTCCATCTGTGACAGACGGGGTATTTTCGTTTGATACCAGAGATTGGGACGGAACTTGTTTATGTTCATCGTCAATCATCTCGTCTTCATTCAGAAAGGTATCTGCTTTTCCCTCTGAGGTATCCAGAGATTCTGGTTGGGGTTTGATTCTTTGCTCGAGCGTTTCTTCTGTCATTGGGTGATCTAGTGGGTGGTTTCAATTAGCTGAGCACCCAAATATGAATGGAATTCGGTGGCAGGTTACCATTGTCAGGGCCAAGAAGACTAGTAATACTATTGTCGGATTCGATTTCCATATCTGACGTGTCCCCAGGAACATCTGAACGGGGCTTATCAGAAGTAATTGAGGTAGCCTCTTCTGTGTCAGGTCGTGGGAGGGCAAATAGCGCCAATTCTTGCAAATGTCGACCGACATGTCTTTCAAACTGCTTCCCAGATGGAAATGATGCCCTACAGAGAGGGCATTCTGCCCGATTGTCTGGATCTTCTGAGATAGAATGTTGGTTTTTTGAATGAACATGCCACTCCGCACGGCTTTCGTACAAGCGATGAGGTGTCAAACAGCCCGGGGATATGCAAACATAAGGCATGAGGTCACTGAAGATATGACGAGCCCACGCAGTTCTATCTCGAACGCTTATAATCTCGAAGCAGAACGGACATTCGAAATATTCGCCATCAGCTGATTCTGCCGGCGGAGGTGGAATTGACATTCCACCCCCACCGTGCAATATAGTTGAGGCGTAGGAGGTTTGCGAGATAGCAGATTGAGATCTGGACTCCCAGTAGTCGCTAGTCTCCACCGAGGAATTATGAAATTCAGTCGCATCAGTTTCTGACAATTTGGCCGGCTGTGTATCATCGCCTAAAAGTGTGTTGAGACCGTGACCGAGTTTGATGTGATGTCTTTCGCGATATTTCAGAAGAGCACGGCGCCGAGAAATCGCTAACCCAAGACGATTGAGTAGATCTTCATCTGCGTGTGGATACTTGCTGTTCACATGCTGTTTATCAAATGGTTCATAGAGGATTGCGTCCAATCTCTTAGTTCCTAGGAAGCGATCACATTGAGCTGGTAGCCGAATGACAACAGACATATGGAAGAGATTGTTGATTGTATCACGCATGGCATAATATATCGAACGCACTTCGGATTGATGCTCTTCGTCTTCTTCCGATTCTGAAAATTCCTCCTCTGTACCTACATCTGCGGTATCGTCTGCGTCTCTGAGATCCTCAATCAATCTTTGCAAACGCTTCAAGAGTTGTAAGACTTGTTTTTTGACATCTGAAGCATCTCGCAAGCGATAGTCAAGTGAGGATTGACCAGCTTGGTGTGCACCAATATTAGAAGCCCAGACACGAAATCTCCCTAATTCATCTTGCCACAGTGCTAGTGGAACGTCCGATTGGCTTTCTGCTAACGCAGATTTCTCGGATATAGAGTTCCCAAGGCCTTTGAGGCAACTGATCACAGCATGCGATATCTCGTTTGCGGGAGTGTGCTGTTGTCGGGTATTCAAAGCACATGAGACATCTGAAGATTCGATGCGAGCGGGTTCAATATTCGTGACAAAATTTTGGTGGCTTCCCATTTTCTCCTGGATATTGCGTTTAACCCAGGCGACATGAATGACTCTGGATCCTTGCAGGTTGGTGGAAATACTGTCAAGTGGCTCAAGGTGGCGATCTTAAAAGGGTTGATCTCTGAAAGCTAAAGACTGGGAAGAGGTCTTGAAGCCAAATCAAATGCTACTCAGAACAGACCAGTTTGAGTAGGGTTACCGAGAATGAGGCAGCTTAGAGGATGAATGGGAGAATTCGAACGGCACCTGCGGCGCACTCGTGAATCATACCAGTTAAGGTATTTGAACAACTTATCTATCAGCAATCAAGAAAACAAGGCTGTTGCAGGGATAGATTCCAGACTGGCACATCATTGCTATGTGTTCATCTCTGATTTGTTTGCTCCTGAAGTCAGGACCAACTGTAGGTCTGTAAGCGCTGCGGGGTTGCTGCAGAGTGTTGGGCGTACATTTATCGACTCTGCCCCGCTGAATTCTCGTCTAAATATTCCCTCAACAATCAAATACAACGGCAATTCTGCAATGGAGGCAGTAGGCGTTGCACTTGCGGTCCTTCCTCTTCTTCTGAATCAGCTCGATAACTACGTACAAGGACTTGAGACTATCAAAGGCTTCAGGGCAAAACGTTATCGCAGAGAGCTCGAAGGTTATTTTACAAACTTGGGTGCACAGCAGACAATCTTTATTAACTATCTCTTGCGCTCTCTTGATGGCGTAGGATTGGACTATGAAGATGAAATCATTGATCTGAGTTACAATAGCCTTGGGGCTCTGTGGAGCAAAGAGTCTGTACAGTCTAATCTCAAGAAGAGGCTGGGGAGAAATTTCGATCCATTCATTCAAATGATGAGAGAGATATCGAATATGTTAGATGAGCTATCTCGGATGTTAGGATGGGATGAAAATGCTTCTGTCGAGGTATGCTTTATGATGAATTATCCATGGATGGGGAATTTATTGACTAACGATTATCCTTCAAACTAGCAATATTGGAACAAAACGTCCTCAATCGAAAGAGAAATCAAAAAATTTCGAAATATCTTCTCGAAGAGCATCTACTCCGATCTTTTCAGTCGAATCCACACTGCCAACAAGATCCTAGGCACTCTATTAGAGCAGACGGATTATCAAACCAGGATTCAAAAACGGAGAACATCAAAAGCGTCATTAATACGACAAAAAAAGGCTCGCAGATCCGCTTATAGTCTTCACAATACAATCGTACGGGGTAAATACTGGAATTGCCCTTGCAAAGACCAACACTTGGTGCATTTCGTTTTCACTCCTCCATATGTGGAGAACCGTGGCCATCAAAAGGATTCTAGATTCAGACTGGTTTTCACGACTAATTCTACTCCCGATGTTCCTCAACTAGCCGGTTATAGTCGTGAAATCGAGGCTCAACCAGATTTGATTCAACAAAGTTGTCAAACCCTCCCTCTACTCCAAGCCACTGTTGAAAAAAAGACCAAGGTTCCATTTTCTCCCACACCACCGACACAAGAGAATCTTCCAATCCCAGATATTCCAAAGGCCTCTCCGATTTCAAATCTTTGTCACACGTTGTCACAGGCCAATGGAGACCAGCTTCAGTTGCTTGGTTGCCTGACGGATGATAGTTATCAGCACAGAATGTATTTTGTGCGAAGCTACGCCGAGAACCTCAAGTCACAGTCCCTTGCAGAGCTGATAGGTGCTGCAATGAACCCGGGTGACAAATATCAATTTGTCCTCCCTCAGCGACACCGACTAAGACTAGCTGTGAATCTTGCATGCAGCGTTCTCCAATTCCACGGAAGTTGGTTGAAGAATGAATGGCGAGCCCGAGACATCATGTTTAATACAAGCACGTCGGCCGATGTTGAAAATCCTTATGTCCTCTGGAACATGATGAATGCGGAGCAAAAAGGCAAACAGAAGGCTAGCGCCGCGCTTATTAGAAGCGAAATACTTTTCCCTCTGGGTTTAGTCCTTGTCGAGCTTTCTTTGTGTCGGACAATCGAGTCTCTACGCACACCAGATGATGTTGACCAGGATGAAGCTCAAACGAATCTGAAAACGGCAGCTCGCCATTTACAATCTGTGGACACGGAAAGCGGGGATTATTATGGAAAGGTGGTTGAAAGGTGCCTGTTCTGGCCTGGTATCAAGGAGGCTACGTTGGATGATGAGGAACTGCAGGACGAAGTGTTTCAAATGATTGTTCTGCCCTTGATTGAGCATTTGAACAATTTTGAGGGCAGGTCTCATATGTATTGATACTTTCTATCATCGGGTTTCTTAAGTAAAGAATGAACTGTAAATCAGGCCTTCACATGGTTCTTTGTATCGAAAGGGGATTCGGGCAATAGAGGGATCTGAGACCAGAAGAGATTCCGGCCTTGAAGATGAAAGATCAACCAGTTTTATATGGTGCTAACTTGGTTGTTTTGATACACCCCCGAGGCCGAATTGACTATTTCCGAGCAAAAAGATCAGAAATTCTACCAACTCCTACATTCCCTCCACTCAAAATGATACCCACATCCCATCCTTTCTCCCCAGCCTCACGCTCCACCATTCCCCGAAACTCCTCATTGTAAAGAACAACCGCCAAAGGCACAGCAGCAGCAGGCTCAACCACCAGCTTCAGCCTCTCAAAGATAAGTTTCATAGCATCCAGAATATTCTCCTCCGTCACAGCATACATCATATCAACCAAACGTCTCTCATAAATAATCTCCCAAGGAAGAACCCCAAGCTTGCCCATCAACCCATCCGCAATAGTATTCGACTCAACATGAGTGACCCTCTCACCAGATAAAAAGCCTCGACGCCCATCATCCGCGCCCTCAAACTCTGGCTCAGCCCCATAGACGCGAATCCCGGTACCCTCGCAGCTGAGCGCAGTGCCAGCAAGTAGTCCGCCCCCACTTCAAGGCGAGACAATTGCGTTCAATTCCTTCACTTCCTCTTGCAGTTCTAGTGCTGCTGTCCCCTGTCCCAATATAACATCCGGATGATCGAAAGGGGGTATCAACCGGGCACCAGTCTTCGCCATGATTTCAGCAGCGCATGCCTCGCGCTCGAATCGTCCACACAATATAAGACTAGCACTATATTCTCTGACAGATTGAATTTTAACAGGACTGCTAGTCTCAGGCATGACAATGTGTGCCGTGATTTGACTTTCACGAGCAGCGAGAGCAACAGCCTGAGCATGGTTACCTGTACGAAGTCAGAACTTCGAACGCCGAGAATCAATTGTATCTACGTGCCTGAGCTGAAACAAACAACTCCTTTCTTCGCCCCGCCATTTTCAAGCCAGCTGGGCTCTTGTTTCAATTTCTCAATTGCATGGAATGCACCCCGTGCTTTGAAAGCGCCGATGCGCTGTAGATTCTCGCATTTGAACCATAGTCTCAAGATGGGTTTGGCGGGTCTTTGACTTCCTGCTTGCTCTGTTGATGCTAGCTGGTTTAGGAATCTGCTAGTGAAGACAGGGGTTTTGTGAATTCGGGACTTGATAAGCTCGTGGGCGTTGACCACGGAAGCCCTTGTTAAGGGAGCACATGTAGATTCGTCGGCCATACTCTGCTTTTCGATGTTGGTTCTTTCGTTCTACAGTTATCCTTGATTCAATCGACAACTTTTGGGTATATGTCCAGATGAACAGTATAAATGATATAACAAAAATGCAAATGTCCACCTTGTACTCAAATACAAACCCCACTAACTCGGGAAAGTCTCATCTTGCCGAGCCTGCGGGGTATATTCACCTGTAGACCCATTCAAGAGATCTTTATCGTACTTGGTATTCAAACTAAGCATACATCTGCATAAATGAGATAGTCGATTGAAAGTGTAGATCCACTGAAGCATCTACAACAGGGCTGGAAAGCGATAGACCGGCAGTTAGGGCAAGTTGCGGCGAGGCCTGCCCCCAAGGAACACTTGCAGTACTCGCACTCCCGATTCCCAGGCATTTCAGTCATGCTCCTACTAAGTATTTATCGTCAATAGACGGAATATTCATAGATACAGCACATAAAAGTCTCATGAATAGATAGTAAATGATCAGTCGTTAGATTGACTTGATTTGATGTGGACATTTTGCTATGGTACACATTTGAGATCCATCCTGCTCCTAAAGCGACTGGCCCCGAGAAAGAAAACACGCCTGCATCAAAAGAAAAAAAGAATCAAAAGGGGCTTGTTTACCAGGCCTCGGTATCAAAGTTCTCTTCCCCGAAGTACGAGGCAACAACTGTACGGTCCGAGAACTTTCGTCCAGCCAGTGCCTTGAGGGCAGTGGAAGCCGACTCGGCATTGTCATACTTGATATAGATCTTGCCGGCACCGTGGCCGCGGCGGGGGATCTTCATGGAGATGATCTTGCCAAACTTGGCACATTCCTCGCCTACGTCTTCCATAATTTCTTCGTAATCCTCGTCGTTAACAAGCTCGTCCTGGGTGACCATGTTGAGGAGCTGCAAGACACGGGTGGTCTCCAGATCCTGGGAGGTGGTCTTGGCGAACATCTGCATGGCGTTGACGCCCATGTCTAGGCCGGAAGCTTGGGTGGTTCCAATGCTGGCGCGCACAACCTTGAGGTGGCGGTCACCAAGCTCCATGCCGTTTAACCCTTCAACGGCAATAGGAGTGGCGGCTGGGTCGGCGTATTCACAGAAAGCAATTCCCTAGAAAAGTTAGGTCCTGTGTGGTATTGTAGGGACAAAAAAAGCGACTTACCCGAGACTCCTCGGTTGCGGCATCCTTCACCAATACAAATGACTTAAGCTCGCCGAATGATTTAAGCAGCATTGTGACAGGCTCCTCGGGGATGTAGGCGGGAATATTAGAAACACAGATCTTGTTGGGGGAGTCGGGCACTTCGCTGAGGACGACACCCTCCTGGACTTGCTGGTCTACACTGCCGTTGGGAACAATGTAGTCCTTGGGTCGTCGCACCTCAAGTCCCTTCTCTGAGCCATTGACCATGGTGATTCCATCGAAGGCCAGAGCGACGGTGGCATCATTGGCGTCCTTGAACTCGAGGAGAGCGAATCCCTTATCTTGGGAAACCTGGGCTGAGATACAAGGATCGGCGCTCTTAATGACATTCAGTCCGTTCAACTGAAGGTTGAAGAAAGCGATAACGGCACCACTCGTGGCACCGTTGGGAAGGTTGTAGGCGAAAAGACGTCGGGACTGGCGGGAGTTGGAGGGCTTGAGAGCGGCGTTTTCGGCATCACCGGTGGGAGGGTTCAGCAATTCCTTCATACGGCTGGGGTCCACGAGTTGTTGACGAGGAGCTCCAGGGAGAGGGAACATTCCTAGCTATGTTAGACAACTCTTTCACAACGAGAAGCGAATCATAAATACCAGAGATCTTTGCTTGCTCAGCAGTAACATTCTCGTATCCAGGAGGCTTCATATCCCACTGAGTCAATCGGCGCTGGCGAACCAAAACTGAAGGCACATCGGTCAAGTCTGGAGTAGGTTCCTTGCGGCGCGGGGGTGTAGCGCTGCGCTTGCGTTCGCGTCTATCGCGATCTCCACGGTCTCCACGGTCTCCACGATCACCACGATCACCACCACGGCCACCGCCGCCTCGGCGCTCCTCAAACAAGTCCCGACGGGGCCTGTCATCAAAGTCACGACGTCGACGATCTCCTCGTTCACCTCCGCGCTCGCCGCGCTCGCCACGATCTCCGCGGTCTCCACGGTCTCCGCGGTCTCCGCGGTCCCAGTCCCGATCATCACGGCGACCAGAGTAGCGGTCCTCGCGTTCGCGGGCACGGTAGTCGCGACTTGTAGAATAGGAATTCACCTCGCGCTCACGACGGGAATCGCCTCGGGATCCATGATGGGGAGAACGAGATCGCCTCCTCTCTCCTCGCTCTGGTCTGTCACCACGTTCGGGTCGGTCACCCCGGTCTCGGTCTCGTCGCTCGTCGCGCTGGATTTGGGTTAGTCGCCGAGGTGTTGCGGCCAGATTGTGGCTGGTACTTACGAAGTGATCGCGCGAACGACCAGTATCTGAAAGAAATTAGTATACATCTCCAGCATGTCTTGAAAGGCCAAGTCTTACCTCTGGAAGAGTAGGTATCACCGTTCATTTTGAGCTTTGATGAGGATTGAAGCTTGGTCGCCATTGAAGGGGAAAACTCATGAGATATGCAGGCGGTCATGTCCACACCGCCTTCTGCACCCCAAACCAGCAGAAAATGAGCAGGCGTAGCAATCAGAGACTCCTGGAGAGTCCAGAATCACGTCGCTACAGTCTTCAAAATGTCTGCAAGTGCTTTGTCAGAGTGGCGCAAGCTGCCCTTAAGCTTGTCTGAGCTTTGTATCAACACCACCTTACGATGTGGTCAATCATTCAGGTTTGTCGCGCACCATCTATAACACAACCCAAACTGACTGTTCCTAGATGGCAGCATATCCCTGAGGATGAGGAATGGCGATGTGTACTCTATGGCCACCTGCTATCCTTGAAACAAGACTCAAGCTGCTTGTATTATCGCTCCACCCGCCCCTCCCAAGTATCGTCCGACAACAATGATAATGAGCATCTCACCCGCATAATCAAACATTACTTCAACCTGACCCCGAATCTGGGTGACCTCTATACCCAATGGTCATCCAATGACCCCAATTTCAAGAAAAAAGCCGCACAATTTACAGGAATCCGCATCCTTCGCCAAGATGCATGGGAGGCATTGGTCTCCTTCATATGCAGCAGCAACAACAACATTGCGCGTATATCGCAAATGGTCGCGAAGCTATGCACACACTATGGAAACCCCGTGGCAACAATTGAAGGCCGTTCGTATCATGATTTCCCTCCCCCGGAGGCATTGACAGGGAAGGACGTGGAGAGCAATCTGCGCAATCTAGGGTTTGGGTACCGTGCTCGGTATATTTACCAGACTGCTATTATGGTATCTGAACGGGAGAAGGGCTGGTTGGATAGTTTAAGCAATCCCGAGTGCCCGGCTTTTGGTGTGGAACCAAAGCCCAGTGGTGAGATGAGACCAGAGGGTCGAGAAGGGTACCGCGAAGCCCATGAGAAGCTCCTTGAGCTTCAGGGTGTAGGACCCAAGGTCTCGGATTGTGTTAGTCTGATGGGATTAGGCTGGGGAGAGTCAGTGCCGGTTGACACTCATGGTGAGTTCTGTTTTCTGTAGTATTAGACCTGTTTGCTGACTTTGGCAGTGTGGCAAATTGCCCAGAGAGATTACAAGTTCGCGAAAAGCTCGAACAAGACTTTAAACAAGACTACATATGATGCCGTTGCCAATCACTTCCGCAAGCTGTGGGGCAAAGAAGCTGGCTGGGCTCATAGTGTACTCTTTACTGCGGACCTGCGGACCTTTGCAGATAAACTTGCCGCTACGAAGAAGGTGGATGTCCGTGTGAAAGAGGAAAAGACCGACGTGAAGATTGAGACAACAGTAACCACTGGACTTGCTTTGAAACTGCCCAAAGAAGAAGACGTCAAAGAAGAAGATGTCGATGTGAAAGTCAAGGTCGAGGATGTTGACCAGGCTATAAAAACGCCCAAGAAGCGCAAAGCCGATATACTCCCCCCTGCTCAGACCACAGAGTTACGGAGAACGTCCAAGCGACTCAGGCGCTAGGTCTGCCGGCATTGAACAACGATATACTATAGGATGCTGCAATTGCAACGCAGGATCCACCCACATGCAACTATGTGTAGGGCTCAGGCTCAGGCTCTCGGAGGAGATACCAGCACGAGCTCATGGTCTACCCAGGTCCCGTGGACGTAAATCATGACTGGTTGTATTTAGATGCTTTCTGATCACTGGGCAACTCTGATCGGATCACCATAGACTAGACCGAAGAACTTGAGGACAAAGTACTGCGTGGTCACGTGATGTACCAAAAGCGGCAAGAGGTGAGGCCTACAATGGAAATCTCGAGTGCAAGATTTGATCTGCATGTCGGCCATGTTACAGATATACAACTACGATTGGACAATATTGAAGTGAAATGGATAAACATGTATTCATCGTTATAGCTATGAAGTGAAAAACCTATAACCGAATCAGTAACGGTTCAACAACAGTGTCATGAAAAATGAAGGTGAAGTTGTAGATCAGAAGTCCAGTTAGATCATCGAGCTGACGTCCGAAAACGCCAACTCTGACATAAGAGGTACCAGAAAATAAAGTATAACAAATGCGTTGTATCATCATAAAAGGGGGATTGAGGTGCTGAGAGGGAGTAGAACGAACCTGATAGATTGATGGCGAATGGCGAAAAAAGTCGACGATTTAAACATAGAATGTTCAAGTTAAAGACACATTAGTCTAGTAACTGAAGTCACTGAGGTCTAGAGAAAACAGAGAGTTGAAGTTCTTAAAAAGAGCAGAAGAGACGAAGTGAAGTTTTCCCGAAATAAGCGAAGTCCACGTGACCCCACACAGACCCCATTCTTTCCGCCCACACTTCAGCGCTTTTTCGATCTTTCATCCACGCCAACCGACAATTCCTCCGGACATATCACCAACTCAAAATGGGTCGTCTTCACAGCAAGGGCAAGGGCATTGCCTCCTCCGCCATCCCCTACTCTCGCACCGCTCCCGCGTGGCTCAAGACCACCCCCGACCAGGTTGTTGACCACATCTGCAAGCTGGCCAAGAAGGGTGCCACTCCTTCCCAGATCGGTGTTGTCCTCCGTGACTCCCACGGTGTTGCCCAGGTCAAGATTGTTACTGGTATGAAATTCGGAATCTGCGCGGTGAATTTGGAAAGAAAAAATTTGCTAACTTTTCTTTGCGCAACAGGTAACAAGATCCTCCGTATCTTGAAGTCCAGCGGTACGACTCCCCACGTTAGAATTACATCCGTCAGGTGAAGAGAGCGAGGACTTGCGTGAACAGACCAACCGATTCGGTAAAAGAATCGACAGTCTCGAAGCGCAATAATCGACTCTCTCCCAGACACTGGTCGCAGAAATGCACCAGCAATTAAGCCTCTGCTTGGTCAAGAACAAGACTGACAGAGAGATTGGAATACAGGCCTCGCTCCCGAACTCCCCGAGGACCTCTACTTCCTGATCAAGAAGGTATGGAACAAAATTCTGTCACTCTTGATTGTATAGGCTAATTCGCAATTCCAGGCCGTCGCTGTCCGCAAGCACCTTGAGCGTAACCGCAAGGACAAGGACTCCAAGTTCCGCCTGATTCTCATCGAGTCCCGCATCCACCGTCTGTCCCGCTACTACAAGACCGTCGGTGTCCTGCCCCCCACCTGGCGTTACGAGTCCGCCACCGCTTCCACCCTTGTCGCATAAGCGCCTTTAGGAGGATGCGTGGTTGACGGAGGAACCCTTTGGATCGTCGTGATCGCCGTATCTGGGGGTTTTCTCTTAGATACAAAAAAAAGGATTACGATTATTTGATACCCTCACGAATGCCCTAGAGTTATGCGTAGATGTAGATCTGATGGAACCAGATCTAGACCATTGATAGGAAGAATTCGTTAAGAAGTATCTTCTGTGAGTCTAGCGTCTCCATCTAAAAATCTAGAACGCCACTCGACCTTAGCTCCAGTACTTTTTAGTCTGTCATTCTAAAGTTGGGGCTATTTCACGCTCCAGAGCTGCGCCTCCCACCATATAACATAGAAGCGCCTACATTTCTCTTCTCGTTAATCATCTTAAGGCGATGAAAGCCCCGAAGGTATATCAAAGTCATTCCTTGGATTGCGATGAAACAGCATCACATAGTTCCACCTTCACACCAGCCGCCAACAGAATATGAATCCAAAGACGCTGAGTATCGCTCAACCGATCATTTTCCGACTTGACCTCGGCGAACATCACAGTCTTAGTCTCATAATTCCAGAGAAACAAGTCTGGGATGCCTCCTCCACGCTGCTGATACTCCTGCGCCATGACCTTACAGATCGTGGCAAGCGCTTCACCACGGAAACACTGCACAATCTCAATCAAGTCGTCTATATCAAATGACCAGTCAAGCCCGACCACGCAAGGCTGGGTTTCGGAGTGGAGATCGTGAATCCCCCGGACGATGTGCTCGGCTCCGCCATTCGTGATTTCAACCAGGCGGTGATTGATCTCTGATGCACGAGATGGGTAGAATACATCCGTGTGGAGATCAAGGGGACATGTTTGGAATGCCGTCTGGAAGACATTGGGCACATATGTGAAAAGAATATCGTAGAAAAGGTAGCCGAACTGATAAAACTGTCAGAGTTATACTTGGCTAGGGAACATTTGAACTCACCAATGTCCGAACAATGCCACCCTCACAATGATATCCCTTCCAGCCATGATCACGGTACCAGCTTAAACACATACTTTCCACTCGACACTCACCTCCTTCCCGCCCATCAATCCAAATAGTCGGTTTCCCTTTCCGCGAAACTACCTTCGATACTTCATCCGTATCGACACGGATCCCCTCAATCGTCCTCTCAGCCGGTCTCCCCAGCATGACATGTCCGAAATCATGCTGCTCGCGCTTGACGACCCGCAGTGCCTTTTCCAACTTGGTAATCCGCTTCTGTAAATCATAATGGAAAATCAAGTGACAAAGCGGATCTTCCAGCCCTGTTTCACAAGTCCGCAGCGCAACCCTCTTCCAGTGTTTGCGCTGTGCTTCCTCGCTGCGGTTCTCTGTTGCTGTCAGAGCCCACATATAATGCTCTTCCAGTAATGCTTTACGCTGATACCACGCTCCACGACGTGCGGCGTGGAATAGACGCTGGGAGAGAAGTTCTTCCAGTACTTCGTGTTCGCGTTTATGCTCCTTGAACCGACCTAGTGGATGGAGGCTTTTATGGATGATTCGAGTTAAGACCCAGGCGGGTGAAAAGCGACGGAGATAAGCGCCTTCGCCGCTTTCGTAGATACTGTCTTCTTTTTGTTGTTCTTGCTTGACAAGTTCAGTCCATCTGGGGTGGAACTTATTCGCCAGGTCGATAATTTGTTGTAGTGATTCGGTACTGGGTGGGCCGTTGAATTCGAGGATATTGTCAACGGCAAATTGGGTCTGGATGGCAGATTCGAATTCCAAAAGTGCTTCTCTAGATGAGAAGATGGAATTCGAGCGGCAGACAATGTACTCGGGGAATGCTCTTTTAGACATCTTGGCCAGAATGATGGTCGTCAGAGACTTTTCGGTCCATTCCGTGGAGCGATAGAAGACCAAGTGTACTCGCTCGAAGAGAGCGCGAGGCACAGATACCAATCTGATGCACCCGCCTGTATAATCCAGGATCTTCTGAGTGAAATGTGTATCTCTATTACCCGTGTCTCGGAGACCTGTTTGGTTCTGGCTCGTTTCACAGAGCGCTGCCAATAGCTCTTTTTTGCTTTTGCCTTGTACTTTGGCTTCTTTGGCAAAGATCTTCAATTCGTCCAAGAGGAGAAGTGATGATGCCTCTTCCAGCGTGGTGATCTCTTCTATTCCCTCGGCGAATCTGAATGTAGATCCGAGTTCGGAATCTGGTAGGCTTCGGTCCCGTTGTAGGTCTTCGGCCACTGAGGTCAGATCTGATATATCGGAGTAATAGTTCAGTTTGTTGATACGATGCCATGCAGAGGTTTTGCGGAGGAAGAGACGGACATAGCTAAGTCATATGTTAACATGGTCAATCCCCAATGTATAAGTGACATACAGATATTGAGACTCGTAGGACAGTTCCTGCCACTGCGTGAAGATCTCCAATTCCGCCTCGCTGAACAGATGCGATTCTTCAACTAGCACAGTTTCCAGTGCTAGATTGAACGCATCAACGTAGATGGAGCTTTTGCCTTTCTGCCAAACTCCATCGCGCAGCCTCATGTGCAGTCCCGTGTCGACATCCTTCGAGGCCTCGTACTCCTCGATTGCGTCCTCCGTTTTAATTGCCGGGAGCGAGGTCTCAAAATTCGTCTGGCTGTTCGGTATGTGCTCTGCATCCTCTGTATCCTCCATCTTCACTTCTGCCGACGGACTCGGGCTAGGCGGGTTGGTCTCTGCGCTCTCCTGGGAGATCCGCCGTCTTTTCGCGGGACGCTGCGTGTCCCAGAAGTTCAACAGGGACATGGTGGCTTTCCATGGGTGCCACTTGTCTCTTTGAGTCACTGTTGAATATCCGACGTCGACGTGTCTCGCCAACAAGTTTCAAACACGAGATCACGTGTGTGATATAACTCCATTAGATCTGTTTGTCCTGTTTGCACTGCATTCACATCGACTTCGATCTACAACTTTCCTTAAGTAGAAGTGAACACTGAATTCAATGTAAATATATATCTTCCCAGTTTATAATTATCTCTGCACCAGCAAGACTGATACCTCTCACAGATTATCAGAAACTCCAACTTCCACTCTGCACTCAACCTCCACCAATCTTGCTTTCACTCGGTCTAAGCATTGACCTTGGCTATTTTACCACATTGCCCAACCTTGAAACAGCCAAATCTGCTTCAATCACCAAAGCCATGGGCGAAACCAATGGAACGAGCACGCCTCTGGGCGATCTGAACATCAATGCCGGCCAGGTTCGTCCTGGCGGTGCGCCCGCACGCGTCTACCTGAATGAAAAGGTCGTGCCGCATCTACTCGATGGAATGAAGTCCGTTGCGAGAGAACAGTCAGTGAGCCCCGTGTCGGTGGTATGCTTCGCTGTTACTGATTTTGATGTACAGACCTGCGAACCCTCTCCGTGTGCTCGGCGAGTACTTGCTGCAGAAGAGTAACGAGTTGGAGGGTGAGACTCAGAAGGAGTCTGAGTGAGGATGGACTTCAGGAGAGGTTTCTTTCTGGCGTTAGGGAAAATGGATCAGATGGTCCACGGGTCTGGGTTTTTATTTTTTCATTGCTTCCAAGGTTGAAGTACATTCGATTTCCTATCGTCTTCGAAAATTCTATGGTTTCAACTGCAATGCTACAGTTCTTTTGATGCTACTGTTAGCCTTTCACATGCTTAAGCAGACCATGAAAAAAAGATTGGCTCTGTGAAATCAAGCCAGGTATACTTAAGTAGAGTACCTTCGGAACCTTCGACTTCGGGAAAGCTTAGAAGATATATATCTCAGTGATCACCGATGTGTAACCGAAACTTTAGAACTTAAGACTTCAGGAATACTCGAGGTTTCTGTAAATGAAGGAATTGAAAATTCACTATAGTTGACTTTTGCCGCATTGAACTGGGCTTCTACAATCCTACCAACGACGATGAAAGGGCGGGATATCCATGGATATATGCCGCCACATGCCTTCCAAGTCTACGTTCCAGAAAGACGATGCGTAAAGCAGGACCTGAACAAAGAATCGGGAACCGTAAATTTTTGCCATGTTTGTTTTCCAAGGCTGGGATCAAGTGCCAAATTCAGGGTCCAGGGACCATGAAAAAAGCCCTCCGACGAGAAAATGAGAAATGGATACGCACCTCCGAACAATTGTCCATGGTGTCTGTCGTGTCCAACGTTGAAGACCTATGGAAAGTTGGATAGAGCACAGGGCACATCTGGATACCACCTAGAAATGTCTGAGAATTTTTGAATAGGTTAGCACTGCCAAAACCTTACCTGTTCATAGGGCCGATTTAAACCTGCAGTTATAAGTTGAGACTACAAGCGCAAAGTCGACGGCCTTGGCGAGGCCGAGCATGCAGGTGTTTAGAGAAGTCGAATACAATCGAGCCGTTACTGGAGATGTGGTGTGAAGGTGTAGAGTTGTAGGTGTGTGACGAAATTGCTGAGCCATGAGATAACCGAATTACAGCGATAATTGTTTGTACCCTTTGCCGCTAGAAGTTTTTTTTCCCGAAGTTGCGTCGCGAACAGACAGAAATGAGACACATCAAGCGACTGAAATGTGACGAGCCGGTGAAGGTCGAGTCGCAGGCCGATGGCGGTCCCGATCATTGCCGAGACGAAGAGTGAAAGCAATTGACAAAGCAAAGACAACGACGCCCCGAGGCCCGTCGCCCAAATCCCGCATTAAAACAATTGGAACAAAGAAAAAGGGTGGGGGAGCGAAAAGGGCAAGTGGTACAACATTGAAACCAGGAGACATTGGAAACCGGTCTCTTTTCTTCTGGTTAGAAAACAAAGGAAAACACTTTACCTGCCGGCGTAGCGGTCTTCACCACCGCCGCCACCGCCACCGCTGCTGCGTGCCTGACCTTCGTAGGAGCGACCACCGCCACCGGCGTAGGGGTCACGGGCCTCACGGGGAGGGCCAGCAGTGTCGAAGCTGGGAGGGTTGGCGTCACGATCGTAGTAGCCACCACCGCCGCCACCACGGGGCTCATCACCACCGCGGCGGTCATCACGGCCACCGTAGCGGTCATCGCGACCACCGTAACGATCACCACCACCACCGCCACCGCGGTATCCACCGTAGTCATCGCGAGATTCACGGCGACCATAGTCACGGCCACCACCGTAATCACGACGGCCGTAATCGCGGCCATAATCACGGCCATAGTCACGGCGGTCGTTGTAAGAGTCGTAACGGCCATAGCGAGAGTAGTCGTCATCACGACGGCGCCAGCCACCGCTGGAAGGACCACGGCGATCATCGTAACGGTCACGACGAGGGCCACCACGGCCAGGGGGACCAGGGCCATCTGTACAGAAAAAAATAAGTCATGAGCTTACACGAGACACAAGACGCAAGGAGTTTGTGCGACTTACCACGCTTGGGAGGACCAAAGTATTTGCCAGGAGTAGGAGTGCGAGGACGAGCACGACGAGCCTTCTCAATGCTCAGAGTACGACCCTCAATGACCTCACCCTGGAGTCCCTCCTTGGCAGCATCAGCTTGCTCAGCAGTCACCATGTTCACGAAACCGAATCCACGGGACTCCTTGGTGTGGGGGTCCAACATAATCGAACAGTTTTCAACATCGCCATACTTCTCAAACAGACGAGAGATGTCAGACTCAGTCAAGCGGGGGTGGATGCCAGTGACAAAGAGGTTGGAGCCAGAGTTGAGGGCACCCTCATCTTCTTCTTCGAGAGGCTTGCGGGTGATGGGGGCGCTGTCGAATATAATTAAAACATGTCGGAATAGAAAGTATAGAGATACATACCGGTCATCAGAGCGTCCATTGGGAGAGCGGCTGCGAGCGCGGTCGCGGTCGGCTCGAGGCTCATCGCGAGGAGAGGCGCTGCGGTCGCGGTCGTACCGGGGCTCATCTATTCAATTATATGAGCATCTTCACCTGCGCGCATGAATGTAATGTGAGGTACATACCAGCATACCGGCCTGAATCGTTGTCGTAGTCTGCCATGATGAAAAAGAACGATGGGTGTAGAATGGAAGAGAGAAGAAAGAAGTTGGGAAGCTGATAACGCTACCCGTGATTGCTCGCCTGAAGAATCAGGCGACAATACATTGCATCGATACTTGATTTTCACTGCAGGGGGGAGTACTGAAGGATTATACAGAGAATACTTTGACAAATATTTGCTTTAGGGCTTATTTCTGTTTATTTCTGTCTTCACACAGAGTACAATGGAGGTGACTTCAGAAAGCAAAATAACAAAAAGCTGTGTAGATTACAAATACATGCTTGCATCTCCCGTTGATATAAAGCGCTATAAACAACTTGCTGAATACTAAAACGCCTCAATTCCCAATTATTACCGTGTGCGCAAGCGTCGAGATTGGCGATGGTTTTGCTGTGAAGCAAGCGGGGGCTGGGCGCCATTGGAAGTAGTGGTAGCTTTGCCGGCTTTGCTTGCTACACCTATGTTGCCATCATCAACCATATCTTTCAATCCCTCGAGTTCTTCTTCGTCCATATCACTGAGCTCTTCACTCATGCCACGCATGACATCACGCCCTGTCCATCGTTCTTCATGAATAGTGGTTCCAACAGGATCAAATGGCTGCATGTACCATTGGATACCACCCACAGCCAGTGGGAGCTGTTGATCTTGCTCTGTCAAGACTGGTGTAGGGTGTCGATAATATGCAGGGGCATTGGTCGGGGGTTCTTGTGTAGATGGTGCCCCATTAGCATCAGGTGCTTCGGGTGGCTGATCTGGGGCGGTCTGGGCCTCGGTCTGAGCTTCTGTCGCAGGGCCGGTTTGCTCAACTCCCTCCATGGCATCAGGGTCAACAGGTAGTTCGCTATCACCTTCTGGCTCAACACTATAACCACCACGAGACATAACACTCTGGTCCAGAATAACGTCCAGCTCCTTCAATTCTTTTTCGAAAGGCTTGCGGTTGAGCTCGCTCTCCTTCCGGATCGCATCCTCCAAGGAAGGTTGGATGACCTTGATGATGCGCTTGGCAAGTTTTCTCTTCTCGCGCTGCTCCAGACTGAGCTCCGGAGCACGACCGCTTATCTGAGCCTGAAGCTCGGCGGTATCACCAGCAGGCTCCACACCAATCTCCGATGTGAAAAGACTGGCTAAGTCGGAAGAAAAGGCAGCGACAGAGGGGTAGAATCGCTGATTGAGTCTCTCCCGGATTGACAGCAAGCCCATTGCAAAAACACCCTTTCCATCTAGTCTGGGACAGAGTCAGCATTGATCACCATACAACCTTGGAAGACACAGAATTTCACTTACAATTGGGCTTTCTCGAGGATTGGCCAAAGCAGAGGGAAGACAGGGAAGTAAACAAGATCAACGATGTTGCGAAGCATCTCGGCATCCTTCAACTTCTCCTTTTCACGCTTTTTGACCTCGTCGCATAGCATCCTCAACTTATCAAGGTCTTTATAAAGTCGGTCTCCGAACTCGATGCGGCGCGTCAGACGCTTATACCCAGGAACTCCCATGGCAACGTAGTCCCTGCGCGTCATTTCCATCGAAGAGAATGTCTCCAGTTGAAGTTGAAGTCTCTTGAGCAAGGCAGCACCACGTCTCGCCTCACGTTTTAATGTCCAGTATTTCGATGCATCCTCGGCGTATTGTTTTCTTTGTCGAACGGTGAAACGGCCAAGTGTGGCTATGACTGAGTTCAGAACGACCTGAGGAATCACTGGAGCACCAGAAGGGAGCTTCCAGATCATGCGGGGAACACGCTTGCGCTTGTTACCTCCCACAGTCAAAGTGAGGCGAGGGGTCATGGTACGGTCCTCATCTCCACCTTCAACCGGGTGTGCCGGACCCATGGACAGTGCGGCAGCCTGGCTATCACCCCAGCGGCGACCCTGCATGGTATTTTGATAGTATTCCATGGCATCAGCAGTCGCAATATCAGTACCATGCTCCAAGCGCCAGTCAGGCGGAACATGCTTGTCGCAGAAAGCCTTCAGAAGATGAGAATCCATCAGGCCATGTCCAATCTTCATCTTCAGATAAAGCTGGGCTCTGCGCGCACATGAAACGTGGAAGGCGAGGTAACAATTTTTATTGCTGCATTGAATAGATGCACCCATTTTCTGCTTGCAGATATAGCAGTTGAGCTTCCAGCGGCTGCGTGGAACCTTTTCAACATCCGTCACTGGCTCCATGAGAGACGGATTGCCGATTGAGACCTCGGGAATCCAAAGAGAGCAAAGCAAATGGGCCCATTTCGAAGAGGTCGTCTGCTTGAATGCACCCTCGGTGTTGGGACAGAAGATACAGTTGGTAGACCCTCTTCCCAGCAGCTGGCACTTGCGGCAAAGCCATTGGCCTTCAGGGATGAAAGGCACACCATAGCACTCTTGGTGCACTGCAAGATCGCATCCATCGCAGAACACAATAGCGTTCGAATTCTCGCAATCACCGTCATCGCAAATGGCGCATTTGCTGTCCTGCTCTTCGCCTGGTCCGGCAGTTTCTCCATTGACCGCGGCGGCGGAGCTGGAGCGAGGTCGCCCTGTCTGAGGCGGTTTTGGGTTTGGCTTCGGAATTCGCTTTTCCAGAGCATGCCACTCTCTTTCGATTTTGGTCATGGTTATTTCAAATATGGCAGGCTTGATAGGCTCCAGCTGGTCTTCACGGCGCTTCGCGTTGTATTCATCCAACCACTTTTCGTCCTGTTCGTCCATATCATACTCGACACGTCCGGTGGTTGTGTTGACATCTCCGTCTGTCATGGCAGGTTGGATGACATCCAGGTCGTCTTCTTGTGTGCCTTCGGTCATTCGAATGAAGCGCCGGTCGTGGCGGAGGAAAAGATCGGTCTCTTGGTATCCAACATTGGCCATGGTACGATCTACGTAGTTCTGATGACCAACGCCCTTCTTCTCATAAAACGTAAATGGATCGCGCAGTCTGAACGAAGGCTTAGGTAGTGTTAACTTCTCCCGCGGATTGGGACCTGGAGGTGGTATAACTTTCTGCCCTTGCTGGGCGAGGAGCGCATTTAGAATAGCCTCGGGGCGACGTGGTGGACGACCAGGCCTGCGCTTAATTGGGATTGGAGAAGCCGTCTCACTTGAGACCACCACTGGCGACCCTGAATGGTCTGAAACAGTGGCGCCAGCTAGTGATTCGAGGGTCACATTGGGTGTGGAGGTATCTGGTGCGTCAACCTCCTCTGAGGTGAAGACAGCAAGTTGACCATCGATGTCCAGGTCAGGATGAAACTCTTCCCACCCACGTTCTTCGCGGGGTTTGTACCCATCGCCTTGTTGCAAAGCCAGAGCAGCCGCTGTGGATGAGGGGAAACGACCGCGGTTTTGGTTCTTATCGCGCCTGGGACGCGACATGGAGGGCGGTGTTGTTGGGATGATCGGGGGTGGAGGAGGGGCTAGTAGTGAGTGTTCCATCTCGGGTGGTTGACTCCGGGCACTGGAGGGCCTTCGTGGTGCAGGTGTTTTCTTGAGAGATTCTTCTGCTGCTGCGGCGGCAGCTGCTGCGGCAGCTTCGACTTCAATAAACCTTCCTCCGCCGCCAGGGCCACCGGGAATGTACTTTCGTTTCTTCGCAGGGGGTCCCTCTGGGGAATCGGGGGCAGTTGTCTTGGAAGTTCTTGATCCTTTGCGTGACGGTCTCGAAATTGAATGTCGGGCACTCGGCGCCATCTGTGAACCAGCTTTCGGACCTGTCTGTTGATCGTCGGGGTTGGTGATTGTTAATCCGACGGGTTCAGGTCGCGTCTGCGACCAACTCAAACAGAGCCTCGTGGAATGTGTTGCTCACACCAGTCATTCACCTAGAAAGAGTAGAAGCAAATAAACCAACGTAGTCAATAAAAAGGTGAAAAAGAGAGAAGTGTGGTGTTCAAGGCGGAGACCCAACTGTGGCCTGAGGCGGCGAATCTTATCCAGTTCCTCCAATGCGACTTACACCTTTCCTTTCTGAGCTGTGATCCCTTGAGATACACTTCACTCGCTTTTTCTCTTTCTTTCCTTCTGCACATATCAACATGAGCGGCCCCAGCGAAAACAAGTATGCTATCGCCACCCACTATTCTACAGCTTCGCTAATTGTTACTTAGATGGCGGGGTGGACCCAGTCGTCAAGCGTCACAGCGCAACGCGAATCGTGACAAGACAGCTCAAGGTGGCGCCCGCGATAACAACAATGCCTGGGGTGCATCGAACCTTTCACAAGAACAGCATGTCCCAGTCCGGGGCTTCAACACAGCAGAGGCGAAGAACGTTCTTAAGAAAGGTACGGTGCCCGAAGCTAGTATACACGATCACCACGCTGACTTGAATCTCGCAACCAGGACCTCGAGGTATATACACTTGCTCATCCCCTATCGATTCCAGTACAAGTCTAACCTATGCGCCGCCACTCCAGAAACAAAAGCATGCACACCCTACAAAAGCACAGCCAAGGACGGCCCAAACCAACGATCTACAGCAACAGGTCCCAAAGGTACAGTTCTTCCCTGGACAGCACTGCCCTTGAACGAATACCAACATATGTACAGCACACTTCATGGGCAACGGGAAAGACTTCTTCGTTGAGCTACGGAAACAGATTGCTGCGCTGCAGCGCGGTGGCCCCCCTGTCGGAGGCTAGACATGACGATTACGACTTCTTTTCCTCAAAATACTTGTATTGCACAGTCGGCCGGTCGCGAGTTTGGTTCGATTTCATGGGTTGCAACGGCGCATCTTCGATACCCTACTGTGGAGGATGCATGGGTGATACGTGGTTCCAGAGTACATGGCATAGGCGTCTCTGATTATTATGGGTCTTACATGTCAATAATGCATGACTTTTGTTCAAAATGGGGTTTATCATTGGTTTGGGTTTCGCTGCGTAGAGTTGAATGGCTTTGCCCTATCTTACACGCTAATATACAAAGTATTATATCACTGATCTAATGTACAATTCATGGGCTGTGGAGACAGCAAGAATCACTTTTGGACCCAGCCTCCAGGGCCGAGTATACCTCCATCATCAGCTTGTGGATCGAGGGACCACTTCCGCAGAGGGCGACAGGCAAGACTGGACTTCCATCCAGCTTCAAACATCTCAATTCCAGCCCAACCGATCATTGCTGCGTTGTCGGTACACAAATATGGGGGTGGAGCAACAATCTGGATGTCTCCAAAGCCACGGACATCCAAGAACGACCGAAGCACCTTCATCAGGAACCTGTTGGCCGCAACACCACCACTCACAACGAGGGTCTGGATCTTATCCTTGCCGGTATTATGAGGTCTCAGCGTCTCCAGCGCAATAATAGTCCGCGAAGCAAGATGTTCAAAAGCAACACGCATGACTTCACGGCCGAGATCAACGCGCTCATCATGAGACAGTCCCCCTTCGGCGCTTCTCCTAGCCACAATCTTGCCAACCATACTCGACACCGAGGAGAAGCTAAATTGCAGCGCCCTTGTGTTCGCAAAGGGAGTAGTAACATACCACCCCCACTTGCTCTCCCGCTTAGCCAACTCGTCACCCCGGGTCATTGGAGGCTTGTAATCTGCGAAATCCGCCTCACCATTCGGGAAGACGAACTTCTCCAGCGTCTTGCCGTACATGGTACTCTTGGCACCTTGGAGTAACTCAGCGGGGATGATGTCCCGCGCGGATTTGTCCAGAGCTTCTCCAATAGCTATATCCTCGCTAGCGGCCAGAATCTTATGTTCTGTTAGGTGTGTGGACTGGACTAGGATGGAATGGCCCCCGGAGACGAGAATCGACAGGAATGGCAGTTCAGGCGCCACGGCCGAAGGGTCGGGGTTGGACTGGTTGTCTAAACATGATACCAGGCGAGGCGTCAACAGATGTGCCTGCATATGGTGAACGCCGACCATGGGGATCTGCCATGCAACCGATAGCGCTTTCCCAGTTTCAAGGCCCACAGACAAATTGGATCGCATGCCCGGACCTCTGGTCGCAGATATGAAGTCGGGTAGGCGGCGCTGAGACCCGTCTGCAAGTTTGAGACCGTTTCCATTTCCCGATTGCGACTCTGGTAGGTAGTTCAGGGCTTTTTGGACCAGGTTTCCGAGGCTTTCCTGGTGAGATTCGAGGGCGATGATAGGGTGGATTCCACGGTGCGCGCGCGTGTCGGCGGTGATGTTCTCGAGGAAATGAATCTTGGCTGCATTTCCGTTGGCGTTTTTTGTCTTTTCGACGATGGCTACCGAGGTGTCGTCACTGTTGGTGATTAGTTGGTTGTTTTTCTTCCCGGCGATCACGGCTTACCATGACGTTTCGATGGCTAATGTGAGCAAGCCACGGCGGCTGATCAGACATTTTTTGGACGCGGTCAATGCTGACCTGCGCAAGCTTGAAGTTGCCAAAAATAACATTTAGGAGAATGCTTGTCATGGCCGGCGCCAGGGGCGAAAAAAGTGATCCGCGCACGGGCCGGAGAAGCCCTCACTTGATGCCCTAATTTTCCAAAATGGATGATCTTCCAAGGTTCCTGGCAATCGACCTACTCTACTCTACTTGTATTTGTTCTGCTCATTTACAATGTTTACAATCCAAAGACGGGGTTGCTAAAGAGTATCTCAAGGATACATGTGTTTGCAGAAACGAATGACTGGGTTAAAACGCTCATAAAACAAAAACAAAAACATTCAGTTCCCATCATAACGTCGTCAATATAATTGTTTCAACCATTGCTGCATTGTTCTTCCGCCGGTGAATGTGCAGTATGATGCTCCGAAGCGGTCCAAGCTGGCTCAAATTGCAATGAGCTCTGCGACACGAAGATGAGTGTCTTCGACCTCCACAGACTTGGGTCGATTGTAGCTTGTCGCATCATCCCGTGGCACCGCATTGAAATTTGAAGGTCTCACTTGCTGAATTGCAGCACCGGTTGATAAACGAAGACCGGAGCGCAGGACGAGATACCTTCTAGAGCCACCGTGCAGGGTATCACTTCCGAAAGATCATGGAGAAGCCAGTGGCAAAAGGTCATTTGTACATCGAATTCAAGTTCCAGTTCACTGTCGAACTGTCCATCGCCGCTCCTCGCGAGACATTTTCATATGCTTGCCGTAGTATTCGTCTGGATTTTCAATTGGCGTCACACAGTGTACCGTTGGTGTGACTTGGAATTGAATGCGTTTGTCGGCGCCAGTTCTTGAGGAAGGCTGCTTCTTGAGAATGCTCTTTGAGGAACAAGAGTTGGTGTATGCATAGTTTGGTACTTGCAATGTAGAGAATCTCTTGGTTGTTGGGCTCGCGGCGGAAATGGGCGAGATGGGAGTGCGAGGCAGAGCACTGGGGGACTTGAGCGACAGTGAGGGCCGAGTAACATTCTGCGCAGCAGAGATGCTCAAGGACAGCTTTGGCTTCATGGCTCGGGCAGTGTTGTACATGATGACTTGTATCACAAAGGAATTTGACTTGAATATTTGAAGACGAGTTGAAGCAATTCAGATTCACTGGAAACTTTGGTCAACAAAGATGTCCAGATGAAATTATTGACGTAGGGATCGGAATATGAAGAAATCACTTGGGCCAGCCGAAGCGCGATACGAAAATAGATGAAGCGAAAATAGAAAATCTCAAACACATAGTCGAACAGAGTCGAGGGGGGGGGGGCGGTTATATGTATTCGTCGTCGTGAGGGCCCCAATCAGGACTTGGACCAACCACCTGCCGTCGTCGCCCTAAGCGCCCACTCTATGCAGGGCAGTGCACAATCACCACTATCACATTTTAGTGTTCTAACTTTGGAAACACCTCTATCCAATTAATATCTCCCTTCAGATCCATCATGCTAATTTTACTATGCCATTCTACCTTAGGAATATACCGACTCTGCCGACGATCTGCCCTGCAGCCTTCTGCACTGGAAGGCGTACCTTTTCGTCTGAGATTGATGAGAACCCCTCAGTGGTCCCGAGGTCTATCAATAGAAGCCAATAATGCGATGAAATACTAGCAATTCTGGGGATGGAAGCATACAATATACTTTGAGACGGGTGATATCCCTGCATCATCACAGTGACTGGCATCGGCGCTGGTTAGATCACTCTATGAGTACGGAATACTCCATACGAGTACAGCGAGGAAGGTTTGAAAGCGGTGAAATGGATCGATTGGGTATTGCTATGATGGCGATGGTCTACTAAGTTTATGCTAACACGCTTGGAACAATGTAAATTTATCCATTTTATCCGATTTTATGGTTTTATTGCTACACGGCTATTTTATCGATGATTCTGCTACTCCGTACGGGGACGCAGTAAATCGAAACCAGAACCCGTCGTTTGATTCCTCACTATTTATTGATAGATGACTATGTACGAGTATGCAAGTTTGCAGGCGGGGCAGGGTGTTGGGCATGACCATACCCCACCATCCTTAGATATTTGTTCAAGTCGATGCCTTCATTGGACGGCCTCCTTTGCTCTCATACCAAGCCAACAAGCCAGAAGCATTTCCCAAGATGGATCTTTTTGTCTACCCAGCCCTTCCAGAAGAACACCCGTACATGACTCGTATGGTCCACCTTCTGCCTGACACCGATCGGAACGCCCCAATCGAATGCAAGCTTTTCAACTACGATCTATCGGTAGGAGATGGACGGTCTCATATTTACGAGGCTCTGTCCTACTGCTGGGAAAGCGGAGACAAACCTAAATCAATTATTTTGAATGGCTACAAGTTTTCGGTTACGGAGAACCTCTTCAGTGCCCTACAACACCTTCGAGACCGTCAGCTTCCGAGAACACTATGGATCGATGCCATTTGTATCAACCAGGGTGATAGCGAAAGTGATGGCAAAGATGTTGTCGATGAGAAAACCAAGCAGATTCCGCTTATGCGGCAGATCTACGCCCAAGCTGGTCGTGTGATTGTCTGGCTTGGGGATGACAGAGAGGATGGCGAAAAAACACTTCGGTGGATCAACCACTTCGCAGGGCAACAAGGCAAATCTCTGCAAAAAGTTATCGAAGGTGATCGGCCGTCAGTATCCTCTATGGAAGCAGACGCGTTGGGCAAACTTTGTTATCTGGACGATCGGTCAAAGGGAGACCCTGCTGAAGACCATCAGTCAATGAGATATTTCGTTGACGGCAATCATTCAAAGAAGGACCTCATGACAGAGCATGATGTTGCGTCTTCGAAATTGCTGCAGCGTGATTGGTTCCGCCGTGTTTGGGTAAGACGACATTACTTCAGCTGAGTCCGTCTTGCTAACTTCATATAGGTACTTCAGGAGGTCGGCGTCGCGCGATACATCGATATATTGTGTGGCTCTATTCAGATCAGCGCGCATGCTTTCGCGGAGGGTCTTTCTAGACTGGAACTTCCCCAACACTTCTTAAGCAGAGTTGGCCCAGTCACACATCTGATGAAAGGTGCACCTTATCGACCCAAATTTGATGTTGGTTCGCCCGGAACCTTTTCTTTAATAGAGCTTCTCGGCATGTATCGAAACCATAGTGCTACTGTGCAACATGACAAGATATATGCATTACTGGGTCTAAGCGCTGACGCTGGCGCTGATTGGTTGAAACCGAATTACAAAACACTATGGCATCATGTTTTCAGGGAAATCACAAGCCACGTTTTTCCGGGGAGCTTCGTCCAAACGTGGGAAGACAGAGCGTCTGCTGTCGTCAAGACCAAAGGATGGATCATGGGTCATGTTGGCCATGTGACATCGAGCATGCATGATTTTGGGCAGCAGGACATAACCTGTCACTTTCACAAATCTGCTTTCTCACTAAGAGAGACATGGCCCTCGGATTGGATGCTTCCTGCTTGTGCAGAGCTAGTCCAAGAGGGGGATCTCATCTGTCATTTGCAAGGACAGTCCCGTCCAAGCATTTTGAGATTATGCAATGATCATTTCAGTCTGCTTTCACCATCTCTCTGGCCTCGCAGCATGGGTCACATCCAAAACCTGAGCCATACATTTGACCTGGGTCTGCTTGACTATGGACATGGAATTACCCTTACATGGAACATACCCATGGATAAATTTGCAGCGACGCCCCAGGAATTGAAACTCAAGCAAATCACACCAGAAGTTGAAGGTTCACTGAATGAAATAGAGCTACGGCTGGAATTCATAGCCCAAGTGATGCTAGATGTTGCGACTCAGGTTCTTGATTCAAAGACATCCCAAGTCAAGGCTTGGAAAAATATCCTCAAACAACGCGGAACCGATGTCTCTATGTCTGAAATCTACAAGCTTGCTATCAAAGTGATCACACCTGATCTCACTTCTGATGAGGAGTCAAAAGGATTTCTACATCGTGAGTTCATAGACCTTCTCTTAAAATATTCAGGGGAGAGCGCTCCAGATGTTGAGATGTTGAGATGGGCATGTCAAGACTACCGTCACTATGGGTTTTTGGATCTTCTCTTTAAATATCGTGCAGAAAGTCTTTCTATCACTGAAGATGTTTTGAAAGCTGTGGCCCGGAATGTCTCTGCATTCAATATGAAAGCTCTCTTAGAGCATCGACGAGGAAGGCTTCCGGTCTCCGAAGAAGTTGTCAAAGCAGCAGCAGGAAATCCTAAATACTATTGCCATGAAGCTTTCGAGATTCTCCTCCAACACGCAGGAGAAAACTTTCCGATCTCCGAAGAAGTTGTCAAAGCAGCAGCAGGAAATCCTGGGAGCTTTGGCCATAAAGCTTTCCAGGTTCTCCTCCAACACGCAGGAGAAAACCTTCCAATCTCCGAAGAAGTCGTCAAAGCAGCAGCAGGAAATCTTGGGTTCACTGGCCATCAAGTCTTAAAGGCTCTCTTTCAATATAAAAAGAATCTTCCGATCTCCGAAGAAGTGGTCAAAACAGCAGCAGGGAACACTGGATTCTTTGCCGCTGGAGTTTTAAGGGATCTATTCCAACACGCAGGAGAGAATGTTCCGATCTCCGAAGAAATTGTCAAAGCCGCAGCAGGGAATCCTGGAAAATATCCCCATAACATTTTAAAAACTCTCTTTCAACATAGAAAGAAGCTTCCAATCTCCGAAGAGGTTGTCAAAGCAGCAGCAGGAAACACTGGACACTATCCTCATGGAGCTTTAGATGTTCTCTTTCAATATCAAGAGAATCTTGCAATATCCGAAGAAGTGGTCAAAGCAGCAGCAGGAAATCTTGGGAGCTGGGCCTATGAAGCTTTAGATGCTCTTTTTCGACATCGAGAGAATCTTGCAATATCCGAAGAAGTCGTCAAAGCAGCAGCAGGAAATCTTGGGAGCTCTGAAACACCATCTTTAGTTGCTCTCTTTCGATATCGAGAGAATCTTACAATATCCGAAGAGGTGATGAAAGCATTTGCAAGGAATGATGGAGATGGAAGCATGCGAATCATTCAAATCTTGAAAGATTACCGAAAAGATAGTGCTGTGATATCCCAAGCAGTGCTTGAAGCAGCATCTGAAAATCCCAGATATGCTTCTGAAATGAGCTCGTTCCTCAAACGTTGGCATAGTGAGCAATCAAATGCAGGAGACAGTTCCCCGGAGGAATGTGACTAGGATAGGCGAAGACCATGGGCCTTCCTTCTGAATAAATATTGAATCATGAAAGATTAAGTGTCAAAATCTTTCCAAAGACGGTTCAAAACTCAACGGTATATTCTTTTGGTCTTTTGTGATAGGTCTTGTCGATTGGGTCTCTTTTCTCAACAACTTCAATTTCTTTCCCGCTGGCCTTACCCCCAAGCTTCCTGGATTCTGTCAGATCTCTGCAATCGGGGAGCTTGGACTTTGCTGATCTACTGGGCGCCTCGCGGGACCTCCCGCGAAGGATCCGGGCCGAACGTCACCTGGGTAACCTTCACGACCCAACCAGATATCATGGCCTAGACCTCGCTGGCCAGCTTTTGTACTTTTTCCTCTTTTGTGCAATCATTTAGAGAGATTAGCAAGGTGGCTTTCTTCATACTATCGGTTATAAAAAGAGCAATATTCCAATTGATCACGAGCTCTTCTGTGTTCCCTTTCCACGTCCTTCGAAACTCCAGTCGATTTGCGTGGCCATTCTCACTTTCACCCCCAGCTCATTAGCAAAAGCGCGAACCAAGCCAGGATTCTGCTGGAACCAGCGCCCTGCCTGCACTGCGTCAATGCCAGATTGCACCACCTCCTCGGCCAGAGGCCCTGTTTTGATTCCGCCGACAGCTGTGATCAATAGCTTGTCGCCAACAGCTTTTTTGATCTCTTGAGCCAAATGCACCTGGTAGGCAGGCCCTGGCCTGATCGCAATCGCAGACTTGGGGTGAATCCCACCTGAGCTGACATCGACCAAGTCGACACCATGTTCAGCTAAGAGCGGGGCGAGCTGAACCGATTCGGCAACTGTCCAGCTCTCGGGAAATTCTTTCTTTAATTCATCATCTTTAGTGAATTCGAACCAATCAGTTGCACTGATTCGGATCAATAGAGGCATTGTTTGCGGGATGCTAGCTCGAATAGCGTCAGAGATCTCCAGGAGTAGTCTGATTCTATTTTCGAAACTACCTCCATATCGATCCGTTCTTTTGTTGCTAACAGGGCTCAAAAACTGGTGCAATAGATACCCATGAGCGGAGTGAATCTCAATAGCATCAAAGTTGGCCTTGACAGCCCTTTTCGCAGCCTCTGCGAAATCTTTGATCAATGCCTCGATATCATCCAAGGTAAGGGCCTTGGGCACTATGTTGACCCCTTCCTCAAAGGGGATTGCCGATGGGGCAACGAGCTCATCCCACCCGCCGACTTCCTTAGCAGCCATAGCATTCAGGCTCAGCCAGGGAGCAACTGCACTGGCCTTTCGACCAGCGTGAGCTAATTGAATCGCGATCTTCTGGCTCTGGCTGTGGGCAAATTCGGTGATCCGCTTCAACGGTTCAATCTGAGCATCTTCGTAGAGACCAAGATCTTGAGGTGTGATACGGCCCAATCTCTGCACCGCGGTGGATTCCATAATTGCCAGCCCCGGGCCACGCTGGAGAATGCCTCCTAAATGCGTCAAATGCCAATCGGTGACCTTGGCATCATTGGCATTGGCAGAGTACTGGCAAAGGGGAGCAAGGAACAGACGGTTTGGAAGCGTGACACCACGGATAGTAAGAGGGGTGAACAGCTTGATTGATCCCTCTAATTGAGTTCCTGCTGGAGGCTCCTGTGCAGGTGTGTAATAGGAAATGCCTTTGGCGGCGACATTGTCGATTATTGTTTGCGTCATGATTTGGATATTGTTTGGAGTGGTGGGATAGGTGCCAAACAACAAACCTCAGATCGAACCTCTGAGTGAAATCTGAGTGAAATCTGAGAGTTGGAAAACAATGATGAATTGATAGATGACCAGGTGAGAGGGACATGAAAATTGTACCATCACAAACAAAATGACGGTATGCACCTGCTGATTACAAATTCAGATTTCATGATGTGACATTATTAATGTGATGGGCGATCACGAATCACAACCCTGCAACGGCGTGCATCAGACACGGCTATATGACTGGAGATGAACAAAAGGACAAAGAAAAAGCGACTCCAGTCTATGTACGCGTACTCCCACCGATTCCAAAACCAAGGAAACAACATCTCTCCGAGTTCCGAATCGGAGCATACACAGTGAATCCAATCGGAATACATTATCATTTCTTTGTCTCATATGGTGCAACACGCGCTGAACTTGTTCCGAGGTCATTTCCCTTGCCACTTACTCCACCGATGTGCCTTGCGAAGGGTAATGCCGTTCTTGCCCTGACAAATTGAAAATCCGAAAACTATTTTCGATTGGAATCCCCAACATGTCGTGGAAAACCATAAGCAATGAAGCTCAAGCCGCAGTGCTGGCGGCCATTCCAACCGGCTGGCGGTTAGATGTTGACAAATATAGGTCGCTGAAGGATGTGACAAGTGTGCCTTCTGCAAGTGGAATCTTAACAAGAGAGCAACTCAAAATTACCGAGCTCACGGTCGTCGAAATTGTGAACCGTCTGGAGTCTCGCGAATTGAAAGCAGTGCAGGTGTTAGAGGCTTTTGCTGCCCGGGCTGCCATTGCCCATCAGCTAGCAGGTCAACGTCTTTTCAAATCAGGGAACCAAGCTAACTTCCACAATAGGTCAATTGCCTGACCGATTGGTTTTTTGAAGATGGTCTCCAGCAGGCGAAAGAGCTTGATGAGACTCTAAACAAGGGTGAGAAGTTAAAGGGGCCATTGCATGGAGTTCCTATCGCTTTAAAGGTACGGCAAACAAAGCACATGCCTTTGGATATGGATTTAAAACGGCTGACGAAGTTGCCAAATAGGATTCCCACGAAGTCGAAGGCCATGTCGCAACAATGGGCTACGTTTCAAGGAGGAATAACATTGCAAAGCAAGATTCTGCGCTTGTAGCAACATTGCGTGCTGCAGGCGGAGTTTTCTTCTGTAAGACAACGATGCCTCAGTCGGGCATGGCTTTGGAGACAGTCAGTAATCTTTGGGGCCGCACTACAAACCCGTTCAACAGAGACTTGGGTGCCGGCGGTAGCTCGGGCGGAGATGCAACTCTAGTAGCCTTGAGAGGCAGCCCAATCGCCCCTTCGACCGATATGGGGGGCTCTATTCGTGTCCCGGCCGCTTTCAACGGGCTATATGGCATTCGACCCACGTCGGATCGCATACCCAAAGGTGGCATGCAAAACACCAACACCGGGAATCTCACAATCAAACTGTCTTGTGGTCCCGTGTGCCATTCTCTCGGCGATCTTGGATTATTTACCAAAGTCATCAACGCACACCCGAGCAACAAATATGATGTGACTTCCGTGCCTGTGCCTTGGAGAACCCTGGATTATTCAGGTCGCAAACTCACGGTCGGACTATTGACTTGGGATGGAGCTGTAATGCCTCACCCACCGGTATTACGAGCTCTTGCACACAGCAAAAAGACTCTTGAGAAGGCCGGACACGAGGGCAAGTTGGCTTTTTTTACTTCTCTCTCTTTAAGAATCTTCATAGAATCCATGCTAATTCTATTTACAGTCATCGATTTCAAGCTACCTTTTGATGCCTGGGATGCTCTTCAAACCACGGTAAGTATGTCATCGAAAGCGGGAGAAACTGCATCGTTAACGTCACTTTAGTTTGAAATCTATTATCAATCGGGGTCTCAGGGAACTAGGTCTACTCTGGCAGCTGCTGGGGAGCCTATTATACCAGCTTTTGCCGATCTGCTCAAGGTTTTCAACCCCCGAGAGCACTCTGCTGCAGAGGCATTACAAGTATGTCTCTTTTTTGTTTTATTTTCTTTTCGATAGTGCGGTAAAGGAGGATATGCTAATATACTGGACAGCTGAACCTCAAAACAAGAGCCCTCAAGGAACAATTTACAGATGCATGGAACAATACAGTTGGTGGCTCTGGCCGTGCTATTGATGCACTCATAGCACCCCCAGCCCCTGCAGTGGGATATCCTCATGACTTCAACATATACTGGGGATATACCTCGTTGTTCAATCTTCTTGACTATCCCTCTGTCATCTTGCCAATTGCCAACTTCAAGGTGGATCCCCAGCTAGACCCCGTGGATGAAATGTACCGACCGTTGGAAACAAATCCCTACGATCAGCGCAACCATGAACTGTGTAAGTCTGCTAAGCCAAATGCCCTCTAGCGACTTGATTTCTAATTTTTTGTCGATAACAGATGATCCGGGTTTGTTCGCAAACCAACCGTCAACTATCCAGATTGTGGGTCGCCCTTTCGAGGATGAAGAAATTATTCAAGTGTCCTCAATACTGGATACCTTGTTTAAGGCTTCTTAAGCATGATAAGTTTGGAAATGACAGTGTTAAGAGATTAGGGGTGGCAATATCACGTGACTCTTGCTTCCATAGATCTAGATACTCGAGAGCATATTCACTCGTCTCTCTCTCACGCATCATACGAGTTTTTATCGTGCATGCTGCAACTTCTATCATATTTGCCGTAGATAGATATCAGCATTTGACCATTATAAAGTTAAATTTCCATCTTTCCAAACCATTTTGTAAATCAGTCGCTAACTTTCCAATTGTATCACGACGCTTACTCCGAAAACCCATCATTATCGCCATAATATTATAGATTTTTCTTGATATTGTTCTGTGAGCCTTCTTTCGTGTTCTGGGAGTCTGCGGAGTCTTATCTCAGCTATATTTCGGATATATAGCGGATGACTATCCCTCAATACGGTTGTAGCAAAATGCTTTTCATGTAAGCATTTTGTAGGCTCCTTAGACAAGTGTTAGGCTATCTATCATTTAGGTGAGAATCTATCTCACCTTGAGGCATTATAAGTGATAGCCTTGACGGTGCCCTCGCAAATTATATTGTCGGAAGAGATGACTCCCGATCCTATTTTATGACTGACCTTGGAGCCGGATACTACTGCACTGCAGCTTTGATTCGGCCATTGGCGGATATGTCCCATAAACATTGATTTCCAGCTGCCAGTCTGCACCGTAGATGGAAACTCTGGGAAGGAGTGGGTGACATAGTGGGCAGCGTTGAGTGATTATTAATAATTTACGTATTATGCCAGGGAAGAAATCGCAGAACAAAGGTGTACATGTTAACATGTATTATGGTTTATACTAAAATACAAATGAAAAGCGCTATGGGTATAGTCGAAAGATGAAGTATTGCCAAAATGTCTACCACATGGCAGGTAGCATACTTCAGACTCAAGGATCTGCAGCTTCTCAAGGCCTTCCAGGAGCTAGGTGGAATTTTGATCTATTTAGGAGCCTTTGGGCTTGGGTTGGGAGGACGAGGCTTCCAAAGCTTGTTGGGAGGGTCGCCAGCCTGGCGAGGAGGAGGCTGAGGCTTCTCGGGTTTGGGAACAGGTTTAGGCTTCTCGGGTTTGGGAGCAGGTTGAGGCTTGGTTAATTTAGTCATTGTGGGTATTTTTGAGATGGTTTTCTGTGGGGTGATGGTACTTCTTGGGTTCTGAGGCGAACCAAGAGAGTTTATATAGATATTGAACATTTGAAGTAGGAACTCGAGGGTCAGGTTGTCTTTGATTGAGGACAAGGAATTGTAGTGGTTTGAGGAAACAATGTCCATTGTGGAAAATGTCTTTGGGTCTCTTGTTATCAATAACCACAATGAACTCGAGCGATGATCTTTGTGAACGCCACACGCAGCCTTCGACGCAATTGGCAACATCAACGCAGCTCCACTGTGGCCCAATGAGGATACCGCCTCATTCGTAAAGACCCTCAGTGGGGTTGACGGGCCGAAAATGCGATAGAATGACTTTGGCCAAGCTGGAGTGCCGACAAGATGACAGCCTTTGCGATGAGAAAAGGCGGTCTACCAAAGATAAGCATATTAAGCATAATCCGAACCTTGGAAGCCTGACACGCTAGACCCTTTTGCACTTAGGGTCGTAAATAAATCGAAAAACTGACTGTAGATACATCCAAAGGTATTTGAATCTGTGTGAAAAATCGAAGAGTAGAGAGATATGCAGAGAGTCTCGAAATATCTCCAGTCAGAAATTGTGTAGTTCTAAGTTCAAAAGCGGAAATATTTGGGGAGAACGCAAAGTGCATATCCCTCCCTTCCAAGGTTGGCTTCAAGTCCATAGGCCGAGATATCACAGATTGAAAGTCTGACAGTAGACTCGTCAAATACCTATCCTTTGGCCTCACATTCCATCTACTGGCTGCATACCTCTTCTTCGTCGAGATTGAACAAAGGCCAACTTTTAAGGCCTGGAGCGTTCCTCTAGAGGTGAGTTCTCAGCAGCCAATCTGGACTATCAAAGTCCTGCAGATTCGGCAAATAAACTGTTCTATTCTTAGTACCTAGACAAAGCCAATTCTGCAGTCGTCATATGGAGGCTCCTCCCGAGGTCCACATCCTATGCAGACAAGCTAGCCCAAGCTCTCCAGGATAAACCCAGCCATTCTACCAGCTCCCTTCAGTCCCATCTAGCTTATCAATCTCAGCCAGAGCACTTTCAGGGTTTCATCTGCCTGACCACATTCCCGCTGTCAACTCTCTGGCCATCGTCCCCAGCTTCAGCAATTGAAGAATCAAGAGTTTGTACGACCTGTCGGATGATTTATTACATGAATTAACTTGGAAGTATGGGAGATTCCATTGTCCCTGGGAATGCAGTCAACTTGATGCTGAACCTTGGAACCCCACAGGGGTTGCATTGAGGAAAATAGAGGTCGGGTGGAAGAGCACACCACGCAGGTGGCTCAATTCTTCAGGAAATCCTTTCATATATACATAGGAGGGTATTGTGATGCCCGAGTCTGAGAATGAGAAAGGCCGATTAAGCATAATTTGAAGCCTGTCCGGGTGGTGCGCTAAACCTTTTTGGCTTGAGCAGTCCACTGAAGCTCGCGCTTGCGAAATCCAAAGCTATCTGGACTTCATTCATAAAATTCTATCTAGCTTCGCTCTCTCGGGTCTCAGTTTCGTCCTAGTGTGATGATCTTTGTTGATAAAACAGTGTATGTATACTATACTCATAGCTCCATCGGCATAGTAGTGGATCTCGGGTTTAAACCCGAGCTCTACTACACCATATGGAGTATAGAGTAACTAGTAACGACGCCGTCCCTCCAGGACTGAAACTTATTGACATTTCGATTTCGCGCCATAATAAATGTCCGACATCGATCTCAAATGCAGCTCGGTCCAGGCCAAATTACCCGTGTCACCGCCATATGCAGGTTTGATCTCCCCTGTCCAAGTGATCGTCCTTACAGAAAACTCTGCGGTTAATCATGGAGCTAGAGCTACCCCATCCATTATGAAATGAACTTCCAGGGCTCAGACGATATGAGCCGGTGAGCTTCCGACGATGCGGAGTACAGAGTACCCGACTGAGTGTTACTCGGGTTAAGATGATGACGCGAGTACTCACCAGCACGTCAGAGACCCCCAATTGCAGGAGCTGTTCTCCAATTTTCGATTGAGTTGGGGAGCTTAGGAGCACCGTGCACTTATGGGGAAGGTATGGGGGGACACCCCCAGATAGGCAAGTTTACGCGCGGGGGTATGATGGTAAAACACTTAGGAAGGGCGGAATCGCTATTTACACAGTACTTAAATAGGGCACTCGAATAGAGAGTTATCAATCTATGATCTCTATAATGTAAGAAAAGAGAAGCCGGAGTTGTGCCGAGTGTTGAAGTACTTAAGTCTGTAAGTAGACTCATAAAGAGAGCGAGGGGACACCAATAGAGAAGAACCCCTCAGACTCCGCACCCGAGTTGGCACACCGGTCCATGTGACAGCTCCCCGGTTTGTTCCCGATTCTCCCGAAGTTCCCAATTTGACTGTTTTTTCATTATTTGCCTCTTAACCCAAGTACTGTGTAGACTCTGTACCTGGCTAATTTATATAGAACGTGTCAATCCCGTGGCTCCTTGTGGCAAACGTGCGCTAATCCATGGATCGGACCAAAAGATCGAATCACAGGCGATGCCGTAAGGCTGATATCCAGGGACGCGATATCGGATGCGGAGAGGAGTGAGCCGGGTAAATAAGAAAATTTGATCTCCGCGTGGCCACACTGAGAGTAACAGTACTGTAGTGAGTTAATAATAATAGTAATAATAGTAATAATAGTAATAATAGTAATAAGCCTAAAGGGGCAAAACAATTGGCAATTCGGGCATAACTTTTATTCCTTTTCCTTGACTCAGTGTCTCCACTCCCTCCCTTCCCCCAGTTTTTGTGGGATTTTCGATTCTCCCCTTCCACATCACAAAATGGCCAGTGTTACGGAAGCTGTGAAGGAACAATTCCTCGGATCCTCAGAGCAACCCCAGCTCTCGAGTCAGGCACGCGCCAATTTCAATCGTCATGCGCAAAAGGACGAGAATGGTGACCTGTTCATGAGCGAGGAGAACTTCATCAACGCCGTGGCACCCAAGCAGGAGGACTATGTACGTGTCATCTGAACTCAGAAGCACGAAAATGAAAGAATAACAGGCTAACCCATTCGTCCAATAGCACAAGATCAAGCGCGAGCAATATGGCATCCTCTTTAACGTCGCAGACCGACGCAGGGCTGGCAAGCTGAACATCTCCGACTGGGCCTCCTTCGAAAACCTCCTCGCCAAGCCTGACGCCGAGTACGAGATCGCCTTCCGCCTCTTCGATTTCGATGGAACCGGTAGTGTCAAGTTCGATACCGTCCAGGGCCTGTACAACCTGAACAAGAGTGCCGAGAGCATTCCCTTCGATTGGGACTCGGAATGGGCCTCGCTGTACGGAGGTCGCTCCAAGACCCGCCATGACATGACCTACCCCCAATTCGCGCAGATGCTGCGCGGCCTCCAGGGGGAGCGAATTCGTCAGGCCTTCCACATCTTCGACAAGGACGGTGATGGGTTCATCCAGCCCGAGGACTTCCAGCGCATCATCCTCGAGACCTCAAAACATAAGCTCTCCGACCATGTCCTCGAGAACCTCCCGACCCTGTGCAACATCTCCACCAGCAACCGCATCTCCTACGCCAATGTCCGGGCGTTCCAGAATGTCATGCGCGAGATGGATATCATCGACATGATCGTTCGCGAGGCCACCAAAAAGAGCACCGACGGCAAGATCACTCGTTCCGATTTCCTGAATGAGGCCGCCCGCCTCACCCGTTTCTCCCTCTTCACCCCCATGGAAGCCGATATCCTCTTCCATTTCGCCGGCCTCGATGCCCCCTCTGGACGTCTCGCCCAGAAGGATTTCGCCAAGGTCATCGATGCCTCATGGCGCATCCCCGTGGTCGCGGCCCGTCAGGCCGCGGCTGCTGGTCAGGAAGTCGCCGAGAAGACCAAGGGTCTGCTGCACAGTGTTTTGGAGTCTGCTCACCACTTCGCCCTGGGTAGTATTGCTGGTGCATTTGGTGCCTTCATGGTCTACCCCATCGATCTGGTGAAGACCCGTCTCCAGAACCAGCGCTCTTCTCGGCCCGGTGAGAGACTGTACAACAACTCCATCGATTGCGCCCGGAAGGTTATCCGCAACGAGGGTTTCACCGGTCTTTACTCCGGTGTCATCCCGCAGCTGATTGGTGTTGCGCCTGAAAAGGCCATCAAGCTGACTGTGAACGACCTGGTTCGTGGTTTCTTCACAGACAAGGACACCAAGCGCATCAAGTACTTGCACGAGGTTGTAGCTGGTGGTACAGCCGGTGCCTGCCAGGTCGTTTTCACCAACCCTCTTGAAATTGTCAAGATTCGTCTGCAGGTCCAGGGTGAGATCGCCAAAAATGTCGAGGGTGCCCCTCGTCGTTCGGCCCTGTGGATCGTCAAGAACCTGGGTTTGATGGGTCTGTACAAGGGAGCCAGCGCATGTCTTCTGCGCGATGTTCCCTTCTCCGCCATTTACTTCCCCACCTACTCTCACCTGAAGAGCGATTTCTTCGGTGAAACCGAAACCAACAAGCTGGGTGTTGTCCAGCTTCTTACCGCCGGTGCTATCGCCGGTATGCCCGCCGCATACCTGACCACACCCTGCGATGTCATCAAGACCCGTCTCCAAGTCGAGGCTCGCAAGGGTGACACCAAGTACACCGGTCTCCGACACTGCGCCACAACCGTGTGGAAGGAAGAAGGACTCGCCGCCTTCTTCAAGGGCGGCCCCGCCCGTATCATGCGTTCTTCCCCTCAATTCGGTTTCACTCTTGCTGCCTACGAAGTCCTGCAAAAGGCCCTTCCCATGCCTGGTGAGGGCGACGCCATCACTCCCACTGGCCATGTTGAGCCTGGTCTCGGTGGCCAGGGTGCCAAGGCCCCTCTGCCTTACCTCCGATCAAGGAATGCACTTAAGCTCATCCTCGATCTGGACCAGAACATTGGCCGGGTGCAGGTCCCGCGGCCTGAAAACTGGCCCAAGTTCCTGCAGAGCTCCAAATAGAGCTTAGAGCTAGAGCCTAGATGATTTGGTCTTTGTCTTTTTTGACAGTTTCAATTAAAGCGACTTTTTGTTTTGTTATTTTCGTGTCTAGACGTGTTTCTCGATTGGGATTTACTTGTCTTTTCTTTCGGATTCAGTTCGACTTCATTTTGGCCTTGCTTTGCATTCTGGTTTGAAAAATCATCCGTGCATTGTATCAACAGCGGATAAAGTTGGGTGTCTGGTTGGCATAGAGGCCATGAGATTTCTATATCTATATATTCAATCTAGATGTGGTTTGGGTTGATCATTGCATTCAGTTTGAGCATTTAGATGGCCATAGTCAAGGTGATTGTCAGGTGCAAGTGAAGTCGATAGTCTGATACTTCAATTGCAATGCTGCGCAATCAAACGGTGAGTACCTAAATAGCACTCATCATCCTTGCACGAGTGAGAATGATCAAACGTCTGGTGCGGCTATATCCGGTGTTTGAATTCGAGTTATGGATATCGCCCGACGTTGGAAAGTGATATATAAGGTTGCCGAAGAACAAATGGGTATCCCAATCTGACGTGAGGAAAGATTGTCTGTACATAATTTTACATCCATGGATTTCCCATGGGTATGCCAGTCACTAACGGCCGAGGATAGGATTTCCGAACAAGGTCTCAGGCTGAGCTCAGAGGCTCTGGTGGAATCCCCTGGAGTTGAAGCCCCACGCCGAGGCATTAAAGCAAAGGCAATTTTGCCACAATCAGACATAAATCAGTAGAACCGCATCTTCTTCGTCGTCTCGGTCTTAACAGGTCCGCTGTCCTCGCTAGAAGGCTGTGTGGGTTGTTTCTGCTTCTCCTCTTTCACAGGCGCCTGGGCCTCCTCAGCTTCTCGCTGGCTAGTCTTCTTCTGATGCCACAAGGAGTCTTCGGCTTCAATCTCACGCAAAACTGTACAAGCAGGATGAGTCAGCCGCTGGAATTCCAGGTCAGACGTAGCTCAGGTCTCGACAAACCTTCATCCCACTCTCTCTCCTTCGCCTCATCACCCGTTCCTAGTAGCTTCTCGACGTCGACCTGCTCCCCATTTTTGACTCGGGAAATGACTTCCCGTAGAAGCTCGATCTTCGCATCTGTCGTCCGGGTATATGCCGCGTAGCTGTTCTTCAAAGTGATCATGCGAATGGCCTGGGAACCGATCAAGGTGAAAATGATGATATAAAACGTAGCCGGATTCCATTCTTTTGACTTTTCCTTCTTTGGGTCCTTGTGCGCACCCCTATTGCGAATGAATTTGGGAATCATGGCCGTCCATACTGAGGTGTCTGCGATCTTCGGGAGGCGATCGGAGGTCGAGTATGAGCGCGCCGCTGGACTGCGGCATTGACGAGTAGCATTAAGTGTTGAGGGAGTAGCCCAAATATTCCGGCTAAGCCCGAAGGCCCTGGATCGTAAAGCGGAAGTCATGTTGGTGTTGAGCTGCCAGTGAGTATCGCCGCAGCGGGAAAAGATGAGGGTGTTTCTGCCTCAGGCCCCAAGGCCAGCTGTCCCAAAAGGGTATAGTGGTATTGTTGCTGCGACAACCGCGTCTGGAGATAGCGATTGCACTCAAAGAGCCGACTTCAGATGACCTCAGTCCATAATACATCCAAAATGGCGGTCACCGTCTTGCCGGCCAGCTCTCTAACAGAATCCATAAAGCAGGCACTTAGCTCAACAACCACCTGCTCCGACGCCACCTTGTTGTCCCTCCAAACACTCCTCCGCGGGTCACCAAAGATGCCCGAGAAACCTAAACGATCGACTTCCACACGAGAGCCCGCCACGGCCAGTCGGGGCAGAACCTCACGCGCAACGAAATCAAAGGCTGTAACCGATGCTTCATTGCAGTCCTTGGCCGACGACTCGACCCTGTCGAGCCAGGAGAAGCTAGTCTTTGCTACGGAGGTGTTCAATGCCACTTTAAAGACCCTCACAGACGCCGCCAAAGTCTCAACAGCTAGGCGCCAGAATGCCTCTACACAAGATCCCGATTCCGGCGTCACGTCCGCAGCCGAATGCGCCAGACTTGCGCTGTCGACTTTGCGCACACTGAAGAATGATACCGCAGGCGACACTTTCCCCAACATGCAATTAGAACAAGGACTGTGTGTTCTTGCAGGGAAGCTAATCACTCTCGGACTGAACGATCTCGCATACAAGGAACTCCGACTCCTCAAGCGCAGGATACAGCAATACTTGGACAGCGGGAAAGCGGGGAGGAAAGTCGCGGAATCCAAGGACACAGAGGACGAGATCGCGAAGGAGCGAATGTCGGACTTGTTGACATTTGCCCATATCGCGAACGCGAAAACGCCATACAGCTTGGTCATCTCTTTCCACTCGAATGTGTTGCGACTATTGGCTGCGGATAAAAGAGCATCGACGATACAGAAAGTACTACCTTGCCTGCAAATATCCGACTCCAGCAGTCCTGCGCAGGTTATTTTGGCAGCCTTGAAATCGGGGCAATTGACCACGGATAAGGCTGCTCTCCAGCTGCAGCTACTGTCCAATGCAGTGCTCTCGCTCTGCGCTGGAACATCCGTTTCCAAAGACGAGGCTTCCAGTAGCCTCAAGCCAATCACCTCATTGAGTTTTCAGCTGCTTTCTCTCGAGGTGCGGTCCATGAGTTGGAAGCTGTCTGGTCATGTCTGCGACGAGAGCAAAGAATTCTTCGATCCTTTACTTCGTTATCTCGGCAGCTTCTCGCACCGCAGCAAGGGAATCGAGAAGGCCGAATTTGCTCTTATCTACAAGAATATTACCCGGGTGCAGACTTCCATCGCAGAAACCAAGAAGAAGTCATCGGAATCATCGAACGCCACCCAAGCCGCCAAATTAATGACAATCCTCGGTCAGCTCGCTTTCGACGCCGGCTGTTTCGATGAATCCATGAAGCTTCTTACACAAGCCATCAACCCACTTTCAAAAACACAGAGCCTTTCATTAGCAACAGTCCGGTGCAAAATCGCTTCTGTTCATTTCCAGGCTTTGAAGACATCCAAAAAGTTGCTAGGGGCGACATTGGACTCTATCTCGGAGGCAACAGCAGCGCTTGGCTTGCAACTAAGAGGTAGCGCCAACGATCTAGATGAGCTTCTTGTGGAGGCCGCCAGATTGAAAAAGGTTGCTCTTGCCTGGTTTGGCGAGGCCGTCACGAAAACCATCGAATCCGAGAACCAAAAGAACGAAGTTGCCAGTCAGATCAGAGAGTATCTGCAAGCATTCCTCAGATTCCTACGACGCTATATTGGACGCCAACCGACAGAAGAAAGCGATGAGAACGAAGTCGAGATGTTCAACAGCCGTGTTTCGCTTGCGCGGAGCATCATTCTTGCTGCTATTGACTCGGCAGTGGCAGTTGGCAAACTTTCCATCATGTCCCAGCGGCCACCATGGGAAGATATGCTACCTATACTAGCTGACTGCCAACGCTTGCTTTCGGCAATCGAATCTTCCGGCGAAGATACCCCAGAAAACACCGAAAACATTGGCATGGCCCTCGTCAAACTTTCGAACCTATTCTGGTCTCGATATATCAAAGAGAAGGAATCCGGTCATGGCTACCGAGAGCTGATCCCTCTCCTCAAACATTCAACCCAGCTTCTTGCGAACTGCTCAAGCTCTCACCGGAAAACCGCCTTTGCGGCTCTCAAGTTTGAGAGAATGGCCCATCTGTATGCCGAGGGAAACTACTACAGTGACTCTGACAAGATGTTCCGCCATTCTATCGATGAATATATCATCTCTGGCACTCTTCACGAAGTCGTCAAGGGTAGCAGAGGACGAAATCCAAATTCAGTGAGCCAGGACCCTCAAACTCCTGGATTTATGTTGGGCCGTGTACTTTCCGCCCTCTTGAAGATGAAACTGCGCAGAAAGGGATCCCAGCCATGTTCTGTGTACGACGATACTGAGCTCGATTTCGAGCACAGGACTATCCTTCTAGAATGGCAAATGGGCTTGCTTTTTGATATGCACAGTCAATCCTCCAGCGAAGAGCAATTCCGCTCAATGCTGGGCCCACTCGTCTCTTCACTTCTCGCGCTCTACCCTTTGGATCTTCATCCCATTCGCCGCTCTCGTCTGATCCTTTCCTCTTTGCGTTTCCTCCTCGAAAATCCAACCTCCCTCGGCCCGGAAATGAGCGAGACCTTGCTGGAAGAAGCAGCAGAGGCTTTGGCCTGCGATGTTCAAATCGGAGAAGATTCTGATCTGACCCAGTCTGCAATTCATGCGCGGAACTCGCTTCATATCATTCTTGGCTTCCACCAAGGTAAGATTGATGCAAGTGTATTGGATGCAACGCTTGCTTCTTGGACTTCACTGGCTCGCCGGTGTGTCGATGAAAAGACTTTGCTCCTGAGTGTTAATGACCCAGACTACTGGGTCCTTCAGTTGAAGGCTCTGGTAGACTACACGGAAATCCATGGCCTCTGGAAAGCGCAGCTTTGTACTCTCGAGCTGATACTGCGTGCTGCAGAGCTCCAACAGTCAGGGGATATGTCAGATGCTATCATAATTCTCTCCCGTTTGGTGTTGCAAAACTGCCGCCTTGGTTACTGCCAAAAGGCAGGTGAGCTCCTCTCGCGTGGCGAGCAATACATCGTGCAGAACAAGGTCTCGACTCTTGCTTCCATCTCTTACAAGGTTGCCCGGGTGGAATACCTTTTGGAGAACGGAGAAGTTGAAAAGGCTGCCTCTGCTCTTTCCGCCGCTCGGACACTCTATGAAAAGAGTCACAAATCCGAGTTGAGCAAATTGACTATTCTGTCAAAAATCTCATGGGAGAGACTTGTCGCAGATGCGGCCTTCGTCCAATCTCGATTATTTACCGCGCAAGGCTCAGCCACGCAGGCTCTCTACTTCGCAAAGTTGTCGGTGAGACTGAACTGTCGTATTTGGGCTAAGGTCGAAAGACTCGCCCAGAAAAAGCAAGACAAGTCCTTGCCCGCCCCTGGAAGCACTGATGTCGACGCTGTAGCCGACGGAGTCGCCAAACTTGACCTTTCCCAAAACGGGTCTTCGCCTGACGTTTCTGCGACTTACATTCAAGGAGCACCGTTCTGGCCGCATCTTGGCTCTCACCACACCTGCTTGCTGAACCTAGCAACCCTCTCTGCCCACCATGGTCTCTTCCAAGATGCCATTTATTACGGCGAACAAGCGCTCAAGATTGACAAGACCCTTGACGCAAATGCGCGTTTACTCGCAGCGCAAACCCAGCTTGGATGTCACTGGGTCCTTAGTGGCCATCTAAACGAAGGCCAGGATCATCTTTCTGCTGCTGCTGAGTCTTCCAAACAGACCCAGAAAAGCATTGAGACCGTCTCGTTCCAGATGGCACTTGCTTCTCTGTACAAGATTCAAGGTGCACACGAGAAAGCATTCCGCATTCTTCTCGAGGCGGAAAAGATTGTCGCATCTGTGACATCTGCAGACACACCGGCCACTTTGGCGGCTTCGGCTGTTTCAGAACTGGAGGATAAGATGGACAAGCTACGAGTCAGGACCAGCAGTCGGCGAACTCCAACCCCCACCACAACTACCACCCGACGAACCCGGGCAACTAGCTCCGCGGCCAGTAAAGCAACAACAAAGAAAATCCCAGCTCCGAAACCTACTCCCCCAGAGGTCCAATCCAAAACCATTACTCAACTCAAGGGCAACATCCTCAGGCAGCAAGCTGACTGTCTACGAGAACTACGCGACTTTGAACGCTCAGCGCAGACCCTTGCCGAGGCAAGAAAGTTTGCCGTTGCTCGGGAAAGCAAGATCACTCTGGAAATTGGCGAAAGCGAGCATCTCTTAGCTGACGCAATCCGTCATTTCGCCAGCCATGCCGTCTACTGTGTCCTACCTGAATCTACAATCTCATTACCATCGCTCAAATCGCCGAGCAAGACGGCAGATGAACCCCCTGTGCCTGCAAAGAAAGCCTCGACAAGGCGGGCCAAGGCACCAGCTAAGACTGCCCGCACCAAGGCTCAAAAAGCGAACGAGGACTTCTCGGTGATGTTGTCAAAGGCGAGTGATTGCCTTGCCAGCGTGTTTTCTGATGCGACGATTCTTGGTTCAACACTCGATGGCCACGCAGTGTCCCGTCTGATGAGCCGGATATCGATGTTGTCGCATGCGACTTCTCCTGGTATTCCAGCCAACTTAACCCAGTCACCTGCAAACATGAATGGTAAGTGTTACAACCCGTGTGGTCCGTCGCCAAAACTAACTTGGGTTCAGAAATCGGCCGCGTTGGTGCATTTGCTCGCGAAAGCATGGCGATTGATATCGATCGTCAATTGGCTGACCATGCTGATCCTCTTCTTTGGCCAACCTCGTTCCCTTCAGCCATTGATCTGGACGATGCTCTCTGTTCCAACTTCACTCAAGATTACGTGGACATTCTGCCCGAAAGCTGGAATGTTCTTTCCCTGTCTCTCAGCGCAGACCAGACAGAATTTGTGGTCTCGCGACTACAGAAAGATCGCTCTCCATTCCTTCTACGCCTTCCTCTCCACCGAGGAAACTCGGAGGATGACGAGGAAGAGCAGTTCACTTTTGAAGACGGTAAAGAGGAGATGTGCGAACTGATCAAGTTGGCCAATGAGAGTGCTCACGCAGCCAAGTCTAACACAGACAAGGTCTCCAAGAAAGAATGGTGGAAAACCCGCGAAGCACTTGATCGCCGAATGGAAAGTGCTCTACAGAATGTCGAAAACATCTGGTTTGGTGGCTTCCGCGGTGTGTTCTCACCACTGTCGCAAGAGACCAATGCTCTGGCCCGATTTGCCGGTGTTTTCCAGGGTATTCTGGACAAGCATCTCCCTTCTCGACAGAAGGGCGGCAAGGCTGATGGGCCACGATTGACCCTCCATCAGAACGTGGTTGACTTGTTCGTTGGGCTTCGCGACCTGGAAGAACAGGAAGAGCCCGAAGACACTTTGATGGATCTTCTTTACTTTGTTGTGGATATTCTTCAATTCCAAGGCGAGCGTAACGCCTACGACGAGATCGACTTCGACATGATGGTTGTCGACACCCTGGACGCGCTGCGCAGTTATCACGAAGCTGCGCGCGAGGAGCTCGCAGCACGACCACCCAAGCACACGGTTCTCGTCTTGGATAAAGCTCTTCATCTTTTCCCATGGGAGTCGCTTCCTTGTCTACAGGGATACCCTGTTTGCAGAGTTCCCTCATTGGAATGCCTGCGAGATCGAATTCTGCAATTCCGCAAATCCCCATCCGGGGCTGTTGTGGACCGAAAGTCTGGCTCATTTGTCCTGAACCCAACTGGCGATTTACGTTCAACCCAGACCACGTTCGAAAAGGATCTCTCCAAGTTCAAGTCGTGGAATGCTATTGTGCAGCGCGAGCCAACCGAAGATGAGTTCCGCGACTCGCTAGAAAAGAAGGACCTGTTCCTTTACTTTGGCCACGGCAGTGGAGCGCAGTATATCCGTGGCCGCACTGTCAAACGACTCACTCAGTGTGCTGTTGCGTTCCTTATGGGATGTAGCAGTGGCAGCTTGACTGAAGCCGGGGAGTATGAGCCGTACGGCACCCCGATGAACTATCTTCATGCGGGCAGCCCGGCACTGGTTGCTACACTCTGGGATGTGACGGATCGTGATATTGATCGATTTACCACGACTACATTTGACGAATGGGGACTTGTTGAGAAGAAAGACTCTGAGAGACGTGTGGATATTGGACTTGATACGGCTATTGCGCAGTCCCGAGGTGCCTGTGTGTTGAAGTACCTCAATGGTGCAGCACCAGTTATCTACGGCGTGCCTGTGTTCCTGGAATGAATATCATGAATATGATTGTTATGTTTCTATGTATATAAACCAATGTGAAGTCGCAATTGTATACCCAAAACGGTAAAACGGGTTCCCCTCATGCGGGACATTTCCCCCCACTCGGCTCAGCTTCCGTCTTCCGTTTCTTTCCCCGTCCCTCTTTCTTTACTTTCATCTCTTCTCTTCTCTTCTCATCCTTCACTACCCTAATAATGTCTGCTGTCACCACAACTGCAACCATCGCCTCCTTCGGCGGAAAGCTCCTCAAGCTGAGCCATGCCGCCACCACCACAAAATGCGAGATGAAATTCAACCTCTACCTGCCCCCGCAGGCCCAGACTCAAAAGGTCCCCGTGCTGATTTACCTCTCCGGTCTGACCTGCACAGCCGAGAACTGTTCTGAAAAGGGCTTCTTCCAGCACGGCGCCAGCAAGAAAGGCATCGCAGTCCTCTACCCGGATACCAGCCCACGTATGTTGCCAATGTTGACATTTTGCCTTTTTCTACTCTGTCATCGTATTTGAATTTCCCATTAACTTATGTTCCAGGTGGCCTGAACATCCAAGGCGAGGACGATACATATGACTTTGGCTCTGGTGCTGGCTTCTACGTGGATGCCACTAAGGCACCTTACAATGCTGGCTATAACATGTACAGCTACGTCACTGAAGAACTGCCCAAGACTGTCTTTGATGCTTTCCCTCAATTGGATGCTAGCCGGGTTAGTATCACTGGTCACAGTATGGGTGGACACGGTGCTCTTACTTTGGTATGTTCTGTTTCTAACCCTCATTTTATCTTTTTCATCTTTTTTTTCCACTTATCTGGGACTATATTACCCCACCCACAATATAAACTAACATCCCCAGTTCCTCCGCAACCCAGGCAAATACAAGTCCGTCTCTGCCTTTGCACCAATCACAAACCCAACCAACTGCCCCTGGGGCCAAAAGGCATTCAAGGGCTACTTCGGCGACGACCAGCAAAACAAGTGGAAAGAGCACGATGCCACAGAGCTGATTAAGAAGTGGACAGGCGGTCCTCTGGACATCCTAATTGACGTCGTAAGCCACACACACATCTTTACCATACCAAACGATTCCCAATCTCTGACCAATCCAGGGCACCGGCGACAACTTCTACAAGCAGGGCCAACTCCTCCCCGAGAACTTCGAGGCTGCGGCCCGCGACGCAGGCATCAGCGGCTTGAATGTTCGCTACCAGCCTGACTATGATCACTCTTACTATACCATGTCTTCCTTTGCGGATGACCATGTCGAACACGCGGCCAAGTATCTCTTTGCATAGTGTGTTTTTCCTGATTCCTGCTCCCCGTGAAATCTTGAAAAGAGTGATGTTTTGCGTTTTGATTCTTAAACATGTTCTGATTGGCTTTCTGGCTCAAGTGAGGGCCAGGGTATTAGGTCCATGATATAGAAGGAACGATGAGAATTAAGATGGTTTTGATGCATCTATATCTACATGCAGTAACTAGCCATGGTCCAATACAAGATTGTCCTAGATACTTAACTACCCAAATAAGCGTATTGGCAGTAGAGTAGCAAATTACACCAAGATAAATCACTTCATTTTCTCAAATTACCTACTTCACACCAAGGCAACGCGTAGAAACCCCTTTCTGTGTATCTTATATCTTGGATATTATCAGAAACGCCGGGCAATCCATGCGCACATGAGAAGCAGGTATAAATGCTATTTACTCGGGACTTTTGGGGGTGGCTTTTTTTTATTTTCGCTCTCTTTGATCCAGGGGGGTGTTGGGTTCATGCATAGATGTCATGATGTGCGATCAATAGCCTCGGAGATGAAGGAGATGCTATAGAAGATGAAGTCACAAGACGGGAGGATAGACGTCACCTCGGGTCAAAAACGTAAATATGGAGGGGGATATCTAGAAAGCAGAGAGAAAGAGAAAAGGAAACTTCATGCGCTCAATCGTTGGATGAATGACTAGATGGAAGGTTAGATGGAATGAAATGGTATGGGGTGAGCATACATACCGGGAAGAATTGCCGGAACCCTTTCACGTCCAGCTGGCCCATGTTGTTGAGGAACTCTTCGATGAGCTCAGCACCCATGCCCATACCGGGTAGCTCCCGGCTACGCAGGTACTCGGCATATTCCATGCCAGTCTTGGCGTAGATGGTGCGTTGGAGTCCGCCTGCTTCGGCAAGGACTTGCTTGGCTTGTGGATCTTTGGGATTGAAAGACGCTGTGGTTGGGAGCGCCCAGGCGAGGGGCGAAAGTCGGGTGATCATGAATTCACCAAAGCCAGGGAGGGCGGCCTGGGCTGTGGCTGTGCCATTGGCAGGGGCGATGTCTGGTCCACCCCAGCAGCTGGCCATGCGGCTCAAGACGCTGAATGCCATCTTGGCAGTGGTCAGGTCGTCACTATCCTTGGCGAAATGCTCGAGGGAGGTAATGATGGTTTCAAAGATGGATTGGTTTCTTTCGCTGATGATGACGGCTCCAAGGTCGTTGCTTAGCACTGCGAGCAAGAAGTTGAGGTACTCTCGCTTCAGCTCGGCGAGCTGGATCTCGTCATCGGTACCGACGGTTGGCTCGGCGATGCCGGAGAACACGCGCTGCAGGAATGGAGTCAGGAGGGTGTCGAGGATGCTGTAGATCTCGCCCTTGAACCCGAAAACAACTTGGTCCAAGAGACGGAGGAAAAGTGCCATTTCATCGCGTGAGGAAGTTTGAGTCAGGAGTCCATCGATCCATCGGGGCAGTTGGGGGAGAATCTGCGCGCCGAGGACACCAATGAGTCGAGAGAATGCAAAGCGGGCAGCAGTTCGAATGTCGAACGAGTTCTTGAGAGACTCAAGGGACACCAGGGTGGCTTCCGCCACCTGGGCGAAAGCTGCCGAAACCTCGGGCAGTACACCCGCAGATGGAGAGCCTGTAGTGCCCGGCTGCCAGTCTGAGAATCCGCGGGCAAGTGTTCCCAGGGCCATAATGTCATGGTGGATTTGCAGCAGCGCCCGCGCGTCGTTGGCTTTGGCGGCTTCAAGGTTGCGCTCCATATCACCAAAGACGGGGCTGAGCACGGATTGCACATAGAGCAATTGTTTGTCTGCACTAACACTTGGGGTAGAGCTAATAATTCCAACAGACTCGAAAAGGTTCAGCTGGCTGGTGAAGATGGCCTCTCCGCTACGTTCGTGGTCTTCAGAGGACATTTCATCACCCTCGTCGCCCTCTGAGGGAACCTCGGCTTGAATGACCAACAGGTCGCTCAATGCCTCCACAACGGTCTGCGCAACATTGCCAATCTGAGCGCGAAGCTGCCGAGCCAGGCGCTGGAAAAGGTACCACGAGCGAGTCTTGACCTTTGCAACAGGGTGGTGCACAAGCTGTAGGAAACTTTCCAAAACCCTGGGAATCTGGTCGGTGTGGTGAACAAAGAATGAGCTGTAGCGAACACAAAGCTCCATGTACAAAAGCTGGGTTGCAGGGTGAGTGAAAGATCGAATGTCGGTTCCCACCATGGCAGACATCATCTCGATAAGGCGGCTGGAGGCCCCTCCAATTGGAACGCCCTTGGTGTAGAGACTGCCGCTGCGGACAGCCAAATCACCGAATAGATACATTTCATGCAGGGCGAGATCCAGGTCACGCCAGTCGAGCTGACCTCCAGATGCTCGCAGGTTCTCGAAAGTTGTGCCCACCACCTCTGAAATCGCATCGATGTAAAGCTGCTCGTCGGCCGAGGAAATGATCTGCTGCAACACGCCCAGTCGTTTGCGGAGCTCGTGGAATTCCGCCTCGTCGGTCTGTTCGTCTTCATCGCCCCAGTTGAGAGTTTCATCGTACCGCATTTTAGCAACAATTGCCTTCAAAACTGGAAGCAGAATGGCCTTGTTTCGCTCCTCGTAGGATGGGTTTGCCTTGGCGAGTTTCCGGATGTAGGTAAGCATGTCGTTGACGCAAGTAATCACAGTCGAGCAAACTTCGTCGTATTCGTCGGAAAAGAATCGCAGGATGTGAGGGAGGAAGACGTGAAGAAGATTCTCTGCCTTCTCCCTAACAGGCCCAACATCGTTATCCAATACCCTCACAATGTCCACGGCTGTGTTGTTGACAAGCTTCGCAACTGTCTCTGCCAAATCAACATCGTACTTGGATGTAAAGCGCTGCGAGAGCAGTGGAGGACTGTTAGACAGCTGTGTGATGATAGAATCCAGATTCAAGAAAACAATCATCTCAATTTTGTCGGCAGGCTTCATCTTCTTGCCAATTATTTCCGTGAAAACATCTATCGCAGCATCACGCACTCGCTGCTCACTCTCCTGGAGCTCTTGTTTCTGAGCCCGTCCAAGCTGCTGGAAGAGCAAGTCCAACATATTCTGGTTCACGACAAGCGAAATGTCAATCCAGCTCACCCAGCTGCCCACAGCCTTCAGACACATCTCGACAATGGAGTCATCGCCTTCCCGCCAGACGGCTAGAATCTCCTGCCAGGAATTGGCAATCTTCTGCATGTCCCGCTCACGGATGAGATCTTTCAGCGCATTCGCCTTATCCTGTTCCCCGCGAGACCTCGAAACCAACACATCGCCGATCTCATCGTGGATCGAGTTCAGCACACGCAGGTAAAAGACCACACCTGCCTGATTGTCCCGACCTGTAGATTTGTTGGTGAGGGCGAGAAGTTCGTCGATGCAGGACTCCCAGCCAGTGGCGTAAAGTGAGGAAAAGAGGTATGTGACGGTCTGTGCGATTTTATTTTGGAGGTAGGGAGGGTCGGGGTTGGTGGTGGTCTCTGGGCCGTAGGCCTGGCGAATGTAGGCCATCAGACCATCTCGGATGACGGCGAGTGAGGCCTGGTCGATCAAGCCGACCTGGGCAGCACTATTGACCACCTCCAAGCTGACATGCCGTACGATTTCGGACTGTTGTGGGGTCTTGGTGAAGAGGGCAAAGCAGACCTGCCATCCGGAGGGGTCGGAGCGGAGTTGATTGAGGTATTCAAAAGCTTGCGCTTTCAAGTCTTTGTCGGCGACGTGGTTCGAGGCGATCTCAATGGCATTTGCGACCTGGAAGGTGTTACTCATGAGGGGCGAGGGTTGGAGGGGTCACGAGAGCGGGAGAGCAATTTTTGCAAAGACCTCAAAGGATCGCAAAATAGAAAGTAGAGAGTAAGTAGAAACATACCTGTTCTTCCATCTTCCAGTCCAGGCTCCAAAGCGTGGGGGAAAGGAGGGGAGATGTGTGTTTGTTTAAAATTGTTTTTCGGTGGACGAATGTCGTAATCACCCGCTTCGCTTCATAGTTCCCTTTACTACAGATTTATATACTACACTTCTAGACTACATTGAATTCTATATAGACATGGATATATTTGTATTGGTATATGTGACTATTTTGGGTTCTCTCTATGCGACCATATCTGCCTCTTGCTGCAGCACTTGCTGCTCCATCTTCTCAAAGCCCTCAACAGCCTGGCCATATTGCTCGTACACTCCCTTCTGGTACCCATCGGCAATCTTCTCAATGAACTCCTCTTCTTTCCAACGCTCACCGATCAAGCTTTCAAAGGTTTGATCGGGTTGGCGCTCAATTCCCCATACAGCTTTGTATGCAGCACCGAGGGCACAGGCATTGTCACCGATATCGAGCTGATACACACCCTCCACACCACCCAGAATCTCGCCAGCAATCTTCGCAATGGCTTTGTTCTTGGAACCTCCTCCAACGAGATACACTCGTCGTGGCTGGGAGGGGAGCCCGTCACCGGGGCTCTGAGTGAGACCCCGAGACCGCAGACGCAGGGAGATCATTTGACTTTCAACAATAGCACGGGCTTCGTCTTGTGGGCTATTCCATCCATCGGTGGTCTCCTTCAGAGCCCCCGTGCTGGGATCATATGTAAAGCGCCATTGACCCTTACGGATATTAGGCACAATCTCATGGCGCGGGAAGAAAAGTCCCAGCTTCATAGGATCCGAAGCTTTCTGCTGGCCCAGTACAGGTGTCTGCAGCGCAACCTGGTCAAAGTTGGCCCAGGGTTGAGCGGGGGTATCCTTCAAGCTATCGTTGATGGCGTCTCGGACATGCTCACGGGCCAGGCCACCGTTCTTGTAGCACAGCATGAACATGTACAATCCGGGGGTCGTCGGATGGTTGAAGAAGTGGGTGGCAGGGTCGGGTTTGTAGCTAGGGGTGGACATGAGGAAGGTGGTAGAGGTGCCCAGGGACACCATGGCGTCTGAGGGCCGCAATGGCAGCGCCAGAATAGTAGCTGGGTTATCACCAGTTGCGGGGATGACCGTACATTCGGGACTGAAGCCGAATCGCTCCACGAAGTATGCATGGACGGGGCCTAGATGCAGGCCTCCATCTTCTGGCACTTCACCGAGCTTCCGCTTGAGTTCCTCGACCCCGAATACACCGGAGCAGAGTTCAATCAGTCGGTCGTCATACGCTCCTTTCTTAATGTTCCACAGGTTCATCCCACACACGTCGGAGATGTCAAAGGGTGCCACATGGCCGAGGAACAGCGAGGCCAGGAAAGAAGATACCAGTGAGATTCTGGATGTCTTCTGGTAGACTTCTGGGTGCTTTCGGGTGAAGCGGAGGATTTGGGGTCCTGTGAATCTCTGAAAGATATTAGTACCTAAGTATGCTTGTTCACACCGATTCGGAGGGTGTCTTACGTGGTGTGCTTTGCTTCCCGATGCCTGTGCCAGATGCTCAGGGGCCCCGAGCGCCGCATCAAACTCATTGCATTCTTGCTGGGTGCTCGAATCCTGCCAATTGGGACTGTATGGGTGTGAGAAGGCCCCCTCGAGTTGTGTCTCGAGGGAATTGGTGGCGTCTAGATTGCGGAGCAACTGCTCCGCATTTGGGCCCCAGTAGACACTTCCGTGCTGCTGGCCGGCAGCGCTGATTCCTTTTACCCGGCTGAAGTCCAGTCCCTGCTTGCGCAGGTTCTCCAACACACTGTCCAATGCCTGTAGCCATAAAGCTACCGGGGCAAAGACCTCATGCTCTGCTTCATTGTTCAGGACTCCCTTCTTGATGGGGAACCCGTGGGAATCGGCGTCGAAGTCGAACTTGGCGACATACTCCACCTTGAGCTCCGAATTGACCACCAAACCCTTCAACTGCTGGGTGGAGAGATCGAAACCGATATATAGGGGGGACGACATGGTGGAAATACTGGTGTAGAAAGAAAAGAAGTGGGAAATGTCTAAGTATATAATTTATACTTGGAGGGGTAAAAAGCGCAAGCGGAAGGATGAGTCCGCTATGATGTAAAGTCCAGCCGGTTATATTATGGGCTTTTTACAGATCGACTGCTAATAGTACTCGTGTACTTCAGTCTTTTAGTCCTCAAACATAGAGAGCACAAGAGCTATCTAATTCCCAGGAAACCTCTGCCGAGCACTAGGGTAAATGGAGCTCACATTAGTGCGGCTGATCTAGTAGAGTAAGTCCAGCCCGAGCCGGGTAAATTGCTCTGCTAAATTGTAGTCTGAAATCGCAGTAGCAGCAAATAGCAGTATCTCGGTAGAATGGTATATTCAAATATATGCAGGGGTATCATCGTTCTCTTCACATTTCCCCTATTGTTGTTTCGGATGACTGTGATGGCTGTGATCATGGCTGTGGGCCTCAGGGTCCCCGCCAATGTCTTGCGCAACGAACTCATCCGAGAAGGTAAGCTCCTGGTGTTCCGCTGGAATGAAACGGACCTTGATGCGCTTCACTCCACGAACATCAGCACCAATGGCGGTGCGAATGGCAGTCTCAATCGAATGCGACCGACTGACAGCCCAAGCGCCAGGCACCGCCAACTCCACATCCATCAAGTAATTCTGTCCAGACTTCATCCCCTGCACGTCGCGGACAATCACTTCATGTCCCTCTTCCAATTCCTTCAAGGCTTTGGAGGTAGCTTCCTCCACAGAGCTGCGGACGTCCTCGTCCACCGTAGTATCCGCCAGCTCCAACAGAGACGTGCAGGTGTTGCCCCACCCGGCTTTGATCACCATCAAGGAGATCAGAAGTCCGCCCACTGGATCCAGCCAGGTAGCGTCCTGGAAGACATAGCTTCCTCCAATTGTAAATAGAGCGACAATGCTCGTCAGGGAATCGATCCGGTGGTGAACGGCGTTGGAGGCTAGGACTGATGACTTGCGCTCATTGGCAACCTTCATAGCTAGAGGCAGGTTAGGACTGCATAATGTGATCTTGTCTCATTGAAACTTACTGGCCCGATACAACCATTCCTTAACCACAATTGAGCCTGCCGCCAACCACGCAGCGTGAATGCTGGGACCAATGGGCCCGTGGCTGTGTGAATGGCCATGTCCCAGCACCCCCGAGTGAGCTACCGTTTCCGCAATCTCGGGGTAGAACTGAGCCAACAGCACTTGCCCCGAGTTGAGACCCATGAACATGCCTCCAAAGAGTAACAGCCCACTCACACCTAGAGCACCAATGCTCTCCACCTTGCCATAGCCATTGGGGAATCGATCACTGGGGGGTTTGAGGGACCATGCGACCGTTCCGAGGGTCAAGAAATCGGAGACCAGATCGGTGAGCGCGTGATAGGCGTCGGCGATCAGGGCCTGAGAGTGAAAGACGTAGCCACCAATAAACTTGCCAATGGCCATGCACAGGTTTGCGACGAGACCAATGCGAGTAATGCGAACACCGGCGTCGCTTTTATTTGAGGAGGTGAGGTAGGTATTGTCGTGATGATGATGATGGCCATGGCCATGGCTGCCATGGCCTCTGGATTGGGTCATTTTCAAAGTGGAAGGAAGGGAACGTGGTCTCGAATGAAAAAGAAAGGAAGCCGGGTTCTTTAAAATAGGCGCAGAGGTAAGTATACGGCGTTGAGCGGATCCAATATTGGAAACCCTTAAGTGGAGAGGACGTAGCCTGCAACGCAGGGGCTGCGTCAGCGGCATTTCAGGGATTATGGGACAAGTGGTCTTTCAATTGATCAACAAGAATTGGATGATCAATTGAGAATACTCGAATACTAGTAGAAGCAGAGAACATGGAGGGGCGGTATATCATGTAATCCGGCAAGACGCAATTCCAGATGCGCTGATGTTCCAATCTGCTTCTTTGCATTTCACATCGACTTCACTACTACACTACTACACTATTACTACTACCTACAGAGCCTATCACACTCCACTGATTTGTATACATTCTACATTATATTAGCTTCGGACTTCCTCCTCCGCTTATTGATCTGCCAAGCTTTAATTGCCTACGCAACGTTTCCGCTCTCAAACCGCCAAGACGAGCACGATGCGTCTCTAATGACGACGCCTGCAATTCGGATCCCCTTCACGGGCCCACTTCCCCCGGCCATTATAGTCCCTCGGTCAGCGGCAACCCTAGCAGGCGCAATTGAGGCTGTAACCTCGTTCTTCACTGCCCCACCATCCTTGAATCTCCGGGGCGTCGATGTGGGAAGGCATTCCCAAACGGTCCTCCTGACCGGCGCAGGCATCTCCGTCGAGTCAGGCCTGTCAGACTACCGCGGCGACCAGGGGACCTACCGGCGCAACAAATCCTATCGTCCCATCTACTTCCACGAATTCATCTCCCGCCACGAGTCTCGAAAGCGATATTGGGCACGCAGCTTCATCGGATGGCCCGGCTTGGTGAAAGCAAAACCCAACGCCACGCACTGGGCCATCAAGGGTCTCGGGGAGAAAGGGTATATCAGTTCCGTGGTAACTCAGAATGTGGACTCGTTCCATTCTCTAGCGCACTCGGAGCTGGATACTCTCGAACTCCACGGATACCTGCGATCGGTCATTTGCACCAGCTGTCGTAGTCAGCTCCCCCGAGCTGACTTCCAGGCGTCCTTGGAGAGACTCAATCCAGCATGGTCTGAGTTTTTGGCTCGCATGATGGAACAGGGCGCGCTCGACACCGATAATCCCGAGGAGCAACGGCGGAAAGGCCTGAAGCTGAATCCGGATGGTGATGTGGATTTGGCTGAAGCGCCTTATTCGACTTTCCGGTACCCTTCGTGTCCGAAATGTCTGGAAACACCTCCTATCCTGGAAGATGGTACGAGGGCGAATGTCGAGGTGGAAAGTGATGGCGCGTGGATGTCGACGTCCAACGCTGGCATTCTCAAACCTGCCGTAGTGATGTTTGGAGAAAACATTGATCCACTAGTCAAGACGGCGGCTGAAGAAGCCATCGATGACGCTGGGCGGCTGCTCATCCTGGGGAGTAGCCTGGCGACCTATTCTGCATGGCGCTTGGTGGAACGAGCGTACAAACGCGGCATGCCCATTGGGATTATCAATGTGGGAGGAGTCCGGAACGAATCCACGCTCTTTGGAAACATTGAGTCGCCCACATCTCATGTTCGATGTAGCCATCCATCGCAGTTGGTTCTGCCGAGTGTGGTGTCTCAACTGCCAGTCAATCTTCTATAGAGCAGGTACTTACAGATGACATTCTCAACAAACATCTATAGATAAAACATAAAATATGCAATATGCAATATGCAATCCAACCATAATATGCAAATACTAATATTAAATGTATGAATAGAAAATAAAAGAATACAAGAATAAAAGAAGTATGAAATGCCTAAGAGAGTCAGCGGCTAACTCAGGTTCCCGACGCGGGGCTCCTCCTCACCTCTCAGCATGGAGCGTCCTAGGGATTTCCACCCTTTAAAGATCGCCTCAAGCCTTGTCTCCCCTAGGTCCTTTCTCTATCCTCATAAACCAGGGCCTCCTAGAACTGTTCACAAAATGGATAAATCCCAACAGCCCAGCTCTTTCCAGCAGCTGGAAAAGGTAATCTCTGCCCACTCAGTCAAGAATCACCACTAATTTCTACACAGCTCGGCGAAGGAACCTATGCAACCGTACGTCTCGATCCACTTCCTCCCCCAAGTTCGTCGCTGATGGGCAATACAGGTCTTCAAGGGACGCAACCGCCAGACAGGCGAGATGGTGGCGTTGAAGGAGATCCATCTGGACTCGGAGGAGGGAACCCCATCCACGGCGATCCGTGAGATCTCACTGATGAAGGAGCTGAAGCATGAGAGTATTGTCTCACTCTACGATGTCATCCATACCGAGAACAAATTGATGCTGGTCTTCGAGTTCATGGACCGAGACCTGAAGCGGTACATGGACACCCGTGGAGATCGCGGACAGTTGGACCCCGCTACCGTCAAATCATTCATGCACCAGCTCCTCAAAGGCATCGCATTCTGCCACGATAACCGAGTCCTGCATCGCGATCTTAAGCCCCAGAACCTCCTGATCAACAAGAAGGGTCAGTTGAAGCTGGGTGACTTTGGACTGGCTCGCGCATTCGGCATCCCCGTCAACACATTCTCCAACGAGGTCGTGACGCTGTGGTACCGCGCTCCGGACGTTCTCCTCGGCAGCCGCACCTACAATACTAGCATTGACATTTGGTCTGCGGGCTGTATTATGGCGGAGATGTACACCGGCCGTCCATTGTTCCCCGGCACCACCAACGAGGATCAATTGGTCAAGATCTTCCGTCTGATGGGTACCCCCTCCGAACGATCTTGGCCAGGGATCTCGCAACTGCCCGAATACAAGACCAACTTCCACATCTATGCCACCCAGGACTTGTCCCTGATTATCCCTCAAATCGATCCCATCGGGATGGACCTCTTGAACCGCATGCTGCAGCTTCGTCCTGAGATGCGCATCGGTGCCAACGAGGCTCTTCAACACCCGTGGTTCCACGATCTGCCTCAGATCCAGGCCAAGTTGCAGCAACAGCAGCAACAGCAGATGGCTGGATATGGGGGCATGGTTCCCCCGCAGCCTGCGTACTAATGATCTTAATGGTCTAGGCAGCACACGACGAGATGACGAGCGAGATTAGACAAATGGATCTGGGAGAACTCGGCGTTATACCCGGAAATTTTGCTGTTTTGTTTCCAACTGGCATTTTGATTATTATTTTCTTTTTTCTTTTTCTTTTTGCTTTTTTGTTCTTCCCCCGGGCATTGCTGTCCCATCCGAGTGAGTCACCCAATGGCTATCCTTCAAGCCTTTGGAGCCAAGAATTGAAGGCCGAATTATTTAACAGGTGCAACAGGCCGTGTTCGCCTTGTTCGAAACTCTTTGACTTGCACGGGCTTTGGACTTACGGGTTTTGGTCTGCATTTCGAAATAAGCTTATAGGGCAACTAGCCTCTTGGGCCATTCTTTTTGAACAAAAAAATCAATCTTCCCTGCAAAACCTTTCTCTTTCTCTCTGTCTTATATCTCTCTTTCCGTTCTAAAGCGGCCTGTCGTCGGGGGGAAAAGACGAGGTTACACACGGAATCCTAATGAGATTCCCATTGACTTCAAGTTCTTTCGTCTACAACCCCGACCCTGGGACATTTCACTCCCTTTAGCCTGTTTCAACCAAACCATTTTAAATCCTGTCTAGTTGGGCTCTTTTCACTCTTGCTCTTGGCGTCGGGGATCCTCTTTGTTCACTCTCAATAAGATGCTGAGGGGTTTCGACTCTTTGTCCGCCAAGCAGATGATCTGGGACTCTCGAATGTGCTTTTGTTCAAGTCCAAAGTCCCCTCAGATCATCCGGCTCCTCGATCTGTCATTTCTCCCGGTCTAACCACGCGCATCATTTCGGCTCATATCTGCCGTTAGATATACTCCTGTGGCTGCCCGTCCACGTTGGCCTCGAGTCGGACATGATACTATGACCCTGTCTGAGAAACAGATATCGGCCATCTCGGTCACCGAGCGGGTCTGCTCGACCATCTCTTTGATGGGAACGTTCGTGATAGTAGCCACTTTTCTTGGATCCTCTGCGTTCCGGAAACCTATCAATCGTCTGGTGTTTTATGCGTCGTGGGGTAATATGATGGCTAATATAGCCACCATAATTTCGGCGAATGGTATACACCAAGGAGTTGATAATTCACTCTGTCAGTTTCAAGGCTTTTTGATTCAATGGTGAGTGAGGTATTCTGAATCTTTCTCCCTGCTAAATGTTGACTGGTGAGCATAGGTTCATGCCTGCCGATGCTCTGTGGACCTTTGCAATGGCCTGCAACGTCTACCTAACATTCTTCCACAAATATGACTCCGAGCAGCTACGGAAATTGGAATGGAAATATGTCCTTTGTTGCTATGGAATCCCATTTATCCCGGCATTTGCCTTCTTCTTCATTCAGACCCAAGCACGAGGTCGGATCTATGGCTCCGCCATTGTAAGATCAGAACTTCCCAGAACATAGCAATGCTGATACCAACCATTTAGCTCTGGTGCTGGGTCTCGATTAAATGGGACTTTCTTCGCATTGCCACCTTCTACGGGCCCGTCTGGTTAATCGTCTCGTTGACCTTCGCCATCTACTTACGCGCAGGAGTAGTGATCTATCAGAAGCGTCGACAGCTTCGGAATATCGGTGGCATTGACTCGCTTGACATTGATATTCCGGAATCTCCATTTGCCATGTTGACTGGAATCCAAGTCACGAGGGAAATTGCCTGCTCGACGCCTGAGCGTCGGTCTATTTCGGCGGAGAGCGCCCGCGGTTTGCCCTCTGCCGGGTTCAGATCATATACAGTCACTATTGAAGGTGGTAGCCAGCAAAACAAGTTCCAAAGACCCAGCTCCCAAATCGTCCCGGGTCCTCTCCAGAAGGAAACTACTGTCAAAACAAGACCCGACGTTGTCGACTCTCAGCGGAGGCTCACCACAGAGACGAATTCAGCTACTTGGGCATACTACAAATATGCCATGCTTTTCTTTATCGCTTTACTTGTAACATGGGTAAGTCAACTTCATTGGTCATGTATGATCGATCTTGTCCACATCCTCATCCAACGTTACAGGTCCCATCCACCATCAATAGAGTATATTCTCTCGCCCGCCCTAATGACTTTAACTTCAACCTCAATTATGCTTCTAGCTTTGTGCTCCCCCTACAGGGGTTCTGGAATAGCCTGATTTACGTCTCTATCTCATGGCCTGCTGTCAAAACACTATGGTCCGACATCCGTAAGCGCATACGTTCATGGCATGTGCCCTGTCCACCAAAGCAGCTGCAGCCAATCCATATTCGGAAAGGCTCTCAAAGCTCTTTGACGCCTCATTTGTTGCAGGCAGATAACGAGGAAAGGCGTCGCAGCTGGCCTGGGTCTCACCCACCTTGTTAGAGCTAGATCCAACGCATTTGAAATGATTACTACCTACCCCTACTTTTACTTAAGTACGATCCTTTGTAGCTAGCAAGCTTGTAGTAGTAACATATATTTATATCAATTAGCAATATAATTCAAATAACTTACATTAAAATAATAAACCAATGATCTATAAAACACGTGATCGGCGCGTCGCGTTGAACGGTATTCTGTCCGAACTCCAAATTCCTCACCAGTCACCTCAAACCCAGCATAACAGATCCCTCAATCACCCCGCTACATCTGAACCCTCATCTCTGCAGGGGGTACACATAATGGCGGAATCAACCTCCCAGGTCCAGCAACCAGCCGCGTCGCCCTCCCCTCCCCCGCCAGCACCGATTCCTCAAACCCCAGGCCCGCGCGCCTCTCGCCTGCACCAGGTCTTCGACCAAGCACTGGCGCGCACACTCCGCGCAAACTCATACCAGAACTTCGCAAGCTGTTTCCCGACTCCTGCGCGCCATGTCCCGGCTAGTCTGGAGGGTGTTTGGCGACAGCTGAATGCGAAGCTGGAAGCTAATGCTAAAGCCGAGTTTGAGGATATTGTCGCGGAGCGGGATGCGATACCTCATCTAAATGAACTTGATCGACTAGTCAATGATGCGAAGGCTAGGAAAGAGCAGGAGGCTGAGCATAGTGAGCCACAGGAACATGTAGTGTATGTTGAATGCGTCTTGAATTTGGATTGTTATCTTTGTTTTATTTGGGCCTGGAAACTAATTTGCCGGAACTGTTTAGCCCGCATACACTCGGTGCAGAAGATCTGTACAAAGCGCATATCACGCCATTCCTCGAAGAAGCGCAGTCAACACTCAACAACAGGCTTCAGGCTACGAATGCGGAAAATGCAGAACTCGCGCAGACAGTTCAGGCGCAAAGACTCGAGATTGAGCAACTGCTATCACATCTTGGATTGGTTGTTTCGGATATTGAAGGTGCTGCCGCTGCAGCCACGCAGTTCAGCAATGAGCATCATATTCGTCAGGACGCCGTGCAAATGGACCAAGAAGCGAGTGCTCGTCCTGCTCTGTGAGATTATCGTGATATCTGGTTTTTGTTCATGAGATCAGGGCGCTTAGTTCCATCCCATCTACCATTCCGTCCTCGACTATGTCCTGCGCCACGACAATCACTTGCTGGAGATTGGTTGTCTTGAGCTGTTGGAGTTTCGTGTTTTGGCCATCGATTGCTGCGGCGATTGCTTCCTTGCAGGTTCCTTCGAATTCTTCCTCTGCGGCTCCGTCGCGTCTCGCCAGAGCTGCTCCGCCGCGGTAGTAGGTCTGGGCGTTGCGCAGGAGTGTGGCGCCACCTTGCTTTGCCATGCTGTGGTTCCATGGGGCACGTCCAAGACGCCATCTGTGCATCTCTGCATCTCCCCGTCCGATATGGATTTTGGGGAGGTTGGAAGCATCGGGGTGTTTGGAGGCAGCTGTCAATGAGTCCAGGGCAGTCGACAGAGACTTCCAACGCAAAGTCACCGCATTTTGTAATGTTTCCTCGTCATCAGGAGGGATGTCAGAGAGTGCCTGATTGAGTGAGATGAGTGCCTCTGCTTTCGCGCACAATCCGTCGGGGTCCGCAGAAACATCCAGCTCAGAGCCGAAGACCTGTCCGACTTCCTGCTGATAGATTTGGACATCGGTATGTCCGCCTCGGTATAGCAAGTCATTCAGAGCACAAATAAGCTTAGCGCGCGCCAAGGCCGCTTCGTACTGTCTGTCTGAGCCTTCGACATAAACGGGCAGTCGGGAATGAGCAAGCTCTGCCGAATACTGTTGCACCCAGCCAACGCCACCGGCACCCGGGCTTGACGTCAGCAGGTTGCACAGGGTAGTCAGAGTGTCCAACTGGGCAACGGCTGTATCGACCAATGTGTTTTTCGTGACGGGTTCAACAATCATCGCCCACTGTTCTTGCTCGTCGGAACCAGTCTTTGGCTGTTCAGGCTGTGGCGCAGCCTCTGGCTCGGGTGGGACATCCCCAGATGCAATCGCTTCCATCTGTTCCATCTCCTCTTGCATTTGGGTGTACTTCATCTCCTGTACGATCAAACACCGCTGAAACAGCTCGATCGCCTCCTGCAGGTAGGTCCCTGCTTGCATCATTTGCTCTTCGCCGGGATGCTTGGAGTTGGACATCGACTCCGCCAGACTGGTCAGCACCTGGCCCGAATTGAACAACACGTCAGCATTATCCTGTTCCAAAGCTAGTGCATCCCGGTGCGACTGCAATGCAACCTGCAGGAGCTCTCCCTGGGCTGCAGGTAATTGGGCTGCTAATTTAGGGTGCTGCGTGATTTCATATTGAACTCGTGCTCTTTAAGCGTTGTCAGTTATGAATTCGTACACAATGTTCCATAGATTAGGAAATGCCAGTGTGAAATTATCTGCTCTCCAGATACTCACTTGTTGTAAGCTAGATCAAAGGTCCCAGGATGTTTCTGTAGACCCTCGTCATAGTTCGTGATGGCGCGCATGAAGAAACGCATAGACTTGGCCGCATCCCCAGCCCGCCATTTCTCGCCGGCTTCCTCTAGCTCGACGCCAGCTGGAAGTGGTTAGTAATGATCCAACTAGTATATTGATGACTGATATAATGGTCCGCATGGACGAAATACATACCAGCAAGAAAATCATCGGCGGTCTCAGGTACCTGTCAAATTCTATGAGATCATGGCGTGTTTTCGATGGATGCAATAATATGTACCTGCTGCTTAGCAGCCTTCTTCTTTGGCTTCTCTTTCAGAAAGGACTTGGGCTTTGGCATATTGGATGAGATTGATGAAGATGTCTCTGAGTAAGTAGTGTGGACTTCAGATTATAGATCCGGCAGAATCTGCGGTGTGACCGCAACTCTCACTTCCACACGCTCGATGAGTCTACCTCGGAATTTCTCTCGAAATATACTCAGACTAAACATACACAGAAAGAGACATGTCAGACATTTTAGATACTGATTTGGATTGACAGCTACTCCAAGTAGTTAATTTCTCATAGCGTCTGATCAGCGTGCCAAGATCCGGTGTAAGCGTTTCACTGATGAAACAAGTGGTAAAAGGGGGTGCAGAATGTTGCAGAAAAGGTCTGTTCATTGCCGATAGGTCTACAATCTTAAGTCCAGGTACCCAAGTATATGCATAATCCCTTGCCGATCTGACAATTGCAGTTATTCCCAAGTCAACCAAGCGATGTTAGATATTGGTTTCAAGAGCCAAGGCCTGCAGGTTCACAGCATAATCTAGCATTGAGAACTGAGACAAAGCCCTTTTACTCGTACTCATTGTGGTGTCTGTACTCTGTACTTGTAACTATACTTGTCCGTAAATACCAAATACCGAGCTCGTGGTCTGCACGTGGCAAATATAAGGTCCAGGCTGCTGATTGGCCACAAGTCTTGACATCACGGCACTGGACTCCACTTAAAAACCCAGAATCAAGCCACCGTCTCCGTACACCCGTACGCCCCATACACTGTCAAAGTACGCCTTTTTACCGCATTTTACGGTTACGTCGATCCTAAAAATCCCCCTTTCTCTTATCCCCACCGTCACTGACCCACCTCTTTCCTTCTTGCTACTCGTGTTCTCCTACACTGTGTGCTATTGTGCTATCAGACCGTGTGTACACTTGGTGCGGCACGCTAGTCCCTCCGCTAACAGAGCGCTTGCAGACTCCATCCTATTCCAGAACTAGGGCTACCTACGAGTACTCCAAACAGTGCCCCTCTCTCGGCGCAGGCCTCTCCTTTAAGAACGTACCCTCTGCCCAGCATGGCCCGCCAAAATTCTTTGGATTCCGAGCGCCCCATCATGGCCCATTCGGTAGGATTCGCCCCCTTGGAACCTCGGCGAGACCGTGAGTCCAGCGCATGGCTAACCTCCCCCAGAACCGCAACTCCAAGCGATTCTCAACTGTCAGCGGCAGTCCCTCGCTCGCCTCCGACCTTCCCAGTGGTGATCCCCGAATTGCCGACATCTCCCACCTCCACGATGGGTTTGAGCGCCTCGAGAACAAGCCGCTCACCAAGCAGCGATTTGTGCCCACCGCCGAGAAGTCCGACAACCTGAACAAGCTCGCTCTCGGCGCAAAGGTCGAGCGCGCTCTCGGTCGCAGAATGACCGGCCAGGACGCTGTCATGCGCAAGCCTCTCTCTGAGAAGACCGAGGGAACAACCTCACCTTGAATGTGACGAGAAAGATCTTCACGCACCGTGCTCCACACGACTTTGATCGCTATTTTTTTATATCTACCTGACTATGTACCTGATTTCGGTTTGGACAACTCGCCCGTTGTCGCCTTGCCGAACACCTTTTTTTTTCATATCCTATCATACCCTTCTTTTCCTTTTTCTTTTTCCGGGTCAGTTTGCGGCGTTAGAACTTGACGAGATGTGCATTATATCTCCGTGTTTTGGTATCTCTATTCCTCTTTCATCGATTGTCACATACCTTGAATTTCATTACGATCACTTCCACGTCTTTGTCGCACTCTTTAGATTTTTTTTTTCGGCCATTGATATCTGCTGGGTGGAGCCGCCTGCTACCCAGTCAATGCACCTCTGGGGGCATTGATCACTGCTAATCTATCATCTGATCGAGCCTCATCTGTTTTGTTTCTGATCTACTCCACATCACAGCTTCCTTAAGCTCTTTAAGCGGGTGTGCCGTCTGATCTCTGGACATGCTGCTCGGGGTAGCCTGCGTTGGAATCTTAGGACCCCCTCTCTGGATATATTCAACTGTACGTCCTGGACAAGGCTGATTCAAGAGACATCATCTAAACATACTCTACTTCCTAGATATCTGTAGTTCATTCGCACAGTATACTGATTCTGCCACTGTAGACCGCCAACCCACGCGAAACCCGTCACAGAAGCAAGTCGCTTTTTCTGCGAAGGCGAATTCCCACAGCTTCACTCTCAACTCGACTTCTTCCTTTTTTTTTCCCCGACTTGTCCATCTTCCTATTCTCGAGACCCACATCTCTCGATCCTTCTTATCTTTCCTCTTTGGAGTCTTTGTTTTCTCCTCTCAGTCCTCTGCTATACTTCTTAAGATCCGCAGCTTAAAGCGCATTTTTCTTGCTCTCTCTTGTTCCCATCTATCTTCTTTTCCGTTCAGTCCCCTTCAATTGCTCGCACTAGTGCTTAGTACATTTTCGCATTGTGAGTTCTGATCTTCACATGTTCCCTTTGATGCAGTAACGGACACATCGCTAATGAACTCAGTGAGGGAAAAAGAACATCATTAGACCGATTCTCGTCACTTCTCAGATTCAGAAAAGCCTATCGGTTCTTATATTTTCGCTGTTATTTTCGCCGCCCTCCGTTACTCTTGAACCCGTTTTTAACCCGAAGCCGACAAAACCCCTCAATCCTCCAATATGACCGACATGAACCAGCTCCCCATCAATGGCAACTACCCCGGCCAGCACGGCTACCCTGATTCCTACAATACTTCTTCCGTCACTATGAACACTGCTGCCAGCTTCCAGCCTGCGCAGTCCTCTACTCCGACTACCGTCACTCCCACCGACCAGAAGAATGACATCTCTAAGGATGAGGTGGGCTGGTACTTTGTTGAGCAGTACTACACCACCATGAGCCGCAACCCCGACAAGCTCCACCTGTTCTACTCCCGTCGCTCCCAGCTGGTCGTCGGAACCGAGGCCGAGCCCGTTCCTGTCATCATCGGCACCAAGGTTGGTTTGGCTCGATCGTGGATTGTGAACTCTGACTAACCGTATCGCAGTCTATCAGTGACAAGATCAAGGAATTGAAGTTCCAGGAGTGCAAGGTGCGCGTCTTGAACGTTGACTCCCAGGCTTCTTTCGACAACATTCTGGTCTCTGTGATTGGTGAGATCTCCAACAACTCCGAGCCTTCCCGCAAGTTCGTGCAGACCTTCGTCCTTGCCGAGCAGCCCAATGGCTACTACGTGCTCAACGATATCTTCCGTTACCTCGTTGAGGAAACCGAGGAGGAGCCCACTCCTGCTGTGGAGGCCACTGAGGCCCCGGAGGCTGAGGCCGAGGTTCCTGCCGTCTCCACCGACGAGGCCCAGGTCTCTGACGAGGCCGCTGTGTCCAAGGTTGATGAGAAGCTCGAGGACGTCGAGGCCAATGGAGAGGTCGAGGAGCCCAAGGAAGTTGCCCCTCAGGCCAACGGCACCCCCGCCGAGGAGGAGACTCCCGCTGTCGCCCCCGCCGTTGAGGCTGAGATTCAGGTCGAGGAGCCCCTCGCCCCTGAGCCCACTCCCGCCCCCGAGAAGGAGGAGCAGATTCCCGAGAAGGAGACTGCCCCTACTCCTGCTGTTCCCAAGACCTGGGCTAGCATTGCCAACAACTCCTTTGCTGCCAAGGCGGCTGCCGCCTCCAAGGCCGCCGCTGCCGCTACCCCCGCTGCTGCTCCCACTACTACCAAGGCAGCCGCCCCCGCTAGCCAAGCTTCTCCCGTTGTCTCCGCTGCTCAGCCCGCTGCCGCTGCCACCCCTGAGGCCCGCCCCCAGGAGCCCTCCACCGATGCCGGATGGCAGACCGCTGGCCACGACCACAAGAAGTCGCAGCCCCGTGCTGGCGAGGAGACCGTCCTCGCCTACATCAAGAATGTCAACGACAAGGTTGACGCCAGCCTGCTGAAGCAAGTTCTTTCTCGCTTCGGTAAGCTTAAGTACTTTGATGTTAGCCGTCCTAAGGTATGTTTTTCCCGTCAACTCCTGACTCTCATTTCTTATGCCAACACATCCGTAGAACTGTGCCTTTGTTGAATTTAACGAGCCCGCTGGCTACGCTGCCGCCGTCGCCGCCAACCCCCACCAAATTGGCAGCGAGCAAATCCTCGTCGAAGAGCGCCGCCCCCGTGGTAACGCCTACGGCAGCAACGGCTTCCCCGCCGGTCGTGGCGGTGGTGCCGGCCGTGGTCGTGGTGACCGTGCTGGCAGCCAGGGCCGCGGTGGATTCCAGCGTGAGGGCCGTGGTGGCTTTGCTCCCCGTGGCCGTGGTGGCAACGTTGCTGCCAAGGGCCGCAGCAGCCAGGCTCAGGCTGCTTAGATTCCATTCCGATATTGATGATCCTCTACGTCTTTTTTCTTCACGCCGCTTGCCATCATTCGGCGGACGATCTCAGGATCTGATCTGTATTACTCTGATTTGGATTTCCCTTTTCTCTTTTGCCCCGTCTCTTCCTAATGACATGTGTTACGTGACTATTGCCTCTTTTTTTCCCCGTCACAGTGCATATTAGCGGTTAGTCCGGGTTGGCGGGAAAAGTTCTTCTCTTTCCCCCTCTGGGCCCTTTGTTTTAACCTGAATCTTTTGTTTTCTTTTTTTTTTCTCACCCTTGGGTCGACTCTTGGATCTCGAATCTTTTTTCTTGCGCCATATTTCTTTGTCTTTTTTTTTTTTGGCTTCGCATTTCTCCTAGCATAGCAAACTTCAGGGTTTCACGGTGGTGCGCCATCCCGGTTCTTGTATTTTGCTTTTATTTTACTTTACAATGTAAATGATCATGAGAATATCATTTGTATATTGTAGTTTAGTATTGTGACTATGCTTAGTATAGTATCTTATATGAGGACCGTCGGACATCAGCTGACTTGGAAGATTCTAGCGAAGCAGCCTGAGGCACCAAGTCCAAGAACATATAGAAAAGATGCAATAAAGTCCATATAAAAGAGAAAAGAGAATAGTCTGGGGCAATGATAAAAATAAATACCACATATAGTAGCCACTAAGTAAAACGAAGACTCTAGAACCAAAGACTGCAGGTTGCCTGTCCGACGTGGAAGTTGCTGGATCACCGTAGAACCTCTCCACTAGAAATTTTTGGAAACACAAAACCACCCGCCTCCCTTCCCCATCTCTTTTCACCTCTCTCTGCTTTGGTTTCTCCCCTCCAAGGCTTCTTTTTTTTTGTTTCAGTTCTTGTAAGCTATTCCCTCTCTTTCCCCTGAACAGTCCTCTGTCCTCCACCGCTACATCAGACTGCAGACTGTGCAGTTCTTTCACTCAATTGGAAGATCTTCTCACTAACTCATCTAGAATACCACACCGCCATCATGTCTGAGACCTTCGAGTTCCAGGCTGAGATCTCTCAGCTGCTCTCGCTGATCATTAACACCGTCTACTCCAACAAGGAAATTTTCCTTCGTGAGTTGATCTCCAACGCCTCCGATGCCCTCGACAAGATCCGCTACGAGGCTCTCTCCGACCCCTCCAAGCTGGACTCCAACAAGGATCTCCGCATCGACATCATCCCCGATCTCGAGAACAAGACCCTTACCATCCGTGATACCGGTATTGGTATGACCAAGGCTGTAAGTTTCTGCTGGAGAGACCCCCACTTTCCCAATTTTCCCCCTCCATCGATATTCATCGATATCTCAATTGAGTATGGAACAAGAAACTAATGACTTTGTCGAATAGGACCTCATCAACAACCTTGGTACAATTGCCCGCTCCGGTACCAAGCAGTTCATGGAGGCCCTCTCCGCTGGTGCTGATATCTCCATGATCGGCCAGTTCGGTGTCGGTTTCTACTCTGCCTACCTGGTTGCTGACCGCGTCACCTTTGTCTCCAAGCACAACGATGACGAGCAGTACATCTGGGAGTCCGCCGCTGGCGGTACCTTCACCCTGAAGGAGGACACTGAGGGCGAGCAGCTCGGCCGCGGTTCCAAGATCATCCTCCACCTGAAGGATGAGCAGATGGACTACCTCAACGAGGCCCGTGTCAAGGAGGTCGTCAAGAAGCACTCCGAGTTCATCTCCTACCCCATCTACCTTCACGTCCTGAAGGAGACCGAGACCGAGGTCCCCGATGAGGAGGCTGAGGAGACCAAGGAGGAGGATGAGGAGAAGAAGCCCAAGGTCGAGGAGGTCGATGAGGATGAGGAGAAGAAGGAGAAGAAGACCAAGACCGTCAAGGAGTCCAAGATCGAGGAAGAGGAGCTTAACAAGACCAAGCCCATCTGGACTCGCAACCCCACCGATATCACCACCGAGGAGTACGCCTCCTTCTACAAGTCCCTCTCCAACGACTGGGAGGACCACCTCGGTGTCAAGCACTTCTCCGTTGAGGGTCAGCTTGAGTTCCGTGCCATCCTCTTCGTGCCCAAGCGCGCTCCCTTCGACCTCTTCGAGACCAAGAAGACCAAGAACAACATCAAGCTCTACGTTCGCCGTGTCTTCATCACCGACGATGCTACCGACCTCATCCCCGAGTGGCTCAGCTTCGTCAAGGGTGTCGTCGACTCCGAGGACCTGCCCCTCAACCTGTCCCGTGAGACCCTCCAGCAGAACAAGATCATGAAGGTCATCAAGAAGAACATCGTCAAGAAGACTCTTGAGCTCTTCACCGAGATCGCCGAGGACCGTGAGCAGTTCGACAAGTTCTACCAGGCCTTCAGCAAGAACATCAAGCTCGGTATCCACGAGGACGCCCAGAACCGTCCCACTCTGGCCAAGCTCCTCCGCTACCAGTCCACCAAGTCTGGTGACGAGGCCACCTCCCTCGCCGACTACATCACTCGCATGCCTGAGCACCAGAAGAACATGTACTACATCACCGGCGAGTCCATCAAGGCTGTTGCCAACTCTCCCTTCCTGGACACCCTCAAGCAGAAGAACTTCGAGGTTCTGTTCCTGGTTGACCCCATTGATGAGTACGCCTTCACCCAGCTGAAGGAGTACGACGGCAAGAAGCTCGTCGACATCACCAAGGACTTCGAGCTCGAGGAGACCGAGGAGGAGAAGACCGAGCGTGAGGCTGAGGAGAAGGAGTACGAGGAGCTTGCCAAGGCCCTCAAGAACGTTCTCGGCGAGAAGGTCGAGAAGGTCGTCGTCTCCCACAAGCTCGTCGGCTCCCCCTGTGCCATCCGCACCGGCCAGTTCGGTTGGTCCGCCAACATGGAGCGTATCATGAAGGCCCAGGCCCTCCGTGACACCTCCATGTCCTCTTACATGTCCTCCAAGAAGACTTTCGAGATCTCCCCCAAGTCCTCCATCATCAAGGAGCTCAAGAAGAAGGTTGAGGCCGATGGCGAGAACGACCGTACCGTCAAGTCCATCACCCAGCTTCTCTTCGAGACCTCCCTGCTGGTCTCTGGATTCACCATCGAGGAGCCTGCCAGCTTCTCCGAGCGCATCCACAAGCTCGTCTCCCTGGGCCTAAACATCGACGAGGACGTTGTCGAGGAGAAGACCGATGCTGCTGCTCCTGCCGAGGCTACCGGCGAGAGCACCATGGAGGAGGTCGACTAAATTTCTTCCGCTCTTGCTAATAATCAAAGTCTTACGGGAAATGGGAAACGGGATATGACCCTTTGAATGTTTTATTTTTTCTTTATTTAGGCGTCTACAATGAGAGCCAATTCTTTCTCTAAATTGCCAATTGTAAATTCATCTATTCTTTGTAAATTGTATCGTATTCTGTTCTGTAGTCTAAGTGCCGAGGTTGAAGTACTTCGTGTTGCACTCCGTACTACCTGCAGCCCTAACACGAGTCTTGTCCGACTGAGTTCATGTCCCTGCAGTAGTGTTTCTGGACGAAATTCAAGGTTGTGTTACTCAATCTCAGGGCTTTGTGGTTATTCTTTTCCGAGTATCTTTTACGTCTTTGCATGATCTATAGTCCTTACATTCGAGTCTCTTTGCATGATCTATAGTCCCTACATTCGAGTCCGCCTTCTTCAATCTCATTTTCGATATCAGAGTGAAATCAAAGTTGCTTCAGTGTATCTCATGTGACTGTTGATTTAGAACAATTCCAAGTTGTTAAATTGAAATTGTCAAAACAAAACGTTAATGTGACTAGGCTGCAAGCGCAGTAAAATCGTTTAGTTCCAAAGTCTCAACGTAGGAACATAACGCCAATGCAATTATCAGCATAGTGATTATCGGAAGAGATGCGCTTGAAACACTCGGGGTAGTGCAAAAATAGGTCGAAGACCAGATATGCTCTGATCTGAATGTACGAAGTGGAAGAGATCCCAACTGTCAGGTCGTTTTGGTATGGACATCCCAAAGTCGATCAACAAGCCAACGGATCGGAAATTGAGATGGGGAGATACTCGCTGGCAAGTAGAGATACCAGTCATCTTCCTCCATTACACTCAATGTCCTCGTCAATTGAGTACATTCGTAGTAATCGGGATAGAATCCACTGTCCTCCCAGTCAATGACCCCAGTGACCGTCCAAGCGTCTTGATTCAACTTCACTAAGATATTGTCTTGTCGGACGTCCCCATGGGTTAAAACTGAACCTTGATTGGGATCTGTGAGAAAAGAACGAAGAAAGGCGGCGTATGTGGTGCTTCCGTGATGGGTGGAACATACAACCGTGCTGACGGTTGTATTGGCTTCGTTTCCTTTTACTCCGCCACCTAGCCCAAGATAGTGACCATCTGCTTTACGAACAGATCTCAACTTCCTAAAGATGCCATCTAGCTGATGCTGCACCGAGATTTTCTGTTCGTGTGACAGACACGGCCATGCCTCAGTCAACGTCATGGATGGAATATAGGACATGAAAATAATGCAAAAAGACCCAAACTTGATCAAGCCATAGGGCCTTGGAGCAGGGATTTCAGGAATCTGTTCGGCGAGGTACTGCATTGCTGTATACTCTGTGTAGTCGCCTTTCGTCGTGATAACTTTGGCAACGATGTCATCACTGCATTGCACGACGATGCCCCGGATCGGATTTTCCCATATCTTTTTGGACTCCCAAAGCAGACGTCGTATTTCTGAGAGAAACGACTGCTCTGTGTCCATATATCCATCCGGAGAATTCGAGAATGATGTCAGTACGGTAGTCACACCCTTCGACAGCGGGAAGATGATTTCAGCTGTGTCCACACTATCCAGACGTTTCCGAAAATCCGGAGGCATCACATCCGGAGGCATCGGCCGTTCATCTTTACCAGACCCTGTCTTTGCTTCGTCGGTTTGGGCTGCGAAATGCCGACGACGAGAATAGTTGGGAGGGAAAACTGAAAGCAAGTCCACCTCCGGGTCATCCCTCAGGGCGTCCTGGAGCTCCTTGACAGTTCTTTTGTTGAGCTTGGCTGTATGTGTTGGACTTTCTGATTGTGCGTCCACCTGTTGAAGATAAGAATCAGGGATGAGAGCCTTCAAGTTGACTGTCGGATTTCTCTCGAGGGCCCGTTCGAATTCTTTCATCAGGTCTCGATTTAAAGAGGGATCAGGACACAGGGATTTCTCCATGATAGTTTTGGTGCAAGTTGATGGGAAAGCGAAGATGATTGGAAATTGGACTATTTGTTTACTCATGTTCTGATTGGTCATCAGCTTACTACTTAAGTATACCCTTTGAGGCTTCTACGATCAAATAAACACTATTCCTTTTGCCGAAAGGTGATCAGTTGATATTAAACGAATTCAGCAGTTCTTGAAGGGCATCCGTTTTTCTTACTCTGCTGTTTGCTCGTCGCCTCCAACTCTTCCTGCGTGAATACTCGTCTTGGACGTAATGATCCATCAAGTCGACCGCAGTATTAGTAAGAGTAACGATCCTTCTCTCGGACAGGATGGTTCAATTGATCGAGAATGTCCCCTGCAAGAATCATGCCTGCCTCATGATTCCGAGCCTCGCTCCTTGTATCCTCAAATGTGTAATCTGTAATGAAATCATCGGGGAGATCATAGCCAGTGACACATTTAGCGAAAGTCTTCAAAGTCGATCTGTTCAGCCATTTGCCCCTAAGCGGCCAGTACGTTTTGGCCTCGACGGTGGGATCAATTCGATTAAGCCGCTTCGCACGGAGATAGGAGACAATAAACCGAAAGTACAAGTACCTCGGACGAGGTCGCTCATCCGAAAGGAATAACAACTCGCGGTTGTCCAGATCCTGTATCATTGTTAATATGCACTCTTTCATTGCCCAGACCAACTGACCTTCACTCTGAGGATTCCACTCCTGTAAGTACCCCAGACATGATTATTATTCTTTGAATTGTCTAGCACAACACATCTCCATGCAGTTGGCCGGGTTGTACCTGGTACGATGGCAATGAAACCCTGGTCAAACAGGGTCTTGATGTTGTAGCTGAGCAGCAAAGCTAATGGTCAAATTGTCAGCTCATTCTCTCAGATAAAAGGGGATGTTCCATACCGTTTTGTGGATCAGAGCTAATGACGTCCTCCGCGATCCCGAATATGTGTGAAACCTCATTAGGGCTCAAGGACTTGGGCACCAAATAGGCTGGTTTAGAGGACGGATAGTCCACGCCAGCTCCAATAACATGGCAGATGGAGTATGGCTCCGTTAATCCCTCCATACCGAATACTAGCGCCAGACTCTCTTTGGTCACGTTGTACCATTGATGTACTGCCTTCTTGAAAGACCTCTTGTCCGATCTGCTCTTCCCAATCTTGGCTGTCGCGCCCACAACGCAGGGAACAATGGTATCCTCGTAGAATGTCTCGAAGATGTTGTCATCTAAAGGCCCAAGGGTTCTCTGCCGCATGCTCTCCACGGCCTCCTCAAAACCCTCCTCGATCAAGGAACGCTGACGGGCCAGGACCTGCAGCATTTGAGAGGTCTTTCGAAACCTTTTCAGGATGGGGTAGATCTCTTGGTTGTATTGCTCGGGGCTGATTTTCGCACTGTCCAGACTCTCTCCTAGGTCCTCTTTGATGTGGACGATTTGCGCCGTCTCATGTTGGAGTGCCGTGATCCTTGTATCGAGAAAATGTGAAGTGGATGAAGGGACTGGGTGGGACAGGCGGCTGTCTGATCTCGCCTCTCCGTCAGTGATGGAGGTGATATGTCCTGACATGTTTATTGCGACTCTGTGTTATATGAGAAGGTATAAGTCGATTTTGGTAGAATGCAGAGATCAAGTTTCTTGTTTCTGGAGAAGATGTAGCAAACTTTGCTTTTTCCATTCTTCATTGTTCTTTTTTGAAAGTCAGGTCATCCCCCGACACCCGTTTAAGTACTGACATAATTAGGGCTTACTCTAGGTCTACGGGCTACATTCTTCAGTGTAATAATCCTGTAATGAAGTAAAATTCAAAAACACAACAGTACACGAGAAAAGCAATTATTCTGTCTTTAGCAGGCAGATTCTGTGACCTTTTCCTTTTCCGGGGAGAAAGCGATTCGCCGGCCAACCTCACGATTTCTTCGGATATTGAAAGATTCTCTCCTGTATGTCGAAAGAGAACTGTTAAGCTTCATGGCCATAGTCTCCAGTGTTTCCTGCTGCTGCTTTGATCACTTCTTCGGAGATTGAAAGATTTTCTTTTGTGTATTTGGTGGCAGCGTTGGAGGCCAATAAGCCCATGAGACCAGTGGTATCTCCAATACAACCCAGGAGTTCATGCAAAATGCCGAGGCCTTCTACCGCGGGTTTTTGCCCACCCCGCACATCGTGGCGGACTGGGTGGGAAAACTCGAGAACACACTCGCCTGCAACTACCACCGCGGAAAAACGGAGAACAGTCTGGTAAGATCGAACCAGGTCATTGTTTTCTCGAGACAGGGAATCAAATCGTGGGAGTGTCGACGAAACACCCTGAGACAAGCTCCCCAGTTGATCGACAGAGGTCCAACTGGCGGTTGTCAAGACCCTATATAATTGTTAACTTTTGCTCTGTCATGTTGGAAATCGACTGGCCTGTACTAAGGTGATCCATTCCAATTGACGTTGGACCAATCGAGGGAGAGGTTGAGGAAGCCCATGCGGCATGCCACCGACCTCCAAGCCGATGAAGTTAGACTCCCATCCCCTAGACAGCCCATATCCACTTCTCTTTCTTTGACTTGGATTCTCCCTTTGAGTTCGTTCATTGTTTTGTTCCGCCTGTTCTTCCCTATGTGTTTGAAGCTCATTAGTTTCTGCACTTGGTGCTGTGGTCGGTATCCTGGATACAGGCAAATTCGAAAGGAATAGTCAACTAACGCTTCTCCTGCACCCACACCTTGATCGAATCCCGCATACACGCGAGGCACATATGTGTGGTGTGCGTAAATGGGTTTGACATTTTCCTGCGCGTTTCAGCGGAAGCTGGAAGCTTCCTCTTGCGAGGAGATGATTGTGGGGAACTCTCCATACTGAGGGTGCTCAGCAGAGGAGTGAATACGAAGGAGAAGTGAGAGGGAGGAGAGGGGAGATGAAGTCAAGAAGTGTGGAAAAGCAAAGTCACAATCCATCATTCTTCGAAAGAGTGTTACTGTAGAAGCAGGATGGGGAAGAAGGTGATCATATTGGGTGTGTCTACCGCTAACTAGATAGGGAACACATGACAAAGAGCATCCGATCAGCATCACACTGGGAGGGGCTCGACTGGATTCTCGTTAGCAACTGTGATCATAGACCTAGGCACTGGACTTACCCTTCGGAGCGGGAGCTTTCTCGCCCCGGGTAACCGCAGGGACGTTGCGGTGGGGATTGGGGAGGAAGAAACCCCACCACCGGGGCCAAGGGCCGAACGGCGGTCTATTGCAAGTCAGCATCGTTCGATTCCAAGGTTGTCCGAGAAATGCTGTGTGTATTGATATACCTGTTCCGAGCCGCTTGGCTGTGAATATGTTAGCAATCTGTGCATATTCTGATCCTGGAGCATTGTAGTGTAACTTTAGAACATACCCCGACCCTTCGAACCCCGGTGGGTGGGCTTTTTCTTTGACAACATGTCAGACCGATCTGATGTTTCTCATGGAAAAGAAAGGTATCAATCTTACCTTCATGGAGGGGGCCGGCTAGTTGGCGGATCAGAGCCGCCTGTGTAAGGGATGGCCCACCGTACGTGACACGTACGTGTAAGCGAAAGCTTGGGGATGTAAAGATGATTGTATTGGTCCTGCCTAGCTAATGATATATGTACGTGGAGTCACGTGACAGATCCCCATTCTTCGAAAACGCACCGTCCCGGTGCTCACAGTAGCTCAGGTAAATGAATAGTAATCAGGCCCCTAAATATTTGTTGATCCCTTGGCTCCATATCCCTAAAACGCTGTCGAAGGCTGGTGACACCTGTTCCCGCTGTGTCAAATGCATCCAGGATTTGTCTCATTAACACTGTTTCCCGAGTCTCTTGACGCTTGGCGGAGATCACGGCGGCTAATTCGTTCGCGAATTGTCGAATATGTGGATATTGCAAGGCGTATAACCACATGTGGGTTAACCCTGCTTCTCCTAACAGGTTCTGGAAGGAATCGTCTTTGTTGGATGGAGTATTGGTGACATCTGTGAGGTACTCTTGTAGTAAGCCTGTCAAGGTTGCGGTTGGATGCGTATTTGTAGCTGAGGCCTCTGATATCAAGCTGTCATTGCTGCTCCCGGATGTGTCGTTGCTGCTTCCGGATGCCTGGTGCTCAATGCGCCAACAATTTTGAACTGTATGGCCACTAGCATGGCAATGTGTGCAGAAAAGCTGCAAACAATTAGCATGAAGCTCACCATGATGGATTTCTTGACTTACACGGGGGCGGGGGTTCTCTGCCATACTTGTACGAAGCTTAAGGAAGAGAAAAATCTACGTGGGGGATGTTTACTTTTTGTCGCGTTCCTTGGTTGTTGAACTGTCCCAATAGGAACTTCATGTTTGAGAAGCCCGGAACTTTCGTAGAAGACTTCCACAGAGAGCAGTACAACGTATCTCCAGTCGTGTCTTTGTAGGCCCAGGGTTGTCTGCCGTTTGGCTTCGAAAGCATCTTGGACCTGTTCTCTGGTTGTGAAGAGATTCATGAAAGAGGCCCTCAATCTCCAACGGTGTGTTGTGTTTAGGTTAACTCTCCGCTTTTCGCAGATTCCCTGCGAGATCTCATGGGCCTTAGCCTGTTGTGTTAGGGTATTGGCTTCATCCTCCCTCCACTCTGGTTCTTTCTCATCATATCTTTGTAGAAATCTTCTGCGTTGCACTTGGACTTTCTCTAGTTCGAGTGCGTCCATTCCACTAGCCCATGCCCAGAGCCTCCATAGTCCGACCCCGAAGATGCGACTCCCACTGGGGGTCATCCGTGGTGAGCCCTGGCCCTAGGTCTATCCACACGGTAAGAGTGAGGCTTGCATTTGTTTCTTCCAGGAGTCGAATCTCGAACTGCCATTTTGTTTTTGCAACCATCACCAAGGGATACTTGGATCCTGCCCTTGAATACGCAGATGTTGCCGTTGATCTGCGCCTCGGCCTGTTGGTCGAGAATTGCGCCCCAACCGATAACCATGTTGTATTCCTGTACGTCCCGAAACACGGAGTCACACCGTTCCCAGTAGTACCCCTCGAGGTCATTAGGCACTAGATGGTTGCCTTTCTGGAGGAAGGGCTGGTCGACGTGCTTGGGAAAGAGTCTCTCCGCAATCTTGCGTCCAGGAAATCTGGAATAGGCGAGTTCAGTTAGTTCTGTGATACTCAGAGACATGTGGCAGGTCCATGGGTGCTTGGCTGATCTCACCTGGGGCTTTGCCTTTCAGAGACGATACCCGCTCTGGGAAAGGAGGTATCACGCATCTTTTCTATTTTCATCGACCCCGTTGATCCTGGTAATGATAAATAATGATAGGGATGCCGCGCTGGAAGTGATGAGAAGATCAGAATAGCGTAAAGCCAGATACCAGTCCTGCTGCTCCAAATTGCTGCCGATACTTTTCGCAGTGTCCTTTAGGGATTGGGCTTTATCGAAGATTTTCTGCGTAGAGGTATGGAAAGCTGTTCAAGTGTAGAGAGATCAAAGATGTTGCTGAGAAGGTATACTTTGCTCTTTCTATTCTTTATTGTTTTCTTCTGGAAGTCTGGTTGTCCCCCCGACGCTCGTTTAGGCCTATTTCTCATACTTTCTGGAAGGCACTCATCCATGGTTATATAAGGCTCATATTGACTTACTTCATGCCCTTTCTTGGTTCATTCCTAGGTACTTGTCGGTACCTGAGTACAATCAGATCAAAATTAGGCATCATGAATGTCATATTATCCAAAGGGGTGTCCAAATATCCGAGGGGGTGTCGATATTACAATCTCCAATGTTCAACATATGTAAACTACTTGAGTGTCAAACTATCGTTCCATTGCATTCGGTCTGACTTGATAACAAATCCAAAAACAAAAGAAAAAAATGATGGCAGCTCCCTTACTCCCCCTGTAGGTTCTTCATACTCTCGATCAACGCGGCATGCACATCCGGAGCACGATCAGGAACTCCAGGTTTCCCGTAAACGTCAGCAGCAAGAATCATCCCGGCCTCAATGTTCCGGGACTCATCGTTATCCTCGAATGTATGATCTTCAAACTCATCTGCATTCTCGGAACCAGATACACATTGCGAGAGTGTCTTTCTTCAACGTCGACCCGTTCAAGTACTCGCCGCCAGATGGCCAGAATCGTTTCGTCTGTATGCTTGCGGAAGTGATGAGGCTTTGTTGTTTTGCATTCAGGAAGGATATGATGAAGCGGAAGTACAGATATCGTCGATGTGGGCGCGCATTTGAAAGGAAAGTCAATTGACGATTGTCTAGGTCCTGTATAACTGTTAGTCTGTACTCTATAATTGTTCAAATCAATCAGTCTAACCTTGACTCTGATTAAGGGTTCCGGTCTGGAGCCGTGAATTCACTGCTGTCCCTTCGATTTGTCCAGAACGACGCCATGTTGTTTGTTGGGTGATTGCCCCAGGGATTGGCACGATGGCTATTGTTCCTTGATCGAGCAGTTCCTCCGCCGTACTGCACAACAACAAAGCTAGAGATTAAATCGTTAGTATATCCTGCTCTTAGGCAACAAAGGGTTTTTTACCATTGCGCGGATCCGATGACAGTATATTGTTGCCCTGCTAGGTGATTGATCCATCGAAGTCCCTTTGGGCCATCCTCTCTATCATCTCCAAGCCAGACAATCATACGACCAGCTTGAGCATAGATCTGCCGCATAAGCGGGATCTGCTTGTTCTTCTTATCGACGACATTTTCACCACTGCCTTGATTTATACAAATGGCATCAATCCATAGTGTTCTTGGAAGCTGACGGTCTCGAAGGTGTTGTAGGACACTGTAAAGGTTTTTGTTGTGTAGGGAATTCGCCCAACCCCAATAAGTAGATAGCTCGAGCTCCTTAGCTTCCTCCCTCTTCTCTTCTTCTCTCCCCGCAGAGAATAATCGACCGGTTCAAGCCTTCTTTCTCTCGCCGTGCCTTCTCAACAGTTTTCCGTAACTGAAAACTTGCAGCCATTCAAAGTAATTGATTTAGGCTTGTCTTCGCTTTCCCAACAGTAGGACAGAGCCTCGTACATATGGGACCGTCCATCTCCTACCGATAGATCGTAGTTGAAAAGCTTGCATTCGACTGGGGCGTTCCGATCGGTGTCAGGCAGAAGGTGGACCAACGCTGTCCTGATCTTCAACTCTGAAAATGTGCGCAACCTCACCTGGGCTTAAAGATTTTGGTACAAGGTGGGCTGTTTTCACGTAGATAGGAAAGCCAACCCAAGAACATGACAAAAAGAATGCTTATTTGCCGTCTGACCAACGTATGGCTCCAGGTTCTTTTCTGTCACGTCGTAGAATTGATGCACTTGTTTTTGAAAGGCTTTGTGGTCGAATTTGTTGGTTTTGCCGACCTTCGCAGCCGCGCTCATGACACGAGGAATAATCGTATCTGCGTACGTTTTTTCCACAATACTGTTTTCCAAAGGCTCTTGCGCTCTCTATTGCTCCACGGCTTCCTCAAGGTCATCCAATAATAACTTGTGTTGGCGTTTAATCACCCGGAGGATCTGCGAGCCCTGTAGGAAGCTTTTCATGACAGTGCCACTCTCTTTCTCGTACATGTCAGGGGTGATCTTTTTGGAGTGAAGGGCCTCGGAGAGGCCCTGTTGAACACAGATCAGATAATCTTGTTCATCACTCAGTGCAGCAATTTTGGCGTCCAGGAAATCGGACGCTGTTGAATGGGAATCTTGAGAAATTTGCCAAAGGCGAGAGGAGTTGCTGACCGATCTTCCTCGAATCTGACTCAGGGCTTGCTGGCGATTTGTGTCCATCAGAGATGAGACGTGCTCAGGAATGGAGAAAGGCTCTGTGGTCGACATCTTGCAAGGGGAGACTTCGGTAGTAAAGAGTACTGAGTAGAGTGATTCAAGTTCTTGTTGGTACTGGTGAGGCAAGAGAAACCAGTGTGGGAAAGGTAGAAGAGTTGAAGTGTGGGAAAGAAAGAAGAGTTGGCTCTTGACCATTTTTCGCTCTTTCTATTATTCTAGTTTGCTATTAGTCTCAACTCTGCTTAACCTCTATCCCAATTTTGTTTGCTATTGTCCTCGCGGTAAAGGTCTGGTTACCTTGGGCAACCTGTACACCTCTCAGCTGCTGTTAGTATGTACTAGCTTTGGCGCTCCAGGCCATGAGTAGGTGCTCTGGGAATCGAGGTGCTGCGCTGAGGCATCCAACATTACTTTCGAGGCTTGGTAAGTTGACACCAACTTTTTTTATTTGCCAGATCAGCTGACGTGGATATGACGGCTTAGATGTGAAGCTACTAAAGCCTCTGACAAAGCGCTAAATCCACTTGGCTGTTGTACCACTGGCGCCAGCAACTCCTCGAAGTCCGTCTTTTGCGAGAACTTGCCTGCAATGATGGAGAATGGACCCGCCAGCACGAAAAAAACATGCGTTACGACCAGATACTCGTTGCAACAAAAGATTTGTTCACCCAAAAAGTACACTGTGTGGCCATGACAAGGAGATATCAAGCCAAAAAGGACATCGCATAAGTCCGCCTCGAGCAACAAGCACAGCGTGACTTTGCTATGGAATTTGCTATGAAATCGCGTGATCGCGTTCTCTGCATCTACGTGAAACCGGTCTTCGGTCAAAGTCAATCACGGCTAAGATTCGTCTACTATCTCTTACAACTGGAGAAAGAGTGGAAGTAGCCTCGTTAGGGGGTTGAAGCAGGCAATACCGGATGCGCTGATTGAATTAGATATTGATCAAATAATTGTTATTGTTCATTTTAAATATTTCTGGTTCCCATACTATTAGTATGAGGTCTAGAGACTTATGAATTGTTGCCACAAAGGTCATTTGATCATATAGTATGTCACTGAGGCAAATTGACCTCTACGTCAATACTATAATGCATCATTGATACTACGTCAATATTATATGCAAACTATGCAAACTTTTGGATATATATACGGTAGGGTAATTAGAGATCTATCATCGACAAAGAATATGATCATACATACATACATATTTCCTTCTTCTATTCATTCTTCAATCTTCTATACATTCATACATCTTCTACATCACCTTCCATTACATTCCATTCATCCTATCCTTCCATCACCTTCCATTCGTCCTTCCATCCTTCTATATATATATATATATCCTCACCGCCCTTAAACCCTAAACCTCTATAACCTTCATAGGTTATGAGGAGAGCTTTGACCTATACTACCCAAAGTTGGTAATTTTTGGTTCCTTTCACCCTTGGGGTCGTTATAGGACAGCAGAACTCCGTCTCGGCATACATTTTGACCGAGAAGTTCACGGAGCTATGTCTACCCTTGAGAAATTCTCTGTCCCAAAGTTGAAAGGAACTAAAAATTATCAACTTGGGGCAGTAAGTACAGATCAAAGCTCTAAGAATGAATAGAAGAAGGAAGTATGTACTTAATGTATGTATGATCATATTCTTTGTCGTTGTTTTTAATAAACAATTCTCAAAAGTGAATAGAAGGTATACCTCCCAGGGTGTATAAGAAGACATACAAGAGGAAGTGGCACTGGCTTATTTACACCTTGTGACCCTTCATACTTCCAGTTGACGGACCTTGGGGTACTAGAATGCGGTCCTGAGCAAAAATTCGGAAAACAATAAATACCCCCTGAGATATGTAGGTTTGACCATGGAAATCAAAATTAAGATGAGGTTAAAAGAATAAAAACAAAAAAGAATTGGACGAGCGGTGGATCGAACACCGGACTTTTCGCAAGCGGGTTGCTTGAAGCAAGATGCAAAGCGAACACTCTACCACTGAGTCACACGCCCATTGATGGATGGTTTCGACTTACACTGCCAAATAAAGTCTATCTCAATATATTCCAACTTCAATACTCATGGGCAAGGACTTTTAAGTTATGTACCCCTACCCTTGTACCTATATATTTGTAGGATTTGGAACATTGGAACATAATGATTATCAGCCTTGGAAGTCTTTAATAACATTTAATCTTCATCTCGGTTGGCTACTTTGCCCAGGTACTCAAGTAACAATGTAATTGCCCAAAGGTACGGAGTAGAATGCAAATATATAGTTCCCGAGGATCCTAAAGTCCAAGAAGATCATGTGCCGAGGTCGAGAGGTCAACATATGGAGAATATATTCGCTTCATACTTAAGTAAAATAGCAGATCCCCCAAATCTCTAAAACGAGTCCTAAGAAATTGCCCGCATAAGATACCCAGTCCATTCCTCGGGCCTACTTAAGTACACTAGCACTCAACACTGGAAGTGCCATTTACTACTACGCCTCACAAATTCCTAGTCAGACACAAGTGACCTCGGTAAATACTACATCCATATCAGTATGAATAACACAAGATCTAGGAGAAACATCAGGATAATATTACTCTTGTACACCTACCTAAATCCAAGTAAGTATACAACATCTACCCTCTCCATCTGTAGACATGGGCAGAACTACCTAAGTCCAGGAATCCGAATAACCTCCTCCCTAGCACCCTCTCCCCCAAAAATGTATTCCCGATCCAGACAAATCTTGCCATCAATAATCTCCTGCCTACGGGTCCTAGCCAGATTGATCGCCATATCAAGATTCCCAGTACTACCAAAGCTAACAACAGGATAAGAGATAAAAAAGCCTCGCGTTTGCTTGATGGGCGTATCTTCAACATAATACTGGCCCTGTCGTAGGCTCTGGATGGTAATATTGATTAGTTCTTCGTCGCTGAAGCGGATGTCTTCTGCTGGGATGTAGACTGTGTACCATTTTGTGTGGGGGAGGGTAGAGACTTCTGCGTAGATGATCTGGCTGTTTGAGTGGCGGGTTGCGCGGGTCATGAAGACGGTGTGTTGGGGGGCTGGGGAGGCCATGATTTATGTCTGTTTGATGTTTGTGTTTGAATTTGTTTGGATGTGGATGTGGTTAATGTAATGCTTTGGAATGTGAGTATAGTTATGATCGAGGGTGAGTTCGAGGGTTTTATAATGCCTCATCTAATGGGGTATTCTGAGTATGCTTTGTCTGGTCAAGCCTTAAATGACAAGGGCATTCAAGGGTCCATTGTGATCTTTGTTTGAAATCAATTCCATTCAGTGTTATAAATATCAAAAGAATACACAAGGAACCTTGAACAATGGGAGGTTATCATTCCATTCCTTAGAACCGAAAGCAGATCTATTTACACAGCAAAAGCAAAGCAAAGCCAACAAAACCGTATATCGAAACACCGACGCTATCAAAACGAAAAAGATAGAACGCAAACATCCACCCGATCGGTATCAATTTTGAGCCCTCGCAGACCAAGGTAAAGAAACGTCAAATTAAATCGATAAATAGGTCTGATCATGCAGAGTTTTTCGTACTTCCATTGACCTGGGTATTTTGAGACGTGGAAGTTGAAGTGGGACTTTCGTGGGACTCCTTGGACCCGCCGGCTAGTTGAGCCTCGGCCACAGCTAACTTGGCAGTGGTGGCGTCCAGGGTTGTCTTGAGTGCCTTGATGTAGTCGATGGCCATTTCCACGGCTGTGGCCTTGCTGATGGTTTGGTTGGCTTTTTCCTTCTCCTTTTCCTTATCGTTGGGTTTGCCGCCCGATTCGGCAGCTTCTTTGGCGTTGCGGGCATCGATGAACGGCTGCGGGATAAGCTGCTCAATCTCCTTGAGGGCACTGTTGATCCGATTGCGGCGGCCCTGCTCGGCGAGCTTGTGGTTCGTGCGCTTGGAGCTGAGGTTCTCGGCCAGGGCCTCAGGATAACTGACACCAGAAGGAAGAGTTCCATCCAGGATGTGCTGGTAATTAGACTTGGATGCCAGGTAGAGAGCGTCTTGTGACATGCCTAAAACATAGTTAGTATAAACACCGGGCTAAGATAGAGAGGGACATACCCTCGGTGCCTTTCATCAATGGCTGTATGCTGGGGCTGATCTTGGGCCGCAACTGCGGGCTGGCATGTGTAGAACTCAGGCTGCCCCGTTTGCGATTAGATGCCACCTTGGACTCTCTCCTCGGGACCGGCCCGCTAGGGGATGCCATGGCGGCTGTGTGGGGACTGGGAGCAACGGATAGGTTGGAGGGTGGGTCGTACGCCGGCGAAGGGGCCAGCAGTGGGGTGCCAGTGGAGAGCGATGGAGTGCGGATAGCGGTCTCGATCCGGCTGGGTCTTGGGCGCTGTTGCTGTGGTGCCGCAGCCTCCGGAAGCGAGATATCCTCCATAATCTCATCTGGGAAGTCGGGTTCGGCCAGCTGAGCTTGACCGCGGAATTGGCCCGACGGGTCCTGCGCATGTTGGCTCCGCTGGATGCGCATGAGTAGCGCCGGGGTGGCAGCGCCTCCAGGCGATGAAGACTGGGGCGTAATGGCCGGGGAAGCGCGAGGGGGTGGGAGTGCCGGGGGTGGCATCAACGGTTCTGACAATGGCTCCGGGGAAACGGAGTCTTGGCCCGAGGCCTCATTGCTGCTGGCCTGAAGCGAGCGGACATCCTGATGGGATGGTTTTGTGGCGTTGGCATTCAGCTCCTGGGTGAGACTGTTGTAGAACTCCTCCGAATTGGTGGCCAGGGTGCTGCGCTTGCGCTGTGCCAAGATATTGGGGGATTGCTTGACCTTGCGCGCGGTGCTCAATCGGGTCGAGGCTGCCGATCCCCGGCGGCGGGTGTTGGGTTTCCGGAGTGTACTGGGGGAGCCTGGTGCGGTGGTGGCCATGGGATTCGACTCAGCGGTGGTGGGGACGAAACCCACATCAGACACTTGTCTGGCATGGAACTGGTAGCCGTTGGAGTCGGCATTTTGGGCTTCCAGGGCTGGGGAGGTGAGTGGTGTGAAATATTCGCCGGGGATTGTATATTCGGGCAGGCGGAATTGCTGCTCCAGGGGAGTCATCGCGGGTGACACCAGGGGGGTGTAAAGCGCCTGTCTTGTTAGTCTCACTGAAACCCCCGGGAGGAGGGACTACTAACCTGCTCTTCATTGATGCGCGAATATCCGTCATACATATCCGGAGTCCCATCCACGCGCTGTGAGTAGCGAGCCGCGTTCCCATGCATCTCGACACTGTTTGGAGTGGGCGGGATCATGGTCTGGTTCTGCATATAGTGGTGTTGGGGTTGCGCCATGGGGGATGGTTCCTGGGCGCAGAATCCCGGCGTCATCTGGGGCGTGGAGTAGGGCAATTGGTTCTGTGACTGCGAGTCTCCAAAGTCCATGGCCAGGCCCTCCATCTGGCCTGGGTACTGCATGGCGGTTGATCGTAACTGGGCCATGGACTCGGCGGTGGTGGTTGGCAGAGGGGAATGCTGCATATTCCCTGGTCCGTGCTCCAGATCGGTGAACGGCATGTTGAAATCGAGATAACTGGAGAATTCCTCCTCACTGGGGGCCGGCAGCGTACTCGGGAGTTGCTCCGGCCAGGACATGGCTGGTTGTTCCATTTGCGATTTGCCTCTGTGCGATCGTGAGATGCCTAGGGCCAGGCGTGGGTGACTTTAGGACAAAATCCCCTGTAGTCAAAATAGTCAGAGGAGTCAAAGTGCGAGTCGCCAGAAACCAGGGCGAGTGTCGCCCCCAGGAGAGATATCGGGGAAAAAAGAGAGGGGAATGAACCAGACAGTCTGGTGGAGACCAGCCTTTTCTCGGGCGGACACGGTTTCTGTGGTCTTCTTACTCGGCTTATGCCGCTCGGCTGCACTGTAAGGTAGAATATACTAGTGTTTCCCGCTAAAAGCGCCGGCTTCTTAGCGATTTAATTTAACGGGTTCTTAGTCCGTACTCGTAGTCTCGACGGACTCGTACTTGTTACTCCGTAGTACTACTTCGCACTTAGAACCCCCACAGTGGAGATGTTACCGGGACAATACTGGATTTTACTCCGGACGGAGTATCCCCGTAAATATATGGAAATAGTACTCCATACTCTCACTGATCTTGACCCAGGTACATACTCATACTAGTACTACTAGTACTACTAGTACAGTCGAATGGATGTTCCTGGGAAAAAGGAACTTTTGGTGGGGAAACGTGATGGTTGTCCCGATTGGACGGGCGGTATAAAATAAACATCCTGTGATTGGTGGATATCACAGACTACACCTCGATTCAGCCTAGTGTGGCTCATATGGGGCAGAATCATTGATGCGCTAGGCTCGGCACTCTCTAAGCACATCAGACTTGGATACGAGAAGGACGAAAAGGACTGAAAGTATGAAAGTTCCTCATGATATCAAATGCCACGTCTCGCCTGACAAAGGCAGAGGAAGAAGCCTTCAAAAATGTCAACACTCTGCTTCTCAATACCCTGAACAGGAAAGTCAAAGCATCTCCCACTCGGGATATGACCGAGTTGCTAGAGCACCAGGCTAAATCATATCCTGCACTGGGGGCAATCTTTCGCGATGTTGCGGTCCAGTCAGCAACGCAAGAACTGGACTGCTCTAATGAGACGGAAGCCGATGAAAGAACCAAGTTCCAAGTTCCAACTAATGCCACCATCATACGACCACTCAGTGTAACTGCGTCACGAGCAGCACTAAATGATTCTGATGACTCTGGACTATGTTCTGATTTATCCGTCATGATTGAAGGCCTGAATAAATTGGTGGCAACTAGTGAGGTCATTTGGCACCTGGGGTCAACGGCAGTGCCAGGTCTCAATTCTGAATTTGTGATGAAAATCGGCAATAAAACCAGCTTCATCGGGTCATACAGCCCGGCAGTAGTAAAAGAAGTCATGCAATAATAACAAAGTTTTATCAGTGAACGATCTAACTAGTTAACTCCCTAGGTAACAGCCATCACAACCCTGAAGAACGGTAAAGCTCTGCCACTGGGTTCCCATACTGCGTTGCCTCGGCTGAAAGCATTGATATTACATCTTCTACGTCCATCTCGAGTGAAAGCTCCTTCCTTCCCCGAGAAGAGAGAATGTAGATTGCTCCACGCTCTGCATACAGGGCAAAATTCTCATCGACACATTTGGAGAACAAGAACCGATAGCACATCGACAGAGTCCTAGGGCTTGACAAAATCGAGCTTGGGAGGTGTTTCCACGCCACAGATTTGACCGTGTAATCGGACTGGCCTGGCTCGAGTTTAGACAACATAGCATCTGCGACTTCCTTAGTCACAAGTGAATTTTGATCCAAGGCACGAACGACTTCGACATAAGTATAATCTTTCGTGGTACTCTGAAACAAGTCCATCAAAACGTCTCTGAACTCCTTTGAAAATGAGAGATGCCTGGTAAGATCAAGGATACTATCACCATAATGACCTTCTCTTTGCAGATAAGCCATGGCAGGCTCAATCATGACTTCAAGGACTCCATCAGGCAGCTTACTTTGCCTCGCAAGAGCCAGGAGAGCCGTTTGTCCACTCTCGCTTTGGGAGTCATCTTTGATGATTCTCACGAGAGCATCAACCAAGAAACTTGGCAATTTTCTTTGCTTCCATTGCGAAGAAGCACAGAGCTTATTGATGAGGCTATTGTCCTCTTTGATTTGCCTGAACAAATGAACGCAATATTCATCCGACAGGAAAACTTGGGCTCCGAGCACCACAATCGCATCATCCCTAATGGATTCTTCGGGGTCATTTGTGAGTTTCATCAGTGCATCAATGGCCCTGTCTGGCAAATTTTGCTTGCTGCACAGGATCTCGAAAGCTCCAGTGATTCCCATTGACAATTTCGAGATCAAAATATCAATAACCGCATCTGGCAGGGCAAAGTCTCCGCACAGCACGTTCATTATGGGTTCGTTAAACAGTCTTGAATTCTCCCCTGCCGCCAGTTGGCTTGCGAGGTTTGTCAGGACTGCCTCGCTCGGTCGGCAACTTGAAAATCCAAATAAACCTCCAAGGTCATATGATGCTTCGAATCGGACTTCAAGATTTTCGTCGAACATACAAGATGTGAGATAGTCCAACACAACATCTGAGACGTAGTCTTGACGTCTGAACATGTTGCACCACCAAATCTTAGTATTGAGGTCCTGATCTTTCAAGGGCTGCAATAGATCATTCTGACGAGACTCAGCCCTTTCAAGAAACGAACCAATGCTTCCAGCAGAAAAGACCTCTCCACCTCTTCTCTGGTATTTCAGGAACCAATCAATCAATGACTGGAGAACCGCTTCTGGCATGGGAGATATACTGTGCAAACAAGAAAAGGCATGACAAGCCACCTCGTCTCTGTTGTCATCAAGATAGCCGACGGCGATACTCAGATTCTCCTCGGAGATAGAGGTTTGACCAAGTAGAATTTCAAGTATTGAACCAAGTAGTGTAGTGGCCAATGGCTTCTTCAGTTGCTCTCTCAAGGCCCTTTGGCACTGTTCCGATAGTCTTGGATCGTTCTCCAACGCCCGAGTGGCCTTCTTTCTTTGGTCCATCGGCCTGCTCTCGTCTGTCAGAATCGATACAAGGGAATCTTGAAGACCGTGTGTTAGAGCGGGTCGAGCTCCGATAGCTTCCAGGGCTAACCATCCAGCTTGTTCTCCCTCCGCAACATGGTTTCTTCTGAGCATCTGCTGGAGAACATCCCTCGGGAATTCCGCATCAAATACCAAGTAGCCTTCATACCGTATGATAAAAAGGATTTTCTCGAATTCGAACCAGATGCGGCAAAGCGACTCCAGCTCTTTGTGCTGTTTCGTGAACGCAACGGGTATTTCGTTGAGACAGTGCATGAGCAATCTCATGTGGGCAATCCCCAGAAGGTCGTGGGGCTCCTCCTTCGTCTTTTCAAGCAGTTGATCGAGGTACATTTCACCCTCGGAGCACAATAATCCAGTCACAAATCGCCAAAATACATCATACCGCCCATTGTATTTCTGATCTTTGAGGAAGCGCTCGGTCGAAACATCTTTCAATATGCTATTCCCCGTCGGGTGGATTTCCAGCACGCGGACAGGCTCTTGAGACGCCCAGCATCTTATAAAATACCTTGCGGCAAAGTACTCTTGAAATGTCAGATGCAGAAAATGATATGTCGAGATGTTGCGCTTCAACGAATCGGTCGTACGTAGGAAGGAGAGCTTGTCGAGGGTGTTGTCGGAGACTCCCCCAAAGCCAGACTTCTTGCAGATCATTCTGTAGTGTCTATCGATTTCTCGACGAATCTTCTCATCGAATATGATGACGTTGTTCGTGAGACCAGTAAAGGCGAGGAATTCGAGGAAGTTCATTTCGTTTCCGACGTCCTCTTCCAGTTGGTCTCTGTACAGAACTTTCCGGTTTGGTTGTGCCTTTCCTAGTTGAATGAGATCTTTCCTCCATAGTCTTGTCTCTATCTGCTCGTAGAGTGTAGTCATGGTGGTTGTCCCGTCAGAGGCGAACTCATCATCCCAGCTGTAGCAAAGAGCATCTAACTGGATTGGAATCTGCACAAGGCTCTGAATGAGCCAGTTATTATCAATAAAATCCTTGATTGCCTCTCTTCTAGAATATTCCGTGACGATCTTTGATAGATAAGACTGTACCTGCTCTTCTTGGAACCCAACGGTCTCCAATTCAAGGTGTACTGGATCAAGGCCATCAAAATGAACAGCAAAAGGCCGGGAGGTGATGATCACGCTTGGGTGGTTCAACAGACTTTTGACAAATGGAAGATCAATCGCGTCACCAGGTACCTCATCTAGTCCGTCCAGCAGTAGGAGTGTTCTGTTGTTGCTCTTTGTGTTGTTCACTGTTTTCTCCAATGCATGAACGAGATCCTTCCGGTCGATTTGGGATGAAGAATTCTGCAAATATTCATCAAAGATATCCTTCAAAGTAGGCTTTCGCGCAATATTTCGCAGAGGTATCCAAATAACACGGTCAAAGAGATCGCTCCATAGCTGACCCCGGAGAAATTCATGCACGATTTTCTTGCAAAGAGTTGATTTGCCCACTCCTGCACGCCCGCGAATTATGATACGTCTGGGTTCAATGAGATGACCTCCATCAACCTCTCGCTTATCGAAGAGCGCAGGCAAAGTCATGCTTTTTTCGGCGTCGGTTGGGGTAGGTAACGAGCGTTCAGACAAGTCAAATGCGGGAGGTCGCTCGGCTTTGCTTGATGTGGCTTGTATGATAGCTAGGTTGATATAACATTGATCCATATGAAGCAACTCTCCCGATAGACGCTTGATATCTAGATGACCTTTGGAGTAGAACTTTGCCAACTCGTTGCTCGCATAGTATCGCAAAGCCTCATCGCACCGGGAAATTGCAAGCTTCAACAGCTCTGATCGGGGTTCCAGGGAATTTTCATTGGCATAAAACGGTCGAACCTGGGAGCTTTGCAGGTTTTCTTCTCTTTTCTCTCCTTTCTTTCTCCACCAAGGCCACAACTTTTTCCGGGGCTTTGCGGCTTTTTTCCAACCAGGCTGATCAAAGGTCTCAGCTAGTATATCAAGCCATGCCGATGCCAACCGTTTCTTGTAGTCTACCCGCAAAATCAATGAATCAACGAGATTTGCTATAGCCGTCTTGGTCTCCTTCTTTCGATCCTTGGGGCTTTGATGCCAAGCTCGTTCCAGTTGAGCAAAGATACCACTCAGAAAGTTGTCCTGATTAGCGCAGGGGACAGCGCTGAGGAAATACTCAAGTGACTTGAACGCGCTGGCAGTGATGAGAAGATCAGAATAGCGTAAAGCCAGATACCAGTCCTGCTGTTCCAAGTTGCTGCCGATACTTTTCGCGGTGTCCTTTAGGGATTGGGTTTCATCGAAGATTTTCTGCGCAGAGGTAACCATCGTGGAAATAGTCGACAACATTTTCATCACATGGGGCGTTGCATCAACAACTTTCGTCGGGTCGAACGTCGCAGCTGCACCAGCAACATTGGCTAATGGTATGATGATATCGCCTGCATTGCGCCAGAAGCGAGATAGTTTGCTTTCATCATCGCTTATACCCAATAAAGCTTGATAGGCATAGCTGGCAGACTGGGCTAGGCGTGGCTCCTTTGCCTCTCTCAAGCTTCCGAGTGATTGTAGTAGTGGGTTGTGCGTATGTTCTCGGCTCACACCGTTGACTCCAATGTCTCCCATGGCATCCAGAATAAAGCAAAGCGTGGAAACAATCTCGTACTGCTTTTCGGGCTGGGAAAGATTCGTGGAAATCTCAAGACGGCCTTGCAGATTGTGAAGTACTAGCACAAGCGGCGCGTTCAGACGACTGTTCACAGATGGATCGTCCGATGCCTGTCGTATGCAGAATGTGAATGACTTTAGGACTTTGGGGCCCATGATAGTGCCATCGTTTTGGTCCATGATCACATTTCCAATAGCCACCAGCAAGGTCTCGTACTTGTCGGGACTATCTTGTACAATCGAGGACAGCAAAGCAGCCTCCTCCAAATAGGAATACTCAGGATGATCTTGGAACAGGCGGATCATATGTGTAATGATATCTCTCAAGACCGTTTTTTCGCTTCCCTCCGGTGCTTTTTGGTATATGTTGAGAAGGTCCAGAGTTGATGATGGCTCGAGACATAATTTGTAGTCGTGATCGGCCATCATGGACTTTTTTGGGAGAGGATGGTTCGCCACAGTCCTGTTTGCTGTTTGCAATGCTGTTTGTAGAGAGCTAGCCCGCTCTCTCCTTCTCTCTCTTCGCCTATAGGCTCATCAGAATTCGAAGCTGGGATATATATCCAGTCAAACCTGGGATTGAATCACTTGGGGTTAAGATGAAATATGGGTTAATATGAGGTACACGTAACAATAAGTAGGAGTGGGCATGTTCCATGTCAAAGTTGGATCTGCACTGGTGCCCAAGTCAGCACTAGTCTCCGCGGGCGCTTAGACAATTGTTAAGAACATATGGAGTATGTCAGAACTATATTTTAACAGAACTAAATATAACACAAATATAGAAAGAGGATTAGAAAGAGGAATACAAACTTTAGAAATACCATGAGAAGAGGAAGTGCTTAGGGGAAGCGGTATTTGGAGAGGAATACTATTACGACCAGATTACAGTCTACGAGTATGTTGAAATTTTCTAATTATACTAGATAGGTACTTGCCTTTACTGAGGCTTTGCATGGTAGAGATAGATACCTTCAAAGGACTTGGAGAAATATGTAGAGATTTAGGGTGAGAGAAACTGGGAATCAGGCCATAATCAGACAGGGGTTTTTCATTATCCAAAGGGGTGTCGATACATCAATTCCCAATATGTATATATACTGTATACAGTAATGTATAGTAACACATTTGATACTCCGTCCTTAGGGAGTAATTGACCTTTGTTCAGTCGAAAACATGTCCAATATGCGGTCCTTTTGAATAGCAAGTTGCTCGCGCAACCAACGTTGTTCTTCCATCATTTGAACATTATGCGTAAAGATCTTCGAAAGATTAGACGTCAATTGAGTATTTGATTGCTCAATTGAACGTAGAATCTTTTGGTGATTCCGATGAAGAGATTTGATATCTTTTGGTGGTGTGGATGCAATGCTTGACGACCCCGATGATGGTTCAGGGGATGAACTTTTGTCAAAATCATCGCAATGAGATGCTTCTGGCGCATCAGGGGTTTGAATACGCGTATGATCTTTGATATTCTGAGTTTTTGGAGCAGATTCCAAGTGTTTTTGACGCCTTTTTTCGAATTCATACGCCCAATTTCTACCCACTTGATAATCCAGACCTTCGCGTTGTAGTGCATCATTTGCGAGCTCGGTGACCATAGCGTGGGGAATTGGGACATTCATATCACGCATCTCAGTGACAACGGTCATAAGAGCTTCCTCTTGGTATGGTTTTAGAAGCCGATTTTTGAATTTGGGCCCATTGAGAGCCTGGAATCCACGATTTCGACGATTTCGAAGAACATTGTAAGATACGTTGAATTTGCGCGCAATCGCCTTCAAATTGGGCTTTTTTTGGGTTCTGGTAAAAGTGCAGGCTTCAAGAACGCGCGCTTCGTGTTCAGAATTAAACTTGACCATAATTGTGGATTGTTATGACGCGAAGAAGTGAGGGTAAATGAATTTGGTACGATAGTGCCCAGGTGGGATGAGATCTTGGAGCCAAAACCTAGCGTTCTAGTTGGACCGCCGTGCTTACGTGAAGGGGTTAAATACCGTAAGGTATCAGGTATGGTATACTGCGTGCCTCAGGCATGTGAGGGGTGGCTTACCTGAGCAATGACATGATCGCGACATGCGACATGCGACTCAACTTTAACTTCAAAACATTGCAGTCAAGATCTCAAAACCTCCTGGTTCATGATGAGATCGACTCCAGACGCAGTGCGCAAACCCTCCTCCCACGATCCTCCCACCTTCTTCCTGTCCCGCTCCCCGCATGTCTCGGACCCGGAGCCGAGTCTCGTGCGGCCAGACGAGACCAAAGAGAGTATGTACGGAGTACAAAGTATCGACGAGAGCATCCATACCATAGACACCGGCGACGCTCCCGACAGTCCCCTGGTCGATCTAGAATCCCACAAGCGACGGTCGACACTGAGAGCGGATCCAGGCCAGGACTCGGGACAGACCTCCCCGGTCCTCTCCCGGCCGTTAACCCCGTTTACGTTGGGCCTCCCAGACGAGCCCTCATCGCTCCCTAGTAGTCCTAAATCCATCTCCAATCAATCGCTGCGACCGCTCGACGAGATCTCGATCACTGATGAAATCGAAAGCCAAGCCGTGGGATCTGGAGATGAGGAGGCCAAGGGATCCCCACGAATAGCAGGTGGGGCATCCCAGCTTATTATGCCAAGTATCAAAATGCCGAGTCGTCGGCCTTTCACCGAGCGAGGCAAAGCCATGGGTCGTTTCAAAGTCCTGCTGGCAGGCGCCCCTGGTAAGTAAGGGGATCTAATTCAAATGTCCCCAATAAACTAACTTTTTATTTTTTATTTTCAATTAAATAGGTTCCGGAAAAACCGCTTTAATCAAATCTATTGTCCAAACATGTGATGATATTGTGCATGTCGATACGATCCCGGTGAACTCGGAGCGTCGCAGACAATCTCATTCGGGATCCCGATCGTCAACGACCGAAATTTATGCGAGCACGAAACCTTATCCGTCATGGTGGTCGGATTTGGAAGATTCGCGCGTGCTCAAGCGCCGGAAAAGCATCGGGGAAATTGTGCTGGAGAGAAACCTGTGTTTTGTCGACACATCCTCAAACTTAAGTCGCGCGGGTCAAACCGATGCAACAGCCCAATACATGTACCAACAGTTTGTCCGTGCGACCAATGCACTTAACAGCCGGAACGTGGATTTCCAAAACCTCCTCGCAGGCAATGGTGGATCCCAGGTGGATGCCATCTTATATTTGATATCCCATGGTAAGTCAACTCCGCAGACCAAGACCCTGTCTAACATTTTCCAGACACCCTATCAACAGATGTGGAATGCATCCGCAAGCTCAGCGAGCTCAGCAATGTAATACCAATTATATCCAAAGCAGACACACTCTCTCCCACCCAAATCAGCACTCTAAAACTTCACTTCCACACCCAAGCCCGAGAAGCCGGCATTAAACCATTCCTCTTCGGTCTCAATGAAGCAAGCATAGACTTTCAGCCCCCGTACGCCGTCTCTTCAGCCAAAGGCTCCGACCCTGAAACAATGGATGCAAGCATCCTAATGAGCCCGGACTACGTCCAACCTCTCATCCCCTCAGAACTAACCACCCTAGTCGACCAAATCTTCGATCGTGACAACCTAGCCTGGCTGCGCCATTCTGCAGCAAAGAAATTGCTCTTGCGCGCTGAGACCCTCCATTCCATCCCTGCTCCATCAAATGTCTGGGTCTCGACTCCCCCTAGTAGCTACGCCATGGCCCGCATCACAGACTATACTCGTACCGAGGAGCGCATGGCCCAAGTCCGGCTTGCACAGTGGGCAACAGATCTCCAGCGCAGTCTGCAGAATGAGCGAGATCGCTACACGGATCTTGTGCGTGGTGAGCGGGCTGTCTGGTTGACTGAGCGATTGGGCGAATGTGTTATTGATGGTTCATTGGTGCCTCTTTCGCAAACACCGGGCTATGGCGGACTACGTGAGAAGGGGACTCATTATCGTGTTGGGATTAGTCCACATGACCCGCTTGGGGTGGTGGGCTGGGTTGATGATTTGGGCAGGCGGAGTTGGGTGCTGGTTCAGATCGTTGGGAGTGTTGGTGTTGTGGGTGGGTTGGCGCTTTGGTTAGCGCGTACTTGGGGTTTGCCAACGCGTAGTCTGACGGATTTACGGGTGGATTATTGGTGCAGCATGGACCGGTGATTTTTTAATGATGGATGTGAGGATGTGATACGATAATGATATATGGTGTGGCGTGTTTTGTTGGCTCTTGTTATAGTTATGTCTTTAGGGCTAGGAGTTGGTTGCTTTGTCTTACAGCATAGGTAGGTTAGCATAGTTACTCATTGATTTGTCGAAACTCAGCTTATGAAGAGTAGAAAGGAGCCGCTTTTAAAGATAATTTAAATTGTTGTATGGTACTATGTTATGCAGGACCCAAAGTCCTTACCCATTTACTCTGCCCACATACTGTATAGTGCGTGGCATTGTTATTTGTGCCCCTGGCTTATATAGCCATAAAGAGCGGCCTCTTTCATCCAATTGGCAAGATGGCCGAGTTGGTCTAAGGCGCACGGTTCAGGTCAACCTGATCCCGATGGTTCACAACTGTCTCCGTGTCTCGAAAGGGGCGTGGGTTCAAATCCCACTCTTGTCATATCTTTTTTGATTTTTTTCTTTTTGCTATTAGTCAATTGACATGTAAGAGTTTGTTGTTGTTGTTGTTTTTTTTTTTTTCATGTGCGGTGCAAATTTGTTCAGGCATGTCACAGTCGGCAGGTTGGGTGTACAGTGATCACCAAGCTTCAATACGGAGGGAGAGTAGAGTACAGTGTAAATCATAATAAGAATGCTTCAGTATATACTACAGTGTATAAGCGGCTACTATATACAGCTGGAGCCGCAACAATTCCCAACCGCCAAAAAGACACGAAGACGAATAAAAAGAAACGAGTTACAAAACTACAGCTTCGCACGGGGAGCGGATTGTTCCTCGTTAGCCTGCTCGTAGAGCTGGTCCAGGAGAGGACGGTAGGCCTTGATGGCAGGAGGACGCTTGAGCTTAAGACTAGAAGGCAGTTAGTAAGTGCGCAGCATATTGGGGGTGGGAAAACATACGTAGGGGTAAGCAGGTTGTTCTCGACGGTGAAAGGCTCGATCTTGAGCGAGACGTTACGGACACGCTCGTATCCGGCAAACTTGTGCTTCTTGGCTACGCGCTCTAGGTCTCTGAGCACGGCACGACGAAGCTTGTCGTCGTTCAGATGCTCCTTGAGTGCATCCGCGGTGGGTTCGATTGTCTTGCCGAGGACTTTGCTGGCGTAGGGAGCGAAGAGGTCTGGCGCAACACCAAAGATACCAACCAAAAAGGTCTGGGAGCTGTCGCCGTGCACGTAGGCCTGTGCGACGTAGCCCAACTCGGAGAGGATGACTCCCTCCAGACGCTCGGGGGAGATGTACTCGCCCTGAGCGAGCTTGAGGACGTTCTTGCGGCGGTCGATGATGATGAAGCGGCCCTTGTCATCTACGGTGCAGACATCACCGGTGCGGAACCAGCCGTCTTCGGTGATTGCCTTGGAGGTTTCCTCGTCGTTCTTGTAGTACTCGCGGAACATGTTGTTACCGCGCAGCAGGAGCTCGCCACGAGGGAAGGGCTTGTCGTCGACAGAGTACTCCATGTCGGGCAGAGAGATCAGGCAGGCCTCAACGCAAGGTGCGAGACGTCCGCAGTTACCCGAGGACAGATCACTGGTCGACTGAGCGGTACCCGAGGCGTAGGACTCGGTCAGTCCGTAGCCCTGAAGAACGTCGGCACCGGTTGCAACGCGCAGGAAGTCGTGCAGAGTGGGATCCAGTGGCGCAGAGCCGGAGACCATGTACCGGGCACGCTCCAGACCGAGAGCGGCAGCCACCTTCTTAGCCCAGATGCGGTCGTACAGAGCGTGTCTGACGGTAGCCTTGGAGGGGTCGGGGTTCTTCATGTTGGCAGTCTTGGCCGCAACAATGTGTCGCGACAAGGCTCCCTTGAAGCCGGGCTGGTCGACTGTGGCGGCCCGAATCGCAGTACCAAAGCGGCTGTAAAGACGGGGCACCGACATGAAACCAGTGGGCTTCAACATCTTCAGGTCGTCAACCAGCTCCACGATGTTTCCGTGGAAGTAACCAATGCGGCCACCGCCCCAGAAAGCAGTGTGCTCAGCTAGACGGGCATAGATGTGAGCCAGTGGGAGGTATGAGCACATGGTGTCGCCGGGACGTGAGTCAAGGGTGGTAAGACCGCAGGCCGTGGCAGCCACGGCATTTCCGTGCGTCAGAACGACACCCTTGGGGGGACCGGTGGTACCGGAGGTATAGTTGATGGTGACAATATCCGAGGCAGAGGGAGCGTTGTATCCGCGCTTGGAGGCCAGACCCAGCTCCTCCACCTGATCAATCGTGTAGATTGCGAGATCCAGATCTGCGGCCATGGACTCGAGCAGGGCACGCTTGGAGTGACCATTCTGCTCGGGTCCATCCAACGGGTCTAGACTGACGATGATCTTCAAGTTGGGCAGTGAGGACTTGAGCTTGAGCAAGGTTGGAATGTGAGGAAGAGAGGTAACAACGCAGTTCAGCTCGGCGTGGTTAATAATGTATTCAGTGGCATCCGGGGCCAGAACGTCGTAGATAGAGACGGAGTAAAGGGATTGAGAAACGCAAGCGAGATCTATACAGACGATTCTTGTCAGCGACATGCACCTCCAGACTATTTTCGCGATCTCCACTCACCAGTGATCTGCCATTCTGGGCGGTTCTGCGCCCAGAGACCAACACCATATTGGCCCGGTCGGTGGCAGTTGTGCTTTTGGTGCAGCTCTACCAGACCAGCGCCAAAGGCCGCGCGCCTCTTCTGTACCGTCTCGTATGTGAGCCACTGGTATGGGTCCCAGCTCTTGGTTGTGGGGTTATACGGACGCCATCCGAGGCAGTGGCTCTTGGGTTGGCGATTGGCGGTCGACTCGAACATGTCATGGGCCGTAGTGACCTGGAAACTGTCAGCGATGCTCCCGCGATCTCATCTTTCGCCTTCTCTCGCTCTCGTCTTCATACCTTGGGATCCAGTGTGGTCAGAAGTTCTTTCTGCGCATTCCATGCTCGGTATACCCGGCTGCGGCCAGGCTGTTCGGTGCCAGGGATGGCGACTGAGTAGGCCACACCTTTGGGGGGCTCCTGCTTTAGCTCCTGGGCCTTGGCCAAATGCGCTGGTTGTGTAGAGAACATGGCTGCGACTGTCGAAGTTGCTCACACCAGGATATGAACAGACCGGATAGATGAAAAGGTAGAGAACAGAAGAGAGAAAGCCGGGCGATCCGGATTTAGGGGGCAAAGAGTGTGGGGGAGAAAAACTGGAGTAACGGCGAGCGACCGGAGTGACCGACCCTTTTGGATAAATCTCCCCTTTGAAGTTATCATGAGCCGAGGTGAGGAACCTCGGCTGTTTCGGTACATGCCACATAGTGGCAACCCCCATACTGGACAATGTACCCCATTCCCCAACGTCATTTTTCCCTCACATGCACTCTTTTCATTTATTTTCACATGGCCGAAGACCAAATACGAGGTCACATATACTTTAGAGAGACGATAATAGAATAATAAAGTAATATGTATTGGAATTTATAGATTGGGAGCCCTGACTCCGTTAAGTTACAATGAATAGAATGCAAAACCAACGCCGACAATAGATGTATGCAACACTTTATACAAGAGGGAGCAGACTCCCTAATCACAGGCCCATTTCCACGCCTTACCATACCAGGTGGTCGGCTCAGTGGTCTCCCAGGTCTCATTGTCCGCCGTAGTGCGACCTGTGTCCAGGTCGGCATCAATCGACTTGACAAATTGAGTGCGATAGACGATCTTGTGTCCCACGTAGAGAACCACAAACAAGATCAAACTCAGGTAGTTGATGAAGAACTCCTGGACCTGGAAGTGGGGGATGAAGGCCGTGAATCCCTGGGTGATGATGATCAGACAGTTGAAGAACAGTCCGTACCAGGAGAACCAAGGCTGCCAGATTGCCTTGTAAGGCAGGATATCGCGGGAGATGTTGCGAGCCTTGAGCGCACGCTGGAAGGCGATGTGGCAGGCATTGAGGGAGCACCAGGTGATGAAGCCGGCTACACCGGCAATCTGAAGCAACCAGTTGAACACGGTGCTACCGGCGTCGGAGACGTTTAGGAATCCAAGGAGACCGAAGGCTGCGGTGAAGAGAACACTCCAGTAAGGCACACCGTGCTTGGAGGTCTGCTTGAACCACCGCGGGGCAAATCCTTCCTGGGCAAGACCGACCAGGATACGACTTCCACTGTAGACGTTGGAGTTGGCCGCGGAAAGCACCACGGTCAAGAGGACACCGTTGATAATACCCGGGAGCGCCTTCACACCGGCCAGGTTGGCAGCAATCACAAAGGGAGAAGCATTGGCGTTATTGGCACTGGCACCACCACCCTCGCTGTTCAACAGGTTCTTATCATCCGAAGGCACGAGAATGCCAATGAAGAAGATGGTCAAAATGAAGAAAAAGACGATTCGAATGAAGGTCTTGCGGATGGCGGAGGGGACGGTCTTGCGAGGGTTTTCCGTTTCACCGGCCGCAATACCAACCAACTCGGTACCTTGGTAGGAGAATCCAGCCTGGATCAGTGTCGACCAGAAGCCCACAAACTTGGCCAAACTGTCATTGCCTTCAATCAGATATGGCACAAAGGGCCCCGGGGTCTTCCAGTATCGGAACCCGATGTAGCCCTCCTTGCCCACACCGGCGTTCACACAGATGGCGAAGATTCCAAATCCAACGACTGTGAGCACCTTGATGGTCGAGAGCCAGAACTCCATTTCACCGTAGAATCCCACTGGCAGCATGTTGAATATAATAATGCACACCCAAAAAACCGCGATAAAGATAGCAATGGGGATATCCTGATCCCAATACTGAATGATCAGACCGGTGGCAGTCAATTCCAAGGCGAATGTCGAGGCCCACGAGAACCAGTAGATCCAGCCCATGGAAAATCCCAGACTGGGATCAATGAGACGAGCGGCGTACGAGGTGAACGCGCCGGGGATGGGGATATAGGTCGCAACCTCTCCGAGGGCGGTCATGACGGAGTAGACGATGGTTCCCACGAAGATGTAGGCAATGAGAGCACCGACCGGGCCAC